GAGAACTACCTCTCCATGGCCTTGGATGCCTCGACCTCGTCGGTTGCGTTCATTCAACAGCACCATATCACGCACTCTGCACGTCTTCACCTCGTTGGGCGATGCTATGAAGAATACTACAAGAGGTCAATAGCAGCTGATTGTGATGAAGAGGATCAAAAAGACCGCCTAAATTACCTCGATATGGCAGTTTCGAAATTCCGAGAACTCATTAGTCATCTTTCTTCGGAAGATCCTCTGCGCCCTGATGTTCTGGGTCGTCTTGGCTATTTATACTCAGACAAGCTATTCTACAATTACAAGCTGGATGACTTGAAAATGGCAGTGGAAGTACACCAGGAATGTCTCCATCTGGCCGAGGAGAATAAAATCGAAGGTGCAAAGTGGCTACGTCATCTCGGATGCTCTAAACTTATGTCTCACCGCGTATTCAAGGACGAAACTGATTTGCAAGAATCTGTCAAGCTACTTGAGCAAGCAAAGGATAAGAATCCAAATGACAAGGCATTTATCCCTGGCCTCGCCAGTGCCTACCGCTCTAGGTTCATGATTACAAGGGACGTCAGAGACATTGACGCTGCCATCGAGCTGTATCTCAACTTCCCTGTCATGGATGATACGACATTATCTTGGCTCGGCAGTGCCTATCTTGGCCGTTTTGAGCTGACCAAGGTGCCTGAGGACATGAAGCTGGCGATTTCTAATTTGGAAAAGGCTCTCGAGCTTACCAAAAATCAGACGGAAATCTCAGACTTCGTTCAGGTGCTCCAAAATCTGGCAAATTGCTACCTTACGAAACATCATTATGGAGGGAAACTTGAGGACCTCGAGCAAGCAATTCACTACGCACAGGAGGCTGTGGATGTTGAAGCGGAAGAAGCCTTCCAGGTTGTCGATATCGCAGGCCTATTGGGACTGTGCTACCAGACCAAGTACCAGGTTACGCAATGTGAGGATGATCTTCTCAAGGCAATCGACGCCGATGAAAGCGACTTTTGGGTTTTCATGCCTGTCGCAAACACATCAGATAGCTTGGAGCTTGCTCAAAGACTCATGGAGTCGTACAAAAGTCTCGAGAACTGGGAGAAGGGCTTAAAGATTGCCGAGTACGCACTCGAACTCATCCCTGCCTATACACCGCGTTACCTACGATGGTCGGAAGCCCAATACCTTCTCTCTAGAATCAGTGGACTCGCATCTTTCGCAGCCGCTTTTTCACTTCAAGCCGGGAAACGCGACGGGGCCAGTCTGGCTCTATTAGAAAGGGGCCGGGGAGTTGCCGCAGATCTTTTGTATGATCTTCGTCTTGACTTTGACAGTCGCAAATTTGCGGACCTGAAGCCGGCGTATAAGGAGACCCTCTTGAGCAGTATTGGGCGCCTTGAGAATCCTGTACAGCTACCAGGCAATCTTCCCGATGATGTCGCGTCTGGCACAGCAGAACTTGCTAGGAGGCTAGAAGCAAGTAAAATCGTTGACGAGTTCATGGAGAGTTTTAGCACACGTCTGAAGCCAGACAACACAGGATTCACGGGATTTACGAGGAACGGTCCAATTGTGATTATCAATGTTAGCTTCCGGTGTGATGCTTTCATTATTAAACACGTCATTGAGACCATGCCCCTACCTAAGCTATCTGAGGAAGAGCTGGAACGACGACTCCGCGACGGAAACTTGGGAAAACTAAACACCTTGGAATGGCTCTGGGATACAATCACGGGACCTATTCTGGATCATCTGGGTTATTCAGAGATGCCTTCTGGCGAATGGCCGCAGATATGCTGGATACCTACGGGGGCATTGAGTCGCTTCCCGTTGCACGCAGCTGGATATCACAAAGACAAAACTGGCCGCACTGTCATAGACAGAGTCATATCGTCGTATAGCTCATCGCTGAACGCTATTCTCGAAGGGGGCGCGAAGGATAAACGCAACTCGTCCACCAAGGCGGTGTTGGTTGCGATGCAGAAAACGCCGGGCAGTTCTAGCCTCCCGCACGCCCCCAAAGAGCTAGTGATTGTCCAACAGATATGCGAATCGATGGAATTAAATACCGTGGAACCAAAAAGACAAACCCAAGAAGTACTCGCGGAGTTGAAGGACTGTGATATCTTCCACTTTGCCGGTCACGGTGAGACAGACGAGACAAACCCGCTGAAGAGTCAACTGCGTCTTGAAGACTGGCAGACGCAGTCCTTGGCAGTATCTGACCTGCTAAGTCTCAAGCTACGCGATAGCCCACCATTTCTGGCATATCTTTCAGCTTGCGGAACGAGCCAGATCAAAGACAAACGCCTGCTAGATGAGAGTCTGCACTTAATTAGTGCATGTCGACTGGCTGGTTTTAGACACGTGGTTGGAACACTCTGGGAAGTCGGTGATGCGGCATGCGTCGATGTCGCGGAGACAGTCTACCAGGAGCTGAAGGACTCCAGTATGGATGATGGGTCTGTCTGCCGGGGGTTGCATAAAGCTGTTCGGAAGATTCGTGATAGTTGGGTGACGGATGCGCGTATGCGGGCGGTCAAAAAGGATCTGGACAACTGGATTGTAAACGTCAAATATGGTGAGAATGACTCTGAAGATGGGCTGGGCGGCGGGAGATCGGCAAGGGATATCGTGCCGCTGGAGGAGGACGAGAATGAGAGGCCTGCTCCTTGGGTCGCGTATGTGTATCACGGAAGTAGATAGCCTCGTGGAAGAATGTTGGTAGAGGTATTTATATGTCTTATCTGGATAGAAATATTGTATATCAATTGCAGTGTCGGAATTAAACATTTATTATCCATCTGGGCTCAAAAGACCATCGACCCCCCCATGGTGTAAGCCACAAGGGGCAACAAGGGGCACGCATTCCCCGCTCCACCAATTAGCGTGAGCTGATAATGTCAGGGTCGAAGGCGGCTGCAAGGGGTCGCAGATCACAAGCGGCAACGTTTCTCAAGGGATAAATTGACTGTTTCAGTCGAATACTGGTGGCGCATTTCTCATCCTTTGTTCGTCCAGTATAATTATCAATGCAAAGACATAGGTTTCCTTTCGATTATGATATCGGTCTAGTGGCGTTGGTGGCTGGATATAATGGTTCAGCCCTGCTTATCTCCATTCCAGGACCTGGCTCTAAAAAGAAGGTTGTTTCATCCCTTGCGTTGAATCAATCGGCTATTTGAAGCCATGCCCTCTCCTCACCATATTGAGGCTTGTCCGTTTGTTCCTCTCGTAAGAGCTCACTATCCGTCACAATGGCTGTGGCTACTGCGGGTCCAGCTTACAAGCTGTGGTTTCTGTCAACAGGTATTGTCTTTCTGTTCTTCCTTCTTTTTGCATTTTACACCGATTCGATCAAGTCGCCTTTGGACTATGCCCATGCAAAGGCAGCAGAGTTCTGCAGCGAGTAAGTACCAAGACAGACAGACACCTGGTCCGGGATGTTACTAACCGCTCGCGACAACAGCTCTGTAGCTCCACAAACTACAGCCGACGCAGATCCCAAAGAAGGAACATTCGGCAACTGCAAAGACCCCTATCGCCGCCCTGGGTATCTCTATGTCCCGGCAGAAACAGAGAGATACCGAGAGACACGATGGTTGCCGTTTACAGACAAGTTTCTCAACTCTGAGGATCCCGAAACTGCAGAGTATCCTCACACAGGAGGAGATCTCATCTTCAACGATACAGACGTCCCACGTACATTCTTTAAGGGATCGGATATACCTATAGAATGGATGAAGCTAGCGGTCAAAGAGAATAAGCGTCGACAGGAAGCGATGGCGCATATCACCAACGCAACATCAGAAGACTACCACAGAATGAGAAACGATGCTGAGTTTGGCTGGCTCTGGGGCCGTCGAGTCGTATCATTCGGCGACTCTGTCGACAGGCGAGCAGCCAGATACGTCTGCCACGAGTTCGGCCACGACATGGTCTTCCCCAAGCTTCATGAGATAGAGCAGTGGCCCATGGGTGTCTGCCATATCCCGGCTTTCAACCTGACATTCACTGCCTTCCACTCTGCAGGTGGCTTTACCTACAGGCCTGAATGGTTTTGGTACAAGCAAATGCGCATCATCCCCTTTGAGCGACGCTGGGAAGAGCTCTGGCAACCACATGAGCGAGACATCCGTGGTCCCAACGGCAGACCTGATCTTATTCTGTGGCAGAATGGGCTCTGGGATCAGCGAGGATTCCAAGTTGGCGGGCAGAAGCTCCACGAAGGACAGAACGTCACTCTCAACGCAAGACACAGGAAAATGGTCTGGGACGAACTGCACTTCTTCTTGGCTCGCACCAAGAAGTATGCCGAGATGCTCATTAGAGAGTTCCCAGACACGCCTATGATGTGGCGAAGTCTAACGTATCACCAAAAGACTGGATCAGGGGACATCATGGTCGTTGAGATGGACCGTCTTGGACGCGCTTTGGCAGAGCAGTATGGACATGAGGTCTTCGAATGGGGTCGTATTATTAGTCTTATGGGGAATTGGTATGAAGATGGCACGCATCCGGGTGAGGGTGCATTGAGTTGGTTATGGGGAAACATGATCCTCGAGTATCTCGCCAGATCAGCCAAGTCGAAACTTGGAGGCGATTATAGGTTTCCGTATTTTGACGGATGGGAGAGGTGCCATGAGGAACTTGTTGGGTGGGGAGGACGATAGAAGAATTTATCTTAGTTATTCAATGAAGTTGCAACGTGTTCTCCACCTCACTACGCGAGTGTTCTGGTATTGAGTACCTAAGGTATATAGCTAATTGTACTTGGGATCAATGCCTGGTACAAGTTATCATAGGTAGGGCGGGGATGACTTCCCCGCGTTGTCCCACCCTTAGCGCAGCCACGGGGAGACTAAGCACAGGATCCGAACTCCACTGATCTGCTCAGTTACCCCAGACTATTAATACATCCTTGATATCTTGACATGGAAAACGATGACACTAATGTGGTAATTACAGTTTGTATATGCGGAAGCCAAAATATCTGGCATTACCTTATTGAAAGCATGTCGGGACAAGCAAAGAAGAACCACCACGATGAGGTGCCCAGTTCGGTTGAGGTTGAACTGCTCGCCGTTGACGAGGAGGATAACTACCAAGGTCTCACCTTGAAATGTATCCTGGTTTACTTGGTAAGAGCTTCCGTAGTGATCCATTTGCTGGTCAAGCTAACAGCTAAGTCTATCCTCAGTGGCTGTTTTGCACAAGTCCTTGCAATTGTTGCAACCGGCGCAGTAAGTCTTTTGCTTAAACAGCCAGTGTTGTCCAGTACTGATGGCAATCCAGTTTGCCAGAAACATGGCCAGTGTTCTGGGCGGACGTGACAAATACATCTGGATCCCTCAAGGCCTTATCATTTGCAGCACGTTCACAGCGGCTCCCATTGCGCAATCGTCGGATTTCTGGGGCCGCAGGTTACCTATCCTGCTCTGCACTGGTCTCTGCATCGTCGGGTCCATCGTCATCAGCAGAGCGTCTTCCATGACCATGGCCATTGCTGGATCGTTGGTAGTCGGTGTTGGAGCGGGAACAACTTCACTCTTATATGCGGTCGCATCCGAGATTATGCCAAGGCAGTATCGACCGCTCGCCCAAGCCGGTGTCAATATCGCGAATTCACTTGGTGGGATATTTACATTACTACTTGGCTTCGGACTCGTCAGAAAGAACGATGAAAACTTTCGGGTTGTTTGGTATGTTGGCATCGGGCTATTCGCCTTTAACTTTCTTGCCGTCTTTTTCTTCTTCAAACCACCAAAACGTCGCCTTGAGTTATCTCTGACCTGGAAGGAAAAGCTCAAGGCTCTCGACTTGGTAGGGTATATCATCTTCTCTATCGGAATGATATTGTTCAGCGTGGGACTGACCTGGGCCAACAACCCATACTCTTGGCAAAGTGCCCCAGTTCTAAGCACCTTTTGCATTGGCGTTGTCTTTATCATCCTCACAGCGGTTTGGGAAGTCAACAAGAAGGATGGATTTTGTCATCACGCGCTTTTCCAAGCAAGCCGCAACTTTGCACTTGCCCTTGTCTTTATTTTTATCGAGGGATTTGCTTTCTATGCGGCCAACAACTTTCTCCCTCTGGTGTACTCGATTTACTTCGATGGTAACCTTCTCAAGGTTGGTGCTATGATGTCCCTTATTTTCATTGGAGGGGCTATGGCATCTGTGATCGGTGGCCTCTACTCCACCAAGGCGAGAAGGGTCCGGCCACCTCTGACGGCTGGGATGGCACTGTTTGTCATCTACTTTGGTGAGTCTCACTCCTCTATACTCGGTAACCTTTTGCTAACCGTGGTCCCCTTAAGCATGCATGGCTACTCTCAAGCCTGGTCAACTGGCAGCGATGTGGGGTTATACGGTCTTGGCGGGCTTTGGCCTTGGGTTCGGTCTCGTCATCGCCGTCACGACTGGCCAGATAAGCACTCCTCCAGGCTTGATTGCGACAACGAGTGGCCTAATCCTGACCTCAAGATCCTTGGGAGGCTCCGTTGCACTACCAGTATACACTGCTATCCTCAACTCCTCCTTGTCGAAGCATCTTGGCCAAAAGATCGCTGAACGCGTTGTTCCTCTTGGGCTCTCTGCCAAGGATCTGCCAGCTTTTATCAGTGGTCTGGCTAATAACGATCAACGAGCTCTGGCAAGTATTCCAGGTGTTACTCCTCAAGTCGTCTCCGCGGGAGTTGCAGGATTGAGGTCAGCTTATCACATCGCCTTCCGTGGCACCTGGAGTGCTGCTGCTGCAGTCTCGGCGGTTGGTTTAGTACTTGCGCTTTTTGTCCGCGATCCTCGCGACAGCTTCAACATGCACGTGGATGCACCAGTCGACCATGATCTTGCCAGAAGTTTTGACCGAGGTTTGGAAGATGATATCAAAGGTGCAACTGGCACTGAACATATCGAATCAAACGTTGTCAGCGAGGAGCCTCAAGACAAGGCCTGAACTGAGAGTTTTTAGTTGTGAGGACCTGAATTCTAGAAAGGATTAGTGTCAAAACTTGGCACGTTTGCATAGACTGGACTGGATAAGCTTGTCGTGTTGGCAGATCACGTTTCAACAGAAAGATCCTCCAGGTTGACTTATACCAGGAGTTAGCTCTATAGCCAAGCAACTCACTTATATCTATGACTGTACTTTCAAGAGTCACCAGTAGAGTTCAATTCCTTGGACCAGAAACATCTACAGTCTTTCACTGAGTGAAATTATCAACATATTCCCTCAAACTTTACAATTATGTAGGTTGTATCTCAGTAGTCAGAGATATAAGTCATACTACCAGCTTGACGAGGTGGAGTGTTGGGGCTAACGCCTCTTTGAAACCCTCAATCTTGTCGCGATGGAGGTGAAGGAAAGGTGCGCTAAAGACTCCGCCAGGCTTGTGAATTGGGTGGCGAGCTTCTCCAGTGCTACTTCGCCGGTAGACTGAGCCCTGGGCAGCTATGATGACGTACGAAAGTGGGGATACGTGATTTTAGTAGGTTGCAGTCACTCATTGAGTAAAAGTCTGGTATAAACTTGCATGGAGGGAGCTGCCAAATGAAGATCAGAGCATCACCCTACCGTACTCTCCATGATCTCGATCACCTCAGACCTCAATCTGTCCTCCCTCAAGCCAAGTCTTAGCCAGCCAGTACAGCTCGTCATGCTTTTCAAGGTTAACCGTGCCGATATGCCTCCTATGTCCAGGCATGTCCAACAACACCTTGATTCCCATCGTAACCTCTTGCCAGTACGCAAGATATTTGTAGCCTGGTGGATACGTAGCCAGCTTCTCCTCATCAACAGTGATTACCAGGGCCCGGGATGGATCACAAAGGATCATCTTATCCTTCTCGTACCAATGCCTAACCAATCGTGCACCCCAGATTCCCTGGATCTTTTCGAAGTAGAAGCAAAAGCGGCAGTCGGCTTCAACATCGAATTCCACATCCTCTACTTGAAAGCGCTGTGTAATGGTAGCCTTTAGCTTTGTGACTGCTCGGGTTCCTTCTATGTTGATGTCTGTGCTTGAACCGTGGCATCTATGCATGATAAAAGCGCCTTGATCCATGCCGGCTTTGGAAGCAGCGATGAAGTCTTTGAAGGTAACACGGCCTGACCAGGTTGTATATACATGGGCTCCGGGATGGAAGATGGACTCAAAATTCTCCCATTCACAAGAATCCCTGATAGCAAGTGTTAATTAACCGCTCTAAGCAACATTCAATAGACGTTTTACCTGTATGCAGGCCAACCCTCAGCTAGTTCCCGAAGCTTGAGCCTTTCCAGTACCAGGCGCTCTGGTCCATTGTTCCGAATCGCGGTATCTGGTCGTGATCCTGCTGGGAGGCTATGTAAATCAACCATATTGATTAGCTGGAATGGATTCTCAAGTATAAGCGGGTCAACGGTTCATACTGATGGCATCTCCACTTGTGCGGATATCGTGTGGTATGGGTAATTGAGCTACCTTTTGTATTGACAGATCCATCAATATATTTTGATTGGCACTAATCAAAAACAGTTAGGTGTTTCCCACCCATTACTCTCTAGCAGTCGAAGTAGCGGCAATGGAGCGGACCAAATGGTATGGAATTTGGGCGGAAGATAGCCACTGACCCATTCCACTCCACTCAACAAGATCGTGGGTGGGACACTTCATTGAGACACCACCTTGTCAAAAGCAGGATGGGACTACCCCAGCACGCTGATAGTTCTAGGTCACCGACAGCCATACTTGTGCTGCGTATTCACCAACATCTTCCGATGGACGAATACGTGGTTAATTTAGTAAATCGTGGCCTCAAAACGACGGAGCTGTGAAGTGGTAAGTACAGCCACTGTTGGTTGAACGATGCGCTGTGCCAGGAAGTACTCCTTAGGCACTGTGCTAGACATCGCGACAACTTCAGACAACTGTCCCGGTCGTGAATCTTTTGGGAATGAATACGACCTATAAGGTTAACCTTTAGGCTGCAAGCACAGGTAACAAATAAGAACACAGTATTTTTTGCCTCAATATAAGCTTTTACCCAGAAGCTTTCACGATGGCCATTACATCTTGCTGCATCGTCGTGAATTTTTTGTGTGAATGCGAGCATCAATACAAATGCAAACCACGAGATGACGATGCTTAGCAACCTAGTTCTACCATAAAGATGCTATCATTGACTGAAACGGACAGGTCAAACGGCTCATTTAATATAGGCCCGTTGACTGTGTAACCTCATGAAACTGTATCCGAACCTGTGTGACCATGACCTACACTGAGGGATTGAAGATTTTGACGGTTCCAAGTCGCGCCGCGGTGATATAATGAATCTTTCCTTCAAGAGTAAGCTCATAATGGATCAAGAAATGGGCCTCATAACCGCCTCCCTTCCGTACGCCAGATCCAAAATTCAGGATATCCTATCTGTCAAGTTAGCCATGCTTTACCTGGAGAAGGCGTTGCCATACCTCAATGTTCGCAATAGCGGTGAACTTGATGAACGACTTCAGTGCGATGCCGGACTTGTCCAGAACTATAGACTGGACATTAACGTCCTCGTTCACTTGACTTCGCGCGTTGCGGAAAAAGTTCGTCGCCTCCTCCCTACCATGCAGTGTCTGTTTTCCGTCGAGTATGATAGTTACATCCGATGTGTAATATCGCGGGAAAGTGTCAAAGTCGTTGGTGTTGAACGCATTGAGATAAAGCTTGAAGTCCTCGTGGCTCCGGATCACATCTCTAGAAGCCTCTTTCTCAAGGTAGGCGTCTTCAGTCAGTTGAACGATGTGTCCATCCTTATCAAGAGTGTACCAGACAAACATCTTGACAAGAGGGCCGTTTCCGGGCCAGACCGGGCCCCATCTACCCGCTAGATTGTCTGTCTCGTAGCCATTGATGCCTCGGAATTGGGTGTGCATCTCGGTGACGACGATATCTTGGCCGAATACTACCCTTATCAGATTCAGGGTTTCACGCATACCAGCATGGACTCCATCCACCCATGACAAGAACTCGTCAATGCTCCTGTCGGGAAAACCACTGAATCTGAACTATTGAGAAAGGAGTAAGTAACGTAACTAGACAGACCTAAGAATATTTACCTACCACTGCATCCTTGGAGTAGTAAGCGGTGTATTCCGCCTTGTCGTTGGCATTGAAGTGATAGACGTAGTCGTCCAAATCGGCTCGATTTCGTAGTGACTTTGTTCCAAGGCGGAGACCCTGTGAAGAAGACATGTTTTCTGAGTTTATGCTAAAAGCGTAACTTTGCCACAACAGATTCTGGAACCCTGAACCTCTCTGGGCCTTTTCTAGCGATTGTGAGCTACCCCAGATTTACCCCAGAACGCAGCTGACTTGACCAACCAGTCTACCAAGGTTATCCACCATAGCCAGTAAAGTAAAGGCCACGTGTGTCCAGGTGGTGACCGGTGGGACTCGAACTTGTTAGCGGGGTTCATGAGATGGTGTGTGGGTGGGTAAGTGGGTGGAACGACGCTTGGGCGGTCGAAGGTCCTGAGTCGGCTGGCGTAGCTTGTGCCAAATGTGGATGAAAAGATGACTTAGTGATTACCACCTCACACCAGCACCGTCATCTGACTCTCTTGATGTGGAGAAAAATTATTCTCTTGAATTGCTGAGTCCTTTCTTTAGGACCTGATATTTTCCAACAACAAAGAAGCAAGGAAAATCTACGTACTCATAGGGCGTGGCAATGTTGGCGGGATTGGGAGGGATGTAATTATGCCTTAGTCGCCCTCTATGACCTATCAGTCTTGCACGATAAATAAGTAACTGATTCAGCAAATCGCTCTGTTCGGTTCCTGTATTTAAAAAGGTAAGAAACAAATCTAATAAATCAATTCTACGGATGTCTGAACTGCAACTGTCCCCCCTCAATAGGTAATCGGAAGGTCGGGTGTCTATGCTAGGCCGAGGGAGAAGATGGGATTCAACTTTAGGTGAGTCTAAATTCTACAGTGCAGGATACGAGATATATATCGACTTTTCTTTCAACGGGATGTCGGATGCATAGGCAAAAGGTACAGAAGAATATATAATACATTCCGCCAAGAGTAAGGTAAGCACGTTTTGTACCAAATATATATAGTCCTGAATACATAAATGATTATACTACGACTATTACGAAAGTAGGATAACAGTAACTACCATTTAGTGATAGCCGAGCTCTCTTATTCGCGCATCTTGAAGCGGCCGTTGTAATGAGGATACACGAACCACGCACAGGAGGTGTCCAACGGCTTGTCTGCGTCCTCAATAACGAGATCAAACTTGCGGACAATCTGAGGGACCATCTTGGTCAACTCCAAAAGACTGATATTCCTCCCAATGCAAGTTCGAGCGCCACCTCCAAACTATAACAGGAATTAGTCTTGCGAAGCTTTCTAGGACAGATGAAATGCACTTACAGCAAACATCATAGAATCCATAATGCTCGTCTTCTCATCGCCAATCCAGCGCTCAGGGCGGAAGACTTCAGGGTCTGGGCCGTAGATTTCCCTGTCATAATGTAAGACCCATGCGTTAACGCCGACTTCGGTCTGGGAAAGACTTAGTGAGTATCTAAGAGAAAGCAGTGATTACTTACCCCCTCAGGGAAGTAGATTCCTGATAATTCCATACCACCGGGGGGCACGACGCGAGGTAGGATTGTCCCAACGGCGGGGTGGATACGCAGCGTCTCCTTGATGACAGCTTGTAGATACGGCATGTCCTGTGCTTCTTGGAACGTAACCGGGTCCGAGAGACCGCCATTGGCTGCCTTCTGGTCAATCTCCTGCCGTAGCTTCTTCAACTTATCTGAGTTCTGGAACAAGTAGTACAGAGCTGAGCTCAGAGTAACGGCCGTGGTATCGGACCCGGCCCCGATGTTGCTACCGCATGCGTCAAGAAGATTCGGCGTTTTGAGACGACCTTCAGACTCGCCCTCAAGCAGCTTCTTTAGGAATGTGTCGTATTTGGTGCTACCCTTGACTGTGGATTTGGCATTTTCTTTCCGCGTGTTATCAATCTGGGTGAGGGTGTAGCTGACAAGTGTTGAGGTGTTTGAAGCGGTGCCCAAAGCTGTAGCGATGCCGATGAGCCATGGGACCAGATTGGGAACGATACCCCAGAAGGCCAAAAAGTCATTGGCTTCTCGGATACCCTTGATCATTCCGGTCGTATCACCCTCGTTCTCCATCATGTTGAAACTCTTGTTGAACTAAGTCGTATTGGTTAATATGTCCCAACAAATCAAATGACGAACGGTGAACTAACGGTGATAGCGCCGATAACATCAAAGGCGTAGTATTGCATCCAATGAGGAATATCAACTAGACGGCCCTCCTTGGCAAACTCCTTGAGCTTGCGGACGCAGACATGGGTCATCTCGTCTACGGCAGGCTCATAAGATACCATGGATGACATGGTGTACATCGGCGAGATCTTCCGTCGCCTCTCCTTGTGCAAACCATTGTCTTGGATGGCGAATATGTTTTGCTCATGCACAACTGGGCTGAGTAGTGGATTGTAGTAGGTTGTCTTGATATACTTGCCTCCCAATTCATAGACCTTTTTGACATCTTTCGGCTGACTGAGACTGTACCGGTTTGGTCCAAGTCGTACAACTGGGCCTGTGCATTCTCGCGTTAGGTCGAACTTTGGGAAAAGTTCAAATAAAAGACTTACCATATTTCTTGTGCAAGTGGATGAATTCTTGGTTTGAGTTGCCTTGTTTGACCAGCCGATATTCCCACCAACGCGTGAAACGAGCCAGAAACGGGCCAGGAATGCTTCTCAGAGGTGAGAGGAAGAGGCTGTAGAGCAATGCGACGAAGTAATAAGAGAATGCAAGCCCGAAAAGAGTCACTGGTAAGCCAACAGCGACGGCCTTGGTATCGACATGCTGCAACCTCGATAAGATGGCTTGCACCGCCGGATTACTCTCAGCATCTCGTAAGAAAGCCATGATAGGTTTTTTGGAGGGTTAAAATGATGTTTGATGCAATTGTAGCTTATCTAGAGTTGGTGAAGTGAATGATAGGTTTTAACTTAGGGCAGTCACGGGAGATTTCTGATATGACCGATCAAGAAGAATGATACACGACACCGTGGAAGGCCAATTTCGGTGGGATTATGCATGTCGGTGGGGTGGCTTGTGACCACGTAGAAACCGTTACGAGCTCTTTTCATCAGTTGTTTCATCTACAAGCGAACACTTTTGCCACAACTAACGATCGTTATTACAGTCATCCCCACCGTCATAGGCGTATTGTCTACTTGTAGCAAACTCATACCCGTCCCCACCGACATATGGCTCCTTGTGCTTTTCCACATATTATTTTCGCCCTGGCTTCCCCTAGATCAAAATGGTCTCAATAAGGAATCTGACACCTACTTAACTAAACATCCTTGACAATTCCCTGACCTTCTGCCAAAGCCTCAAGCCAACTGAAAGATACGCCTCAGGAGAACATGGGCGACTACGCAGCAGAGGTAGAACAGATCTACGCTGGTCTCACTGACCAGCCTCCTCATACCGAGGAGCAGAAAGTCATGGCCAAGAAGATCATTGAACTTCACCTAGCGACCTTCAAATACTACGACTACAAGCGAACATTCGAACTCGTGGACGAGAACTATAAACAACATAGCCAGATGGTCGCCGATGGCCGCAATTCCATCATTGAAGCGTCCAAGATTCTCAAGTCAATTGCCGCAAAGCACTGGAAAGGTCCCGGAGAGCCACATTTCAACATGATGTTTAAGAGGATACTGGTAGATGGGGATTACATCGTCGCACAGATCTTCTCTGAGCGCTGGCCTGGAGATGCGGGCGAGCATGTCTTTGACCTTTATCGATGGAAGAATGGCAAGGTCGTGGAACATTGGGATGTTATTCAGCAAGTTGATGCGGCGAATATCAAGCATGGAAACTCAGTTGTTTAGCTCTAGGGTAGCGAACACACGGAGCCTGTTAAAGCAGAGGGGTTTGTTTGTACAAAGTCAGAAAGACGCTCTATCACGATAAACAAACATTCATTGCCTAGTTTTCGTTTGATTTCATAAAATTACCCCGCTGTCACGCTCGCTTATTTTCCAAGTGCCACTCAGCTTTCTGTTTACAGGTTGGTTTTCGCCCCCATCACCAAGACACCAAGCCTACCGTGTGAGAACAGCATATAGCCATTGCTAAAGCTACGATGATTCTAAGCTCAAAGCATAACAATACAGCCTCTAGAGGACACAACAAGCTTGTCACCCAAGGCGAGACAACAAGCTTGGCAGACTCAAGAGATGGAGTGCAGCGCACTGAGTCGATTCTCCACCTCCTACCTACTGTAGCGTCAGCCGGGTGGATCTTCCATCTCCGTGTCATGATGGTGGCGGGACCCCGCACTTAGCTAGACTATCTTCGGCAACACGAGACCTGCACGAAGCTCCGGGCTGGTTGTCTTCTTGGTGGAGATTTACACCAGTCCGGACAATTTTCGGACTCCGAGAACCCGTTTAATGTAATGAAACGCAATTAACCAGTGGAGCATATGTTTATGAGGGTGGTTTAGTGACTTGTGGCCCTGTCATAGCCTCTAAGTGGGATCTAACAAGATTTCAGTTGGCTGAGACTCACGGACCGAACCACTTGACCTGGTGGGCACAGAGTGTATCGCTGAGATTGGTGCTAAGCGAATTTAACAAGCTAGCGAGGATAAAAACAAACAAACAAACCTTATCGGCCCACGTAAAACCCGCCGCCAGTAAAACCCTTGCCACTCATCCGGTGCCAAAGTCTAGGCGTAGTATTTTACCTTGTCTCTGTTACGCAACATCCATGTCTTCTCCAGTTAAGAACGTCGCACTGATTGGTGTACGTATAGCCTACCGGTGCACCCAATTAGAATGGATACACGATACTAAGCAATTCACAGGCCAGTGGTAACCTTGGAGTTGTCATCCAGGACCATTTCCTCGCCCAAAAATCACCTCTCCGCCTTTCCGTTTTGACGCGGGAAAAGTCTGGTGCCAAGTTCCAAAAGGGCTTGAATGTCATCTCGACGGACTACAGCCCCGAGTCCCTCGAACGAGGGTTGAGAGGACAGGATGTAGTCATCATGCTCCTCCCTCCAGAGTCCACTGTTGACCATGAGACTGTCATAGACGCGGCAGTCAAGGCAGGCGTCAAGCACTTCTTCCCCTCCGAGTACGGTGTTAGAACATATCACCCAGCTTTTGCCCAAGGCGTTTTGCTCGCGACGAAGAAGCGTTCTATCGTGAAGCATCTGGAGAAGACTCAGGATATCATGAGCTGGACTGGTATCATGTGCAATCCCTGGGTTGACTTTGTGAGTCCCCTAAGACGAGTATTAAGCGCAAAACTGATTGAAAGTTTTAGTGTGTCATTGATGGACTTCTGGGCTTTGACATGAAGGAGCGAAAAGCCCGCATCTACAATGGCGGCGATGTCCCATTTTCCACGGGTCTCCGTGACTTGGCTGCCCAGGCTCTCTACGCGCTCATCACCAACGCAGAGAGACTCGAGGAAGCAAAGAATCAGTACATCCACGTTGCTTCTTACACCGTGACTCAGAACGAAATACTCGACGTCGTAAAAAAGTTGACTGGCCAGGAATGGCAGGTCGAGAACGTCACCTCCGAGGGAGTCCTGCCAGAAGCCCTAGAGGACATTAAGAGAGGATTGAACTGGGGCTTAGGCCACCAAGTCCAAGCTATTCTGTTTAGCTACGATTCTGACGGCCATTGTATCGGTGATTTTCGCCCGTTGGGGATCTGGAATGAGAAACTGGGTCTGCCAAAGAGTACCCTGGAGCAAGACTTGAAGGGCCCTCTTGCGGGTGATTGGAAGGGGATTGTTCACTGGCAGCCAGATGAGCTTCCTAACTATGAGCTCAAAAAGTAACGCGGTCGCTTGACGCGACTGTATGCTCTCAGCCGACATGAAGCTGTACATTGGTTTTTTCCTTGAAAGGCACTTTTTGTATGCACAGGTCTTGTCATAGTATGCAACATGCTGATTTCCGATCGCCGCTTAGCAATGGGTGGTGGTACCTAAGACGTTACTCTCATCAATCGTGACACTGGATTTAGCATTATTATCGAAGGCTCTCAATCTACTTTCACGATGTGTATCCATCCTAGTGCAACTTTGAGAGACGTTTCAGACCGTCTTTCTACATCTATTAATACTCCTAATCTAGTTATAGAACCTATAGCCTGCTTTCCAGGCCTTTATTGCCATCCAAGACACTGCTGAACCCCCGATGGCCAGTGAACGTCTCGGAAGGATCCCACTTATTTCTGATCTCAAGCCACTTCTTCAAGGCAGAGTCCGTCATGACCTGTATACTATTTAGTTTTGAGCCTGATCCTACAGATGGTTATATGACTCACCCTTGGCTTTCTGTGCTTCACGTTGAAATCGGCTACATACACGCCACATGACACTTGGTCGGCCTTGGTATATGCATCGAGCAGCCACTTGTCCACTGCTGCGTCATGCTTAGGATCCTTCCAGCAGCACATTGTAGACACGTAAGCCTTCTGGGGTAGGCTCAGAGCCTGGTCAGCCTCATCGGGGTAATAGTCCATAGGACAAAAGGTGCCTGACGAGAGACGAGAGGGCAGGTCGTACAGAGCCGGCGTAATGGCGTCAATAAGCTGGATGGTCAGCGATTAGCATGACACCAAAGATCAACCTCAGAAGAGCCTACCTCGTCATCCGAAGCCTTGGGGTCAACTAGGATGCTATCCACGTTCCACCTCTCGCCGTTGCCCTGAGGCTGGAAGCTTTCCTGAAGGGCCCAGAGCTCGTCCCAGGTTCTCTCCACCAGTGGAACCGTTGTAACGATATACTTTTTGAAGTCCTCGGGGAACGTCTCTAATGGACTCGCCAATACCGCAGCCTCATCCAAAGAGTCGGCAAAGATGGTCAGGTTAATGGCAAAGAAGATGCGCTTGGCGGCGGATTCGTGACCTCCATTGGGATCATCCTTGTCGGCGAAGAATGTGCAGTAAAAGAGGTCGACACCATATTTGGGCACCTTCCTGGACATCTCAAGCGTCCACTTTAGCAAGGGCTTGAAAATATCAGTCGAATCGACGATGACGGTCTTGTCAAAGAGTTTTCTTGTCGGGATCGTCTTGACCCAGATCCTCGTCACTACTCCAAAGAAACCTTGTCCACTACCTGGAGCCGCCCAGAACAGGTCCGAATTCTGAGTCTTATTGGCGGTAACGGTCTCGCCCTCAGAAGTCACGACTTCTAGCTGGGTGACCCAGGTAGGAGCTGTGTATCCCCAGCCGCGCATGAAGCAGCCCTGGCCACCAGCAAGTAGGAAACCACCAACTGCGACGGATCGTGAGTGGCCAGAGGGGAAGAATCGGCCGCGAGCTTCGAGGAACGTGGTCACATCCTCGACTCTATGACCGGGACTGACAGTGGCGATGTTTGTTGCGGCATCGTATCCAATATCTTTATTCAAATTGCGCGTGTCGATGAGAAGGCCGCCTTCCAGAAGCGCATTGCAGAAGAACAGGTGGCCACCTGAACGGACACCGACCTTCCAGCCATTTTCTCGGGCCCGCTTGACGGCGGCCACAACTTCGGCTGTGGTTGATGGGATGGCTATCTCAGTTGGATGGATATCGGGAACTCTGCCGTTGAAGAACTTCAGGCGTGTTTGTTCGTAGCCCTCAGATTTCTGAGACAGGATCTTTGGAAGTGAAGCCATGATGAGGATGAATGCGAGGGTTGGTCAAAGTTCTGATAGAGAAGAAGTGAGAGATCTGGCTCAAGCTTCAAAGAGCTAAACTATTTAACAGCCGATGCGATGGATGATTCTGGTGCATTGTCTTCATTGTGTGCAACGCAAACGTAGTAGAAAACCCACCAAGTAGCCACTTATGAATTGAGTGGGTTCAGGAGCTGGTAATGCCCACCCAGCCCCGCCTTAAGTTTTATTTCGTCAAGGTCTCGAGATCATGACATGTCTTGGCAGCCTTAGATGATAGAGCCAGCAGTTATGGATGTAGTCAGAAGATACAGTAGACGGTGCAACGTGATGCAAAAAAACGGCGGGTCATTGCATTAAGTACAACGTCAATATAATGGTCAGCCAGAGAGTGGATCAGGCTGATCCGAAAGAATAATTTGGTGCCTCGATCAATGCTATTCAGTGCAAAAATTACATCAGATTGTTAGATCAAACTATCAATCGATACACCCTAGTTTCAATACTTCTTGAAACAGAATACCCTGCTTATAAAGCCGCCGCACAGGTTCTAGCATCAAGACCAGTCGTTTTACAACCTTAGATTTATTTAGACACTTGATGACATCAGAGATGTTCGTCATACTGTTGAGGTAACTATTTTAGTGCAATTTATTACGTCTAACTCGGCAATGTTCATATCTAGCTTCCTGGCAACTATGTTCCTCTTAATCCAAGACCCCGGCTGCAGCCAGGTTCCGTCCGTGATGCTTTCCAACGTCACAAACTTGACTGGGTTTCATTGCCTTCGATTGGTGCTGTGGCATCTACGCCAATCCTTTCCAACTGGTTGCCCGGTGATATTAGCTCAAGTAGAAAGAGGCATCTATGAACGACTGACCTCAGCGACAACATCATATCCATAGACAAAGTCTTGTGCGCCTGGGTCGATCCTGAAATAACAGTCAGTGCCATTACTTTAGGTAACGGGGGGCACCTACCAGTAAAATGGGTAGCCTGGCTGCTGATCGTAGAGTTGTGATTCTGCCAGACGGTCCCTAGCTTCTTGCTCAGGACCATCGGGCAAGTGATTGATGTGTCTCTATAATAAAAGTCAATCATCCATGTTTCTCAGTATTTATTGGTTATACGTCTCATAACCTTACCTGCTTCACGCTCCATTTCTGCAACGCGCTGCTCCGGGGAATTCTCAGGTTCTCATACGTCTTCAGAGCTTGAGGGAGCTGCTCTCTTCTGTCCACTTTGGAGAGGATAATACCCAACGCAGCACCGTCTTCGATAGCAGAACCAGCTCCCTGTGCCATGTACGGCAGCATGGGATGGCATGAGTCACCCAAGAATGCGACGGTGGCCTCCTCGTTATACCAGCGCTCCAGCTCGTCCACTATGACGTGTCAGGCGACGAAAAGGGTACTTGGCGTTGAGCTTACGATGCATGAGCTTCCATTTATCAATCTTGTCCACTTGAGAGAGAAACTTTTGCAATCTAGAAGGATCAGTTGGCGTCTGTCGTGGGTGACGCTAGGCGACTTACAGCGGATCCCACTTGTCAAAGATCTCCCTCATTTCGGAGAGATCACCAGGCATCTTGGCCACATTGTCTGGCAGATTATCTGGGACCAAGAGAACAATATTTGCCATCGTGTTGTTCTTAAGTGGGTAGTAAATCGCATGGCATTCTGGGCCAGCCCATAAGCAGACACGCGGCTTGTCAATGAATTCTCGTAGCTCAGGATCTTGAATGTCTTCCTTCTTGAGAATAATTCGATACGCAAGATCTCCTGTGGCTATCGGCTGACTAGGCCTACCGAGAATCTTGGACCGAGTCTTTGACCAAAGTCCTATCGCACATTAGAGAATGCAGTGCTGGGTTGGGAGAGGCTCACCATCTGCAGCTATCACCAGATCCCCGGTGATCTTATCACCCTTGTCTGTAGTCAGCTGAGGAACGGCGGGATCTACATCAGTCACTATTGTACCAAACTCGAAGCGGATACCGAGGCTCTTGGCCCGTTCAAACATGGCAAGCTGGAGATCTGCTCGGTGCATATCCCAATAGGGTGACTTGTACTTGTTGAGCATTTCAGCAGCAAAGTTCTGTCGGTGGCCAAGGATCTTGCGGCCGTCAAAGCGACGGACGAGGAATTCCTCGGGACTGCTAGCCAGAGGCTCGAGGCTGGTTTTCAATCCCCACCTTAGCAGCAGCCGGGTCGCATTGGGTGTAAGTTGGAGACCTGCGCCGATCTAAGTAGTTCAAGGAGTCAGCTTTCACTGCATTTAATTGCAAAGAGTTACTTCAAAGACAATTTTACCTCGGCTAGTACAGGAGCTGATTCCACAACCAAAACGCTGTGAGCCGGCGACTCTTGCTTGATGGAAAGGGCGGCGGCCAGCCCACCGAGCCCGGCTCCGATGACAACAATGTTAAGAGGCATGATGACTTTCGGGTTGGCCAATTTCTGTAGAGCTATCATACCGATGTGAAATCCCTCTTTCGACTCTCCATAGCCTTATAAATGGCCGTAGAACTTGGTTCTACTCCTAGACTCCCCACCCGGGTGGGTGCTGCTTTACGACAGTGAAGCTATCCACCATCCAAGCACTAATCTCACAGTTCATCAGATACAATACCCTGTTATCCACTCTATCTGTCCCCATTGATAACAAACGCATTTATGATATATAGATAGCCTCCCAGTGTATCTAACCCGGATCACAAATTCATCAATCTAATTCTCCAACTTTCACCATCTTTTTTCCAGGACTTCTCTCCAAAAGCTTTCAACATGTCATCATTAGCTGGTAAGGTGGCTCTCATCAGTGGTTCATCGGCGGGACTCGGAGCGGCCATTGCTCGTGAGCTGTCCAGCCGCGGAGCTTCCGTGGTCATCAATTACCCGAACCAAAGCGAAAAGGCAAACGCGGACAAGGTTCTCAAGAGCCTTAACGGGCCCGGAAAAGCCGTAGAGGCAGACCTGTCAACACCGGAAGGTCCGCAGGTGCTAGCCGATGCGGCCGCAGAAGCCTTCGGCAAAATCGACGTCCTTGTCAACAGCGCTGGCATCAATCGCCCCACGTTTCTCGACGATCCCGACGATGAGAAGGTTGAAAAGACGTGGCATGATATTATTAACCTTAATGCCAGAGGTGTCTTCTTCCTCACCCGCGCCGTGCTCAAGTATTTGTCGCGGGATAACTCCCGTATCATCAACATCGGCAGCTCTGTGTCGCGTACTCCAGGGCCTGAGTCTAGCATCTACGCGGGTACCAAAGGACTTGTCGAGGTCTATACTCAGTGCTGGGCCACTGAGCTGCCCCGGAAATACGGTTGCACCGTCAATGCTGTTGCGCCTGGGCCTGTTGGAACTGACGCCTTCAACGCTGCACCCAGCTTTGTGAGAGAGGCACTGCAGCCCATGATAGATGCGACTCCTGTCGCTCCACGTGTCGGAACACCTGAGGAGGTAGCATGGTCGGTTGCGATGCTGGCTGAGGAAAGGTCGAGCTGGATCAACGGGGCTTATATTCCCATCAACGGAGGATCCAGTATATTTTAGATTGGCATGCACAGCTAGATTGACCATGTCGAACCTAACTGGGACTCTGAACACATTTCATCCTTCAAGGAAGTCTTCACGTGGTTCTTTGATTGTGATTGCTTTGTAGCTGGAGTCCAGTTCTCATAAGTCAATAAGATCATTTCCGGCTTCAGAGCACAGGTAAATAGCCATTGGCCAGCACGCATAAAAAATTCTGTTTCAAAGCTCTAACAATAAATCATTACCAAGCTGCCTTCTATCAGAGAAGAAGGTGCCATATAGAGTGTATCCAGACGGTGGAGTGCTCTGGCTGTCTACTCAATTGCCTAGTTATAAACCGCTACGCTAATGCCCGTCAGCGACTTAAAAAGCGACATGCAAAAAGTGAGACGTAAGATAGCTCAGCAAAAATCAATTTAAATAAGATTACAACACATCATCACCACCTTACTTTCCATTCACGGTTCCATTCGCCCTTCGAGCCTCGCTCGCCTCCCTGGCTGCATCAACATCTTTACCATCAACCCAACTACCATGAAGTCCGTCCATCAACTTGAACGGCAACTTGATCTCAGCCAGAGGGCCCCGTGTGATGTCCGAAGCCTCAAAGAGCAGCAGGACATTGCGCCCTTCGCGATAGCGATCAGCCACGACAAGAATATAGCCATCCTCGTCGTCAGCACCCTCATGTCTTGGAACGAAGACGGGCTCTTGGAACGTGGTGTCATCACCGTGGCGGTAAGACTGCATGTCTCCCGTTTCAAAGTTGTAGCAGACTAGCGTGTTGAAGCCAACATTGCCCTGGGCAGTCTCGTGGTCATTGAGCTTGACCTCGTGCGTAGGATCGACCTTGAGTATCCAAACACGCGAGTATTTCTTGCCCAGAAGGCGATCGTCTATGCGACCGAACTCGTTGACTCCAGTGACAAGAATGGATTCCGGATGGACCATCTCATCAGTACTGCCGTTAGGGTCAAATCGGTAGCGAGTGATAGGTGCCGTGACTTTCCTGGGATCGGTGAAGAACCTCTCACCCTTGGTGTTGGGGAAGAAGGGAAAGTGAACGTCAGTCCAGACATTAGCATCTAGAACCAGCTTTCCATCCTCCTCATAGGCGTTGATAGTATGAGAGTAGCAGCCCTGGGGTGTCTTGAACCACTTCGCATCCTCGGGCTTGGCGCCGCGACGAGGAATAACGCCCAGCAGCTGGTAGTCCAGCGTCTCATCCCAGTAGAAATGGTCGCCCCCGGCCTTCATCTGCTCCAGGCTGGCCTTGAGGCCATTGACGGGAAACACGACCCAGTTGTCGGTGGCCCAGAAGTCATGGATCATGCATGGCCAAGGGGCCTTGAACCAGACCTCCTCTGAGAGCTTGCCGTGCTTGTTGACGGTGAAGGAGCAGATGTCAGGTGACGCGTCGCCAGCGGCCTCATAAGAGTAAGAGACCAACTCTCCCGTAGCTGAGTCTGCCTTGGGATGCGCTGTATGCGTGGGAGCGCGGAATGTGCCGTGGTAGTCAATGTAGCCCAAGGTCTCAAGAGTAATGGGGTCAAGCTCCATGGGAGGTGCGTCCTCCTTGAGGGCCATCAACTTGTTATCGTGAAATACAACATGGGTGTTGGCCGTAGTACCCTTGAGGACATTCTGAACGCGAGGATCGTCAGTGTACTTGTTGCGATATCTGCCAAAGAGGGCACGTCTGGCTTCACGCTCGGCGATTAGCTTAGGAGTGCGCACATAGCGCTGCTTGAAGTCAACGTGACCATCCTTGATGTAGAATGAGCTAACGTTGCCATCGCCGTTCAGCGGGATCTCAGTTTCTGCAAAGATGGGTGGGAATGCATGGTCAGGCTGGACGCGGTAGAAGGCGCCGTGGATGGTGCTGGGGATTTGGCCTATGACTTCAAGCTCGTAGGCATCTGCTTCAAAGCGCAGATGGTCTTCGTTCCATTTGCTCATAGCATAGTGCTTTGGGAAGCGGGTGCCTGGAACTCCTGGGACTACATGTGCCATGATGGGCGAGCTGGGGCCTGGTAGTCTGTAGAGGCGCGTTTATGGGGATGTATAGATTGTATAGGCACTGCAAGCGCCAAAGTCGTCCTGATATTTGTGCTTTTGGGTTTCTCTTCTCAGTAAAACCTTGAACCTTTTTATGGTTATCTGGTATAATTATTGACTTTCTATCTGTCTGAGCATAAGGTTCAGAATCCCAGCTGCCATCCGATCGTCCCGTAGCAGGTGGTGCCTCTGCCTCCACCCAAGCAATGAAACATTGGAGTGGGTAATAAAGTCTCGTCCCCACCAATGTCTTCCGATGGGCCGATGCATGCGATTCAGCAGATGTAGACCACTAAGTGTACCACCTGGGAGGGCACTAATTTCAGTTTTTAGAGCTCGGTTTGGGGCGGGGTGAGCGCTCACAAAAAGCCTCTGTGAATCTCGTGAGGACCTGCAAGGATAAGTGACTTTCAAGAATTCAAAGTCTAGCTTTGCATGATTTCAGTTTTACCGATCTATCCTAATCCTTAACCAGCTCGCCCGAAATGATCCAGTGGTACGCATCTTCAGAGCTGCAGTCGCATCATGACAATGCGTTCCGTTCTCGGTTGGCTGGAACAAGATGCCTTCCCCCGGGTCACGATGAAGCCAGTTTCCAGCGTGTCGTGAATGAGTTTCGAGCGATCATAGGAGACGAGAACGTCGTAATTGACGAAGGGCTGGCCAACTTCCGCGACCCATATCCCTTATTCGAAGAGGGATTTGAGGCGTCTGCTGGACTCTGGTAAGACCTTTGATTTGTACTATTGCGACCTTGCTCATACGACTGCAGTCCGTCGACTGTTGAAGAGATTCAGGCGATTCTCAAGATAGCCAACCAACACCACGTTCCTTTGTGGACATGCTCACAAGGAAAGAACTTCGGGTATGGCTGAGGCAAATTCCGTCATGTCAGCGACGATTCAGCTAATTCGGTAATAGATATGGCGGCCCTGCCCCTCGAGTCTCAGGATCTATGGTGCTTTCTCTCCATCGGATGAACCGTATTTTGGAAGTGAATGAGAAACTTTCCTACATTGTAGTTGAGCCCGGTGTCACTTTCTTTGACGTCTTCAACTACATTGCGGAGAACAAGCTTGATCTCTGGGTGTCTGTCCCGGCTTTGGGATGGGGAAGCGTCGTTGGGAACGTACGTCATCTTAGTGTCTCCATCGCAGCAGCTTTACTGACGGGTCGTTAGACTCTGGACCGTGGCCACGGTTACACTATCTCTGGTGACCGTCAGCACTTCATTGGCAGTCTAGAGGTTCTTTTGGCCTCGGGAGAAATCCTCCGGACAGGACAATGGGCCGTGCCTAATTCCCCTAGCGCACATGCTTGTCCCAATAGCTTCGGCCCTCAAATTGATGGCCTCTTTCTGCAGAGCAATCTGGGCATCGTGACCAAGATGGCTGTGGCTCTCGACGTGGCGCCTCCGTCTTTCATGGATGTCAAAGTTCATTGTCCCGAGGTTGAAGACATCGCGCCCCTCATTGACACCCTCCAGCAGCTGAACCGTGAGGGCATCACCCAAAGCCACCACATGATCACCAACATCAATCATTTTGCCTCGCACGATGCCCCCAAGCACCAGCAGCAGAGCGTGCCAGGGCCTCTAACACCTGAGAGTATAGCTGCGTTGAAGAAAAAGTACAATACCGGGTACTGGCGATGCTCGGTGTCTTTCTATGGGCCTAGACAAATGGTTATGGCCCGTTGGAGTAGATTGCAAGAGGTCGTCGCCCAAAGAGTTCCCAACGCTTGGGTTGAGAACACGCTCTTCGAGGGCAAGGATGGCAAGCCGGTAGACAACATCCAGATTGGAACGCTCGCTGCGGGTATTCCCTCAATGGGCGCCGTCAAGCTCGCAGAGTATAATCTTCCAGCGGATGGTACAGGGGCGGGAGCTCATATCGACACTACACTCATCCTTCCTTGCGAGGGTGATACAGTCCTGAAATGGTTCCGCAAGGCAAGGGCTATTATGGAGGAGCAAGGAGTTGATCCTTTTATAGGCTGTCACGTCTTCTCAAAGTATATCCTGTTTGTTCAGGAATATGTCTTTGACAAGTCTAACAAAAACGCACGTGAAGGTGGGCGAAAGGTAGTCAAAGCCTTGCTTGCTGAGGCAGAATTGAATGGGTTCGCCAACTATAGATCTCATGTTCAGCACATGGGTGAGTACGGTTCCCAGACTCCGCATACATGTCACTAACAATTCCAGATGCTGTTCAAAATTTGTATTCGTACAACGGCCACATTTATAGGAGATTCGTCGAGACTCTAAAGGTACGTTGGCGGCCAATCATCCATCAACCGGGTTACAGATTCTAACCTTCCACTGCCAGGCTGCCGTAGACCCCAATGGAATCCTGTCGCCCGGCAAGCAGGGAATATGGCCTCTCAAGAACTTGGTTCATTTACCATCTCGTGGGGGCTAAGTTGAGTCGATTGCTTAGAATAGAGATATCACATAAAAGACTTAATCCTGCACATATGATGTAAATACAACAATGAAGTAAACTATCTCAACACCACGATGTGTCTTATAAAGTTTTCGAGTAATTGTGAAAGCTAAATCATCTACCAGATGTGTTGATTTCAGAGGTCAGACACAGTCAAAATGCTGATATTCTCATCTATATGAGTCACCTTGATGTATGGCATTTGCAGAACCTTTTACGCTGAGTGATGATACTATAACGTATGGGGTCTACATAGAGGCATGACTGTTGTGAATAAATGTTTTTTATCGCGTTCTGAATCTATGTCAATAGCTCAATCGGTGATTGTGCCATCAACTACTTTTACATTATTACCAAGCTTAACAGCCGACTTTACTGCCTCTTCATGCCGTAACGCCCCAACCTCGGCATCTGACACAAGTGAGAAGTCATATCTAAGCAGTTTTGTGGTTCCTGGTACTCCATATCTCTCTGAGAATCCCGAGACTTCCGAAACAGGTCTCAGATCCACAATGAGAGACTCTTTGACACCAAAGACAGCATCGGAAGTCTCATACGGGTCACCACGAACATAGAGCGCCCTTCCCAGGTCAGCATGATAGTCTCAATTGGTTCATTAGTGTAGCTTACGTTATTAAAGGATCATATCCAGCCTTGTTGAATTTGAAGTGCATATGGCTTGGGCGGTAAATATGTCGATTCAAGGCCTTCAAAAGATCTCCGACAGGCCCGTCGCCGGGTATTGGGTAAGGCACGGGGACAATAGCTTTGAAGCTGAAGTTTCCTTCACTGTCGCTGTGTAGTATAGCTCTGTTATCGAAGCCTTCCCGATCTGCATACTGCACATCATAGAAGCCCCTGGAGTCGGTCTCCCAGACATCGACCTCGACGTCTTCTAGCGGGTTGCCTTGAGAGTCTCGCACTGTACACACCACCAAGAGTGGTTCACCTTCTGGATCATGAGAAATGGTATCACCAGAAGCCACATTCTCGGCGCCGTGGGCATGGAAGGGACCGAGGACAGTCCCCTCAGTAGATGTAGGTGGCTTGGGGTGATCAATTGAATCGACCAGAAGTGACAGTCCGAGGACGTCTGACAGAAGAATGAATTCTTGTCTGGTGTCGCTGCAAATCTTTCCAGTTCTGGTGAGGAACTGAACAGCTGTCTCCCATTCTGCCGTGCTCAGACGAGTCTCACGCGCAAAGTCATGGAGATGGTGAACTAGCCTCTCAAAAATAAAACGTGTTCGTGGATCTGGGCAATTGGAGTTGATCGCCACGACATTTTCAGTAATGTTATCAGTTGTGAGATCTTTGAGAAGGGGAATGCCTAGCTGAATGTGTGCCATGGTGAACAGAGGTGCTATGACGAATGCTGAGTATGATTAAGGCTGAACTGTACAAGGACCGTGTGTCTGTTAATCATTGCATGTTTCAGATTTGGCGGCACGGTCACGGCTTTCTTTTGAGGCCGTTCCCACCGAGACGTACCGTGAAGTGCCGACGGCGGTGGGGCCGGTGGGTACGGAAAAGCCGGGTGGCTCGAAGTTCGGTGGCTAGGTGCGTCTCGCCGATCGGGAACCGGAGCTCAGATGAGGCAAAGAAATTTACTTTGATAGTATATTATGAGATCGTTCTCAAGTCCTATTTCCAAAATGAGACACGGATATCCAAGATGGAGCCCTTTGTGTTCAGCCCTCTTCCCCACAAGATCATCTTTGGACAAGGTTCAATCCGTCAACTTCCGCAATGCCTGCAACAACTTGGCTTCCGACGGGCCCTCGTCCTATCAACTCCCTACCAAATTGACCAAGCAAAGCAAATCATTGATATTCTTGAGTCGTACGTGGAAGCCAGTTGGATCTTCTCTGAGGCTACCATGCACACTCCCTTGAATATTACGGAGAAGGCTCTCGCATTTTGCCAACAGAACAGCCCCGACGTCCTGGTTTCTATCGGAGGCGGTAGCACCACGGGACTTGGCAAGGCCATCAGCTTTCGCACAGGGATATACCACATCTCTATTCCTACAACATACGCTGGTAGTGAGGTGACACCAATTCTCGGAGAAACCGTCGATGGCATCAAAACGACCAAGACGCAGATTGAAATCTTGCCGAAAACCGTTATATACGATGTCGATTTGACTCTCACGCTTCCTCTTCCCATGTCGCTCACCAGCATCATCAATGCGATCGCCCATGGTGTCGAGGCTCTCTACGCCCCCAACACGAACCCTATCGTCAGTCTAATGGCCGCTGAAGGTGTACGGTCTCTCGCAAACGGATCATACGAGCTACTCGACGATCCCGATTCCATTGTCGCTCGATCGACTTGCCAATATGGAGCTTGGCTCTGCGGAACATGCTTAGGCAGTGTTGGCATGTCTCTGCATCACAAGCTATGCCATACATTAGGTGGCTCTTTCAACTTGCCCCATGCCGAGACACACACGATTATTCTCCCGCACGCCTTGGCGTACAATGCTCCCAGGGTTCCCCAGGCGATGAAGGTTCTGGCTGGGGTGCTTCCGGACAGCCAAGGGGATGCTCTACGGGGCCTGAACACGTTACTTAACAAGCTTGGTGTTCCACGAAGCTTAAAGTCCATTGGATTTAAGGAGGAAGATATTGACAAGGCGGCTGATATTGCCGTCAGTAAGTCTTATGCCAACCCAAGGGAAATTGATAGAGATCTCATCAGAGAGGTCATTCGGAGAGCATGGGCTGGTGAGGATGCGAAGGCAGATTTGTAACGCAGACCTGACAAGAGCTAATAGGATATAATGGTCTTCTCAAGCCTCTTTTTCTACTCATGTATTAATTATGTCTATGTGATGTTCCTATCCCTTGTATACGACGGTATAATTACATGGTATTTGATAATAGACCGATGTTCATTCTGTTGAACTAACCGCCTGTCGGCAGCGCAGCAAGCGTTGACTTTCACGCACTTTCTGACCTTTCTGCATGCTTGACGAAGATGTAATCGAAAGTAAGAACCGACATTCAGCAAATTCTCTGTGTTGTGCAAAGTTGAATGACATGAAATACGTCTAATTCTCAGTCGTCTATCTGCATAAGGCTGTCTTCACCCCTGCCGACTCAGTCCCAAGACTCAATAGCTATGGCGATTCGCTACTCAAAAGTTCGCTGCCTCTGCGCATTCTGCCTTGATCAATGCCGCATGAGCTTGACTTCTAACGCTGATCCTGACCTCGTAAGGCTTCTCTATCCCGATCTCGAACGGCTTTCCAACTGGAATCGGATGGCCTGGAACTTCATGGAAGTCAAAACAGTACAGTACGCGCGCGATCAACAGGTGGAGACTGTTACTAGCAATTACCCATCCGGGACATACTCGGCGACCTAGTTGGTTAACCTCTTAGTCGGGTGATGTTTGAATGCATGCGTAGCTTAACTCACCTGCTCCAAATGCTAGATGTCCCTTGATGGGCTTGTCAAGGTCCTCGTTCAAAAATCTCTCCGGCCAGAAGGTCTCCGGATTTTCGTACTCGGAGTTATCCATGTGAACGCCCCAGCTGTTCCAGATCACGTTAGTCCCCGCTGGAATGTTGTAACCTTCAAAGGAGTCATCCTCAATCAAGGAATGGGCGATTTCTGGCAACGAAATGCTAACTACTTGTCAGTCTATCACACAAGAACGACGCAGAACTGCGCTGTGATGTTTTCTCTTTACTTACTTCCATCGAAGAACTTCTTTGCCAATAGCCTTGATGTAGGGCAAACTTGCAATATCGCTCGCGACCGGAAGTCTCTGCGCATCTGCACCACAAACATTGTCCAAGTCCTGACGTGCACGCTGTACAAAGTTTGGAAACAATGCTGCACCAGCTACGAGCTGGTTCAAAGCCACGCGTGTGGTATCGGATCCTGCCTCGATAAGAGATCCGGCGAGGAAAACTGTTGACTCATAGTCAAGCACCTTGTCTCTTCCAAGCCTTTTAAACTCGGAGACGAAACACGTTACAGTCTTTCCTTGCTGTTCCCTAGCGGCAAGAGTCTCAAATTCTTCAGAAAAGTTCCTGCATTGAAGTCAGTGGCGGCCAGATATCACGAATGTGGAGGGAATATACTTCTTGGATTGTTCAAAGACACTGTCGCCCCACCATCTCCATGGTTGAATGACTTTTGGGAGGGGGATGTACGCCAAGAAAGGAAATGAATCGATCAAGCTGGAGCCAGGCTCAAACATTTTCATGATCTCGTTGTTGGTCTCGATGATTCTGTCAACGTTGGCGTCTCCCATTTTTGTCCTTCTCCCAAACACCATGCTCATGATGAGAGAGCTGGCATATCGAGCATTTGCTTGGTTCCACAGATCAGGTTCCGTGAGGTAGTCGTACAGCAGTGTTCGTGACTCGACATCCTGGAGGGGAGCGAAGACGTTGCGGTTTCCAGGGCCGATGATCTCGTGTATGAGCTTGCGCTCCCACTTCCAGAGGTTACCGTACGGCATAAATACGACGCGTTTTCCACCCGAGGCAACGTCTCCAGGCATGGGCAGATTCTGCCGTGAGATGTAGCGTGCCCCGCGCTTGTCGAGCAGCTCATTGGCGATGCGCTGCGAGTTCATGAATATCCAATAATTGGAGCCCACCTTCAGAGTGAACCTGTTGGATTAGATTTTTTAAGTGCTTGGTCTTAGTGCAACTCTATTTCTGACACGTACATTTCGCCATATTTCCTGGCCAGTTTATGGAGGTACAGACGTCGCCCGGCTGTATCAGTTGGAATCTGCAGCATGTTCCCAAACAGAGGTACGCCGGGCACGAGGTTAGGAAATTTGTACTTTCGATGGAACCTGAGCCAGAGCACAGTACGAAATAGGATCCATAACAGTACCAGAGCGATAGCCAACGGTATCACTTGAATATGTCTCCCGGCCACTTTCATGACGGTATTGACTGGTAGTGATGGACTTTGGAAATTTACAGTCGGTGGTTCCAATTCTTACAGCGGATTACCAAGCGAATATCTTCCTCGAGGAAACGAAATTAAATATAGACAACTTATAACGACAATAACGGAACCACCAGGCAACGCATTTCCAGCTTCTCATCACCCACCTACTGCGAAAGAGTTTGGTGGGCAAACGCCCCACCACTCACCTCCCCACCCTATACTATCCCCGATTACACAGCATTTGGGTGGCATAGCGCTCAGCAGAGGTTAACCAGTATCCGGAGAAAGCATGGATCTATTCTTGCGCCATCAGCTAACCGCTCAAGTATTGTGTTAACTCACTATCTGGACATGGGCTCGGATTTACCATCTTTTTGTGCATAAGCCTTGGTGGAGCAAAGGCAGTGTTTAGCACGCGTTTTCAACGTGCTCAACACTTGTGGCCATACATCCGGTCTCAGCGAGCTTAGATGCAAGAGTATTTAAATACCAGAAAGGCTAGCTATAATACACCTAGACCAACACTCAACTCCAAAGAATTTCCTTTTGGCTACTCTTATCTATCTATTGATAACAATGAGCTCAGGTGACAAAACAAAGGGTTGGTCAACCATACCATTTATTATCAATGGAAAAGATGTTACCTCCAAAGCATCATTTTCTGTAAATAACCCTGCCAGCTCTGAAAAGCTCTGGAGTGGTTCATCTGCTTCAATCAGCGATGCAACTGGGGCCGTCGAGGCAGCTCAAGCGGCTTTCGCGTTGTGGTCTCAGACAAAGCCGAGTTTCAGGAGAGACATTCTGTTCCGGGCTGCAGATCTCTTCATTAGCAGAAAAGAGGAATTGTTCGCCTATCAAGCCCAGGAGACGGGTGCGGGGCGGCAATTTATGGAGATCAACATCCAGGCTACGGCGCAGATACTGAGAGATATCGGAGGGAGAATTGAGACGGCAGTTGAAGGCTCGGTCCCTGCGACGGCCGAGCAGGGGTCTCATGCCATCATAGTCAAAGAACCGTACGGCGTCGTTCTCGCAATTGCACCGTGGTATGTAATGAAAACAAGTCGCATTCGGACCGAGAACTGACGATCTTGTCTTTCCTTCCACCGCAGGAATGCCCCATACGTGCTCGGAGCACGATCAGTTGCGTTTGCCCTCGCAACGGGAAACACAACAGTTCTCAAGGGTTCCGAACTGAGCCCGCGTGTGTTCTGGGCAATCGGCGATGTTTTTCGACAGGCTGGCCTGCCGGACGGTTGCCTCAACGTAATTTATCACCGAACGGCAGATGCCGCTGCCGTGACAGACGCGTTAATTGCGCATCCAGCGATCAAGAAGATCAACTTTACTGGCAGCACTCTCGTCGGAAGCATCATCGCCAGTTTGGCGGGGAAGCACGTCAAGCCGCTTTTACTTGAGCTTGGCGGGAAAGCGAGTGCAATTGTCCTCAAGGACGCCGACGTGAAAAAGGCCGCGACAAGTTGCGCCGTGGGCGCGTTCATCCACGTGAGTTTGGCCGTGAAGCATTTGTGATCAATTGATACTCATCATATCTAGGGCGGTCAGGTGTGCATGTCGACGGAGCGCATTCTCGTGCACAGATCGATCAGTGACGAGTTCAGCGCGGCACTCAAAGAGGCGACGCAGGGGCTCTTCGGGCCCGAGAAACCGCCGTTCGTGCTAGTAAATTCAGCGGCGGTACAGAAAAACAGGGGTCTCATCGCCGACGCGGTGGCCAAGGGCGCGACGACCCTCCTGGGCGACGCCGATGCTGCAGAGGACCAACCCACCAAGATGAGACCCGTCATCGTCTCCAACGTGTCCAAAGAAATGAACATCTACCATACCGAGTCCTTCGGGCCTACCGTGTCCCTGCTGACCTTTGACACGGAGGAGGAAGCTCTCGCGGTCGCCAATGACACCGACTACGGGCTCTCGGGGGCTGTATTCTCCGAGGACCTGAAGGCCGCTATGAGGGTCGCTAGAAAGTACGAAACTGGAGCCGTCCACATCAACTCCATGACCGTGCACGACGAGGCGGCGCTGGTGCACGGCGGGGCTAAGAAGAGCGGCTACGGGAGGTTCAATGCTAGCCAAGGACTGGCTGAGTTTCTGAGGTACAAGACCATCACCTGGAGGGAGTAAAGTAGCGGAGGCGTCCAATGATGCGAGCCCTGTTCATCAGCCGGTAAATAGCGTGCTCTTTTGTGCGCAGCCGTGAGTACCATAGAGTATAGACAAATCTGCCTACCCTGTTATAGGGTAAGCAAATACCGAGTAATGCCCGAAATCCTTTGAATGTGTCTTTGCAGGCAACATCTTGTGTTTTTAGCAGATTACAAGTGTTGGCAAGGATAGGTAGAGGCAGAAACGGCCGTGTAATGCTGCCGGGAGAATAAAGCTGGTCCCTGGAGACGTCACGTAGCAAACCATGCCAAATAAACCCTAGTAACGCGTTACGCATACAGACTGAATTCTCGCACCATCCTCTAGCTATACACGCTGCTCTTAACCATCCATACTAAACTAGTCTTAAGATCTTCCCCCGCAATCTTGTCCCCCACATTTTCGGGACTAGATTTGTCAACCCCAGGATCATTCTTCCGTCCAAACCCAACCTGGGGGCACTTGTAATTCCTTCATCTCCCTCATACCCACTCTCCATTAGCTCACTCGAAATGTCTTGTCAAACCAACACCTCCACGCAGCAGGTCACTGGTGAAAATGTCGACAAACCATCCAACCGACAAGGTTGCGGCTTCTCCTGCGATCAATGTCACGCCAGTTTTAATCGCCTAGCTCATCTACGACGCCACGAGCTTACGCGCAAGTCGATTCTTTTTGCTATGTCTCAGAGGACTATCCACCACTGACTATCTGCAGATGGAAGCGAGAAGCCGTACAACTGCATGTATTGCTCCCTAACATCTTCCAGAAAAGATGTCATCGTCCGGCATACCAGAAACTTCCATCACGGCCTTGGTAACAGAAAGTCTTCTGGCTTTCGCGGCAGGCGTCGCACCAATTCACACCCCGGAGCTTCTCGCCCAAGAGGCTCAAAGAACGCTTCTGCGCAAGCATCGCCTGCCCCGACAACGGCTCGAGGACAGCAAAATCGCCATTCAGAGGGACTTGACCATGTGATCGAGGAGCGCGATGAGTCGCCCACAAACAATCAAGTAGACGGTTCTCAGAGCAGCCAGGCCAATTCTCTGGACATTGCCATGCCCTCGCAGCCCGACATGTTCCCCCCCTATATTTCAGGGAGTCCCTTAGAATTCAATGCTTCGTTCATGGACCCCGAGCTCATCAACACAAACCTTTCGGCCATATTCGACCTCGACGCGCTCCTGGCTGATGCCCAAGGACTTTTTGGCCAAGTCTCAAACTGCAATCCCCCAGAAATACCGATCCTAGCCCTGGAACCGCCGATACCCAACAGGCCGGCCATTCTTGACCAGTCAGATAACCCTCCTAGCCCGCGCAATCTTGTGCCTAACGACGATAAATGTGAGAATGCTTGGGCCAACCTCACCAAATATCCGGTCCACATACTCGCTTCGCTTCGCTTTCCTTCAAAATATGCAGTGAGGCGTTTCGTCAAGGCTTTTTTTAAGCATATTTCTCCTCATATACCCATAATACACGAACCGACCTTTGACATCGCCACAACGCCATGTAACCAATATCCCATCTTGAGTGATGCAATAGAGGTACTAAAAGTGATACAGCTCCCCTCCTGCTTGCTCTAATGGCCTGCAGCGCTGTGTATCTTGGTGAACACTCCAGAGCTACATCAATGCATACCATTTCTGTACAGCTTGTCTTCGAGGTAGGACAGTCCTCCGAGCACTCAAATGATGATACCTAGTTAACAGAGGAACCAGCATGAACGGATGGTTGCTTTCAACAAGGCTGATCCCGAGACTCTGACGTGGATGCTGCAGACATATTTGCTCCTCGCCTATTTTGAGATTCACTGCGGCTCAGAGGGCAAAAGAGGCCATGCGTTCCCTCACTGCGTCAAGGTTAATCCTTACGACATGAGATTTCGTCTAGCTATGGCTAACTCTTACGTTTTCAGCTTGTACAAGAAGCACTCAGCGACCTGCAGACGAGCCCGCCCGCCACGTACAAAGATTGGGTACGCTGGGAGAGTCTAAACAGGTATTTACACTCACTACATATGCGCGTTATGACTGTTCACAGTATGCTAGGTGCATCTCATCTACGATTCTTATAGGTGGCACTGTCTGCTCCAAAGAACAAGAAGCGTGGATTCCAACCCCTATGGTCGAAGCCAGATTCGCTCTGCCGTCAAGCAACACAGAGTGGCTAAAAGAAGAGTCCAGCTGGGGCACGCCGACCGAAATTCTATACAGCAACGATGCACTGGATAGCATCATCGGCGGTCAAATACCATCCATGCCAGTAAGCGAATTTGGTCTCGTAACCATTGCAGCTGCTCTTCTCTACAGGATATGCTCATTTGAGCTACTAACAGGCTCACGCGACGGGGAACTCTACGCAGAATTCGGCAAGAAGATGGAGCAGTCGCTGAAGGTTCTCGATGCGATTCTCAAAGCTCGCATGGTCCAGTATGAAGGTGGACTAGCACCGAATCCCACTGTTCACTGCGCCAGATCATTACTAAACTCAGCTTTCTACCATCTTTACGCTAGTGTTCCGCTGTCTGTTATGAAGAAGATACTCTCGTCGCCCGCCAGCCTCGATGATCCAGAAATCAGGAACGTTTTAAACGTGGCCATCTCGCCTGAACTCTACCAGGCACTCCTGAATGCCGCGGATCAGCTACAATTCGACTGCCGGGTGGGTTTATCTTACATCAAAAAATTAGCACCCATAATATTCGGGCCTGAAAGTGCGGTCGGCGCCTTAGAGGGCTGTAAGTCTCCCATACCTTACTTGACCTCCGTTCGGCAGCTAACTTGTACGCAGGCCTCCTTCTGTGTTGGTACCTTCAATTCGCGCAACCTCGTATATCGGAGATCGGATCACGCGATATTCTCAATGCATCAATAAATGAGAGTTTTGCAGAAGTTGAGGACTTGCAACTGGAGGATCATGGCCTACAAGCAGTCTTACCGCTTGCCGTGTCAGCAGAGCTTCTCTCGGATGGCTCTGTGTGGAAATGTAAGCTTGAGCCCCTGTAGTCAGTGATTCTGAGAAGATGCTAATATCCGTAGGGCCTCCTTCCGTGTCGCAAAAGCTGAAGTTATTGATTAAGAAATTAGAGGATTCAGACAATACCATACATGTTGCAACGGCTAACCCACTATAGCGACAGTTCAGGAAACACAATGCTCCCGTAAACATAATTTTAATGTAATAAAAACCCTCGTCGCTGAATTGGCCGTCTTAAACTATTTCCAGTCATTCCATACATAGAGAACAGTGGTGGTCAAGAGGATGAAATTTAATCCAAGTGAAGTGGACGAAATATTTCGAAGACGTGAAGAAAGAAATACTCGATGTCTTATACATATTATGATATCCTTTCTCCCCAATTGTCATGCGCAAAACCGCTTCATTCATCGACTTTATCGTGACAAGTGGGCGAGTATGGGTGGGTAGCTTCTGGGTGGGACATTGGTGGCACACGGCCGAACGATTGACCTCCTTATATGCTACCTAGTTTTTATTCATTTATCTACGGCGGGCCACTAGCGGCTTTCCTTTGGGTGTAAAAAAACTTGATCTTAAGTAGTAGAAAAGGCGAGAGTTGATATGTACTGAAGTTTGAACACTAACAGAATGACAAGTCGCAAAGAATATATCTTCAAAGTCATTAATGACATCCCAATAGCCGCTGATGTATACTTTAGGAAGACCACGACCTCTTCGAAGCTTCCGATAGGTGCGCAAACTGCTCAACTTAGACTCTGCGAGGCATCTAACCGGACGAGCTACAGCATTGCATTTCCATGGCGGGAACTTTACGGTCGGCTCGAAACAAATGCTCTCACGGGACCAGTCCGAAAAGCTGTTGGACTTGGGCTTTGTGGTTGTATCTGCCAACTACCGGCTTGCTCCCACCGTTACGGTCTTTGAAGGAGCAGTCAAAGATGCACTGGACGCATATGAATGGTCACGGACCAAGTTACCTGGACTCCTCCTTGAAGATGCTCATATCAAAGCTGATGGATCTCGGATTGTGACCTTGGGTCATTCTTGCGGCGGCACCTTGGCCCTTCTGACCGTGCGTAGATACCTTGAACTCTCTTGTGTATCTGTTGCTGACACATGACAATCTAGGCCAGTTCACTAGCCCCGCCTCGCGCGATTCTCGACATCTACGGTATCAAGTACCTCGCGGATTCGGTATTCCATACACCTCTACCTGCACCTCCAGGCGCCGCTGAGATCGATCAAAACTTCGCAAGCCAGATCTGGAAGGATGACCAGCCTCCCACTTCAGCACCTCCTCCTGTTGGGCCGAAAGGGCCCAACCTGGGCAACTACCGTGTTGCCTGGATGTTTGATCAGCTTGCTAAGGGAACACAGTTGAAGAAGGTCGTGGGAGATGGCGACTACGGCCGTATAGATCCCGCTTCGCTGTTTTCCAAGGGAGAATTCCCTCCCACAGTCTTTATCCATGGCACTGAAGATAGGTTGGTGCCGGCGAGGCTATCACAGCGGGCACACGATAAGCTCAAGAGTAACGGTATCGAGACGGAATTGTTCCTGGTGGAAGGAGGACAGCACGGCTTTGATGACATCGGGAGGCCCGAGAATGCACTTGAACTTTTGGGAAAGGGTTTTGAGTTCCTCAAGGCCCATGTCTGATATGATACTGTATTAGAGGGAATAGGTTTCGAGAGGACAGATCTGAATAGGTACTCAATTACTTAAATTTGACTACATCTGCATTGTATAATCGTGCATGCATGTCTTACAGCAGCCTGGCCTGAGCTGACCTAATATATTTCCGTTTGAAATGCTGCTGGCTAGCGTAACACCCCACTACTGCCCATAATTGATTAAATTAATGACCTCGCGTGATATTTAGTGGTATGGGACAGCACTATCACGGTACTTTGTCTGCTGTACGGGGCAGGTGGATCGACTAACAACAATCTCAGTTACCCACCGTAAGTGGGAATTACAACTTATGTAGGGGGTATTTCAGCCGCCTGCAAGTGTCAAACCATCCATTACTTTTGACCTGTGGAACAAATACACATAAAACTTCAGAAGCTAGACCGTTCATCTCACCGCCGCCGTTACAATCACAATGGATTCACCCACCAAACCCAAACGCACAAGAGTCAACAAACACAAGCGCGTCTCAAGAGCCTGCAATTACTGCCGTGCTCGTAAGCACAGATGTGATGGCAGCCACCCAACCTGCTCGCGTTGCTCTGCCATCCACTACCCATGCAGCTACGGCCCCGACACCAAGAAGCGCAGACTGACGACTGGCTATGCGAGGGCTCTGGAACTACTATGGGCACTGGTCTTCACCGTCGTCCCGAATAGCAAGGCCGTGATCCAAGAGCTATTGCCAGATGTGCAGTTTGCGCTCGATTCGAAGTCCAGATTGCTGTTGAATACCAGGCTTGTCAAAGATTACGAAACCCTCAGACAGGCCTGGGACGGGAGTGACGTACAAGAAGAATTGGATCGGCTGTTGGCGAATATTCAGCAAGAGACGGACTCTGGTGCAAGTTCTGTGGCATCCATAAAGGGTGAAGTTTCAACCCCCGACCTCGCACCTTGCACCACCACATTTGAAGTTGTGAAGACCACAACGTCAAATAATGAAGCCCGACAAGTTTCAGATCACATGGATACTGACAGGTCCAATAAATATTCCTGTCATGACCCGTCCGTTGCCCCATCAGATCCATGGAACGACGTATCATCCCCCGTATCTGCTCAGGAGGTACAGCGTCTGATCGACATATACTTTGCCCATACCAATTGTTGGCTTCCTGTGGTCCAAAAGCACAAGATGCTAGAGCTACTGTATTCACCTTCCAGAGATGATTCAGCCGAAGAAGGAAACATGGCCACCCTATGGGCTGTGATTGCTTATGCTTCACTCCAATATACTCGCAACCCTACCGGAGCCTCTGATAGACGAGCCGATCTTCCTCCGCCTGACGTAATATATTCCAATGCAAGAAAACGAATACCGAACGAAGACTCGAGACGGCCAGGCTATGTTCAAGCGTTGCTTATACTGGCTCTTTTCAAGATGGATCAGGAGGATCTGGTGACTTCCTGGCACTTGATCGGCCAAGCGGTGAGGATCTGTCTTCATCTTGGTGCCGCCCCTTGCACCAGCAACGACCCCAATGCCGAAAATTTCGATGATGACGATCAGAAGCGGCTTCTCTTAAGTTGCTTTATACTTGATACTCTCGTATCATGTCGCTTGCGTAAGCCACCACATCTTAGGACAAGAGATTTATGTTTCTCCCCAAAGATCGCAGCAACAGGTCCGAGTGAATGGGAACCACAAAACATTATACCCACAGATTCTGGAAACACGAACAACATGCATCAGCCTTCGCGAGTATTAAGTATATTCAACTGCTACGTGGGCTTGATATGCATATTCAACGACGCCATGTCATATCAAAGATCGGCAAACAGACCTTGCCTTAAAGGCCTACTAGCATTGAATCGTTGGTATGATGGACTTCCAGAACATTGCCAAATTCCATCACTGAGTGGTAAGGTCCAGCCGGGATCGTCAGCTCACCTAACGCCGCAACTGTACAACCTTCATCTCGCTTTCGCAAGCATCGATATGCACCTCAGGTCGCATATTGCCACCACCAACGTGATATCGAGCACACAAACCACAGGTCTAACAGGCCTATCTATGGGATATCTCATGGCGTCTTTTGTAAAAGAGTTCGGTGTATCTAACATGCCCGCTATATTCAAGGTTTACCAAGACCTTGCACGCAGAAGAGTTTATAGGCCTGAGCGACAGGATCCCCCGGTTGGCTCGCTGATCTCGGTATTGAGTAGTGAGCCATCTCCTGATCTACTGCCAACACCTCCGGAGTTCACTGAATCCGTCTCCACAATTCCCAGTCGAGCAGATTTGCTTCACGTCACGGCACCGCTTTGCGAAACAGAGGGTAAGTCATTTCTAATGCCTGCACGGTCCTTGCTGACACTATAGAGAAATGAATTCTACTACTCAATCACATGGATTGACACCAGGCGCAGTTCCTGAATACGATATGGAAACTTTGAGCAAGATATTTGGTACTTCCGAGTTAAGTGAAGCAGGCTTTTCAATCGAGCAAGACATGGAGGGTTTAGACTACTTGAATGGTATGACATGGTAATACAAGGAAGATCTTTAGAGCCAGAGATCTGATATCACTACTTTGACTGGGTTTCCCTACTCTCATCGAGCTCTGAAGTGCTGTATTAATACTGGGTTGGCGCCAGTATAGATTTCCGTAATGTAGCAATTGACGGAATATGGCGATCCTTGGACATCCCATCCGCATTCATTGGCTCTTCCTAATCTAACTTTTGCCAGTATAGTTGAAGACTTTTCCAAGGTGGTGCTGATGGGTTGCCAACATCGGTGGAGAACACCCGTCGGGTGGGAATCAACTCCACCTGCGTTTTGGTGAGGCTGGCTCTAAGGTATTGGTAATGGTCGCTCATGAGGTAGCTGGTCTTTAGCTCATAGGGACTAGCCAAGCATTCGTATTTAGCTAGCTATCAACCGCAACTTTACAGATTCTGTTTCTCTGCCCTCATCTTCTTTGTGTCATTCCACTAAACCTACCCCAATATGAGCCCCAGCGTTCCAACTACGAATCGTGCCTTATGGCTCTCCGCGTTTGACAAGCCTCTAGAGCTCGTTGAACTGCCCGTTCCTGACGCAACACCTGGCTCAGCTGTCATCCAAGTCCTGAACACGGTGGTATTTCCTTATGCCGAAGATATTCACACAGGCAAGCTACCAGTCTTCAACTTGAGCCTCCCCTTGGTACCTCATCCAAGCCATATTGGCCGGGTACAGGCTGTCGGGTCGGATGCCGTATTCGCCAAGCCCGGTGATCTGGTCTTTTTCTCAGCTGCCATTTATGCGCGAGACGACCCCAGCGTGAATATCATCCAGGGCCACCACGGCGGAGAGGGGACCAAAGGCCGCAAGCTCATGCAGGGAGAATGGCGCGACGGCGCTCTCCAGCAGTATCAAAAAGTTCCCCTCGAGAACATATTTGTGTTAGACGAGGACCGGCTATGCAAGAAACTTAGATATACGCCGGCGGACCTTCACGAGATCTCGTTCTACAGTATCTCTGCTGGAGCTTTATTGGAGGGTGCCAACCTACTTGCGGGCGAGACGATTGTACTTGGACCAGCCACTGGAACTTACGGAGGTATCACCTCTGACATGGCACTGGCTCTGGGCGCTAACGTCATTGCCATTGGTCGCAGTGAGACAAAGCTCTCCTACTTGAAGCAACAGCTTGGTAACCACGAGCGTTTCAGCTATGTTGTCATGACGGGAGATGACAAGGCGGATGCAGCTGCAATCCGAAAGGCAAGTCCAGGCGGACGTGGTGTCGAAGTATACAACGATTGGGCATCAGGCAGCTTGAATGGCTCTCCGTACTTCTCGGCCGCCTTACAGGCTGTGCTACCAGAAGGCAGGGTTGTCCTCAGCGGAGCGCCATCCGGGTCAATTTCGGTCCCGTATACGCTCTTGATGCACCAAAACATCAAGATCATTGGCAAGGTCATGGTATCACGAGCAGGAATTGAGTCGACTATCAAGATGGTGAACTCGGGGGTTCTCAAGCTCGGCAAGCGCGGGGGCTCGAGCCATAAGGTATACGGCTTGGAGGAACATCACGAGGCTTTCGAGGATGCGAGGCAAAATAGTGGCTTTAGAGTCTACACAGATATTGCTCCTAACTCGTGGTAGAATTGAGTATACTTCCAAGCTACCATCATATAGTCAGATGTATTGCTGTCAAAAGCATCACTTATCTAGTCGAAAATTACGATCGTGACGGTATCACATATGAAGCAGCAAGCGTGTTGTTTCATGGTCGTGCCACTCGACAGGACTTTATTACCGGTGGGTGCTAGACCAGACCCTTTGCTACCGTTTTGGTGGGGATGCCCACCGGGTCGGATGTTCGGAACCCCACACGGGAAACAGACATGGTCTCAATTAAGCTTGATAAAGTGCAAGCCTCGCCAATTGACATTTTGTTCGGTATCTCTAGTTAGTCAAATTTGAATAAGTGATTAGCCTCCTTCTTGTCCTTCAAATCCAGCCTTAAACTATTGAGCAGAATGTCGTGCGCTGACTGTTACACGGGGCACGACCATCCTGGCCCTGTCTATGGCCGCGAGACCAAACTTCATGGTCATGATGTTTACGTTACAGATCCTCAGACCAAAGTGCTTTCCACAAAAGGACTAATAGTCGTTATGTCGGATGCGTTTGGGTGGAACACGACCAACCTACGTGGTGTAGCAGACAGATATGCGGAGCGGACTGGCTACAGAGTATACGTCCCCGATTTCATGCATGGTGAGTTCATGGGTTCGTTCCATGTCGGATCTTGAAAGCTAATGTTTCTGTTTTCAGGCACCTCTGCGCCCGCATCTATCAAGGCCGTCATTGACAGTGTTCTCAATGAGGGAGGTTTCTGGGGTTGGCTAGTAAAACCGCAAGTTGAGCATATACCCGGCGACAGTGTTATTTCTAACACAGAGAATCAGATGGAACTTGTTAAAGGCGGCATTCGTCATGATCCCTTTCAGTATTCGCAACAAGCCCCAGAAGCGTTACCCTGGTATTCGCAAGTTCATGGACGACCTACGTTGCGATGAAGCAGCGCATCTCAAAGTTGGCGTGGTGGGCTTCTGCTGGGGCGCATACGGCATCACGCATCTAGCCCACGGCGAGGTAGCTGCGAATGGCAAGACAATCATCGACGCAGCTTTCACTGCTCACCCGAGCGAAATCGAGGTTCTCCGAGATATCGAACCTGTGAAGCTGCCCTACAGCTTAGTCATTGGTGATGTTGACTTTGCTTTGCCTTTGAAGGAGGTGCACAAAGCAGCTGAGATTTTGGAAGCAAAGAAGGATCTAGACACCGAGGTCGTGATTATTCCTAATGCAAAGCACGGCTTTGCTGTTAGGGGCAACCCCGATAACAAAGAGGAGAGATATATGGCTGATCAGGCAGAAGATCAAGTAGTCAGATGGTTTACTAAGTACCTAGTTTAGTGGAAGTGGAACTAATATCCAATAGATCTATTTACAAACCATAACTAACAAATTTATTTGTCCCGAATATCCGGCAGTGCTCCCTTTGCCAACATTCTCTCCAGTTTCCTGCTAGACCGTGAGGTGACACCACGCTCGTGACAAGTTCGCCGTTCTAGATTCGCCGAGGACTAAGGCTCGTCAGGTTTATCCCGCGCCCTTGTAGGCCTTCCTTCGCTCTAAGATTTTGATATAGGATAAGAGCTGTCAGATATAAAGTCTCATACCTACTCCCGTAGGAGAAAGGGCACCAGTACCTCAGACAGACCTTCTGAATCCTCTTCAGGAATAAAGTGCCCGCACCCTAACGCCTTGCCACACACATTTTGGGCATACTTCTTCCAGATTTCAAGGGGCCCTTCTGGCTTGTTTTGCAATGACTCGGCAGATACTCCCGCGTTGCCCCAAATTGCCAACATGGGAGCCTGAATCTTATTTCCATCCTGCACATCCTTTTCGTCGTAGGCCTTGTCCAAGAATGCCCCAGCTCTGTAATCCTCACAGGTACTATGGATTCTCGTTTCGCTGCAGTACGCCTTTCTATACTCCTCGAGCGCCCTCTCGTCAAAGTCCTCAAGCGTCTTTTTCCTCGTCCAACTCGCTAGGGTATGTTCCAAGTAGTGCTTGCCATTGTCGGTGCCTTGAATCATGGTCTCGGGAAATGGGTCTGGTTGAGCGAGGAAAAGCCAGTGGTAGGCTTTCAGCCCAGCCGTCACATCGCCAAACCCTTGGAACATTGCTGCGGTCGGGATGATGTCGATTACGACCACCTTTGAGACTGCCTCGGGATGATCAAATGCTAGGCGGTACGCTACTCTGGCGCCGCGATCATGTCCAACGAGGAGGAATTTATCGTATCCTAGCTGTGACATGACGGAGATACAATCGTTGGCCATCAGCCGCTTGGAATAGCCGGATCCGTTGGTGCTTGGAACGGTGGCTGACTCGCCATATCCACGGAGATCTAAGAGAATAATACTAAAGTGAGGGAGAAGGGAGGGTATGACACGGTGATACTCGACGTGTGTCTGAGGGAAACCGTGGAGGAGGAGAAGCGGGGGCTTTGTAGAGTCAATCTTGGTTCGGACGAAGATGGAAACACCATCTGAGTTCTTAATAAATTGGCGAGTGAAGCCTGGCAAAAGGTCGGGGGCCATTGCTGATTAAGACAATTTCTCAATATGCTGGGTAGATAGGATAAAGTCAATTGTGAGTCAGTCGTGAGCTCATGACCTATTCATTATATACGCTAGGCTGTTCGGGAATATCCGAGGACCTCGGTCGTATCGGAGTGGCCCGATCAAACCCCCGTATTAGTAGTAATCCCGCGCGCGATGATTAACCTCCAAGTTCTTAAAAAAGAGGTATGCCATTCTCTTAGTCTCTAGAAACAAATGGATGAATGGCCAGTGTCCTATCTTTCCCATTATATTATAGGTGGAGTCTTAAAACCTATAAGGTAATGTTGCGTTCTCCATAAGCCAAGAGCTTACTGCGTAATAGACTCCCAGCCGTGCTTGTAGTGACTAGTCAATTTGAGGCCGCCTGATCATTGGTGATAAAACCATGGTAGATCCTTGTAATGAATGTATTTATTTATTATCCTGGGTTCTTTTATTCATATTCGACCGGCGTTCCGCAATTTCCACTCTGCAATAACATCGGTCTGCTCTATCATTTTGCCTTGGTCCAGTCTCTTGCCGTTCGACATGATAGGCAGCTACTGCTAACTTTAGAGCCGTATTATAGTATGGATAGTATGTGCTTAAAACCCTTTTGCAATAGTAAAACCAAAAACAGAGACAATAATAGAGTTCATGCGTTTTTCCACAGTCAGACGGTAAGTTCGCAGTTAGAACACCTGGCGGACTAACTCAATTGAGCATCATGATAGTTTGCCAGACATTGAGATTCGCGAAAAGGTTTGGAGCGGTTTCTGGGAGGATTCTGCGAGGTCTTCATCATTTTAGATTGTTACCCCTAGCCTGGACGGGACGATGTCTGTTGGCTTAGCTATCGGTCAGATCAAAAAACCGGGATCGCTGTTAGTGGCAACCTGAATAACAAGAACTGGGACTCGGCTGGTCAGGCAGAAGATCAATTAGTTAGATAGTTTGCTAATTATTTATTGTCAAGGGAGTTGAATAGCATTCTCTTAACGACCTCCTAGCTGTTTCTATAACCTTTACATATCCCGGCTATCCTTCTATATTTACACTGTAAGTTGTGATAACAGAAAAGCTTGAACTAAAAGGGAAATACCACGGAACCACTACTTGTCGCCTCAAGAAAGCCTTCCCTTTGCCAATACTTGTTCCAGCTCCTCATCAGAAAGAAAGTCACTGTTAAACCGTTGGGTAACTTCCCGCTCCTGACGAGCTCGTCGTTCTGCATGTGCCGACGATTCAGCCTCGTCAGTTTCGTCCACCACTCCCATGGGCCTTTTTCCTTTTCGTCGCTCTGACATAGTAGAGGGATTCGCACGGCCGTCGCCGTCTGGAGTGTTGCCTGGGTCTTGCACTGTTCCTTCACGTGTTGGTATGTGTACTGATTCAGTCGTTCTCTCTGATGGCCTGGGTGTTCTCGCTGTAGCATCATTCGCCTGCTCGACCCCGGAGTAGAAGGGTGTTGAAGACAATCCGTCATACTCACCTTCTTCCTCTTTGAGTAATGTGCTACTCAGCGGAGCCTGGTATAAATGTCTTATAAAAGGTCGATTTGAGGTAGAGTCCAGAGATCCAGTATTCTGATCCTTGGCCCAACCCGTGGTAACATGCTTCCACTTGGATAGCAATCCAAACCCCCGATACTGCCGTAGCTGCCGCTTGAAGTTCTGAAAGTGATCCGTGAGACGACTGATGTCGTCTGAAGTATGAATGGCAAAGTTCCAACCTTTTCTGAACTCATCTTCAGGGGATAGTGAGGTTCCCCACCGACCAATGTCGCTGGGATCCTCGTCAAAGTTGAACATGAGAACATGAAACTCAGGTGGACAAGAGAAGAGAGCTTGTGGAATACCTCGTTGCGCTAGTGATGAATCGAGGATAAATACGCACATAGCCGCTTGGAAATATGTGACCACAGCGGTCCTCGTGACGACGATCAACTCCCTATTCAATGTTTTCATTGTTTTCAACCCCCTATCGTCTGTCCATGGCCATTCAGTCCGTTCCAAGAGATTCGGTCGAAGTTTCAAATCCTCCCGACTGGCTAGTTGATCCAAGGTTGATGATACACGGATAAATGAAACATCTGCTTCATTCCTCCCAATCTTGTATATGGAATGCAGCTTACGCACAAATTTCCTTGTGTTGGGTTGTGCACATGCCTGCAAGACTCGGCCATGTAGCTTCGGGTCAGCATCGTCCGATGCAACTGTCGGTAAGGTCTTCCAAACGTAGTTGATTTCCGAACGTCGTGCTCTATTTGGCGTATCAGTCCGAAGGCAAAAGTTATAAAGACAAGCATTCAAATTATCCTCGGCCGACATATGGAGAAGGCCGCGGAATGATTCCAGGTCTTCAACTAGCGGCGCCTCATCCAGTTGTCTGATGCGCGAAAGGGGTCCAGCTGGGTGCCGCATGGAGTCTTGAACAAGTTTCTTCGAGATCGCTAGATGAGTCAATTCTCTCGTCGGCTTCCATCCTGGACTGAGATAGAATTTCGCTACCACAACGACATAGAAAACCTCTTCTGGATTGAGTATCTCAGTCATGTTGCGATCAGTATCTGTCCACATGAGCTCCAAATCATTCAGTACTTGGCCCTTCACAAGACAGGGACGCTCTAAACTGTCCATAAGAGCCGATATTAGATCTCTTGTCTCCAAGTCCGTGGTGGCTGTCCGTAGAAAGTATTCGACATTGTGGTGGGTGATAACTAGACCGATGCACTGGGACTCAACAAATCTAGCGTCTCGGAAGACCCCAAGGGCGCAGTCGAATTCGCATAGAGGGTCTCGCACTGGCTGGGCTTTTGCGTCATGGCTCTTTTCAAAAATACTGGAAATCCATGATCTGACATTTCCAGCCTTGGACAAGATATCGTCATCGCGCCTCAAGCTTTCTGAGTCGATGGGTGCCAACTTCTGAAGGCTATGTGCAATACCCTCGCGGTAGATGTCCCGCGCCCAATCAGCGATATAGTCGATGATGAGAAGTAGTTGAAGCGCACCATTCAGGGAGTCGACTTCGCCACTCCAAAGGCGAACTACTCGCTGTAGAAATGTTAGACTATAAGTTTGTTTCATGTGCTCTGTACTTACATAAGACATCCCATCATGGGTAGCGTGGATGTAGGCGGCGAATACTCTCCACTCCTCGCCTCTGTAGGATAGGAACCACACAAGTGGACCTCCATCCCATTCCCTCCCTTCATTAGTAGCCTGTGCTAGTTCGTGTTGTATAGACAGGAGCTCTCGAATAGCGAAGGCAGTCTGAACCTGGTTATTGGCGAAACCATCAGTGCTCTTCTCGGATTTTGCCTCAATGACGAGAAAGGGAAACACAAGAGGGTCCCCGTCAATTCTGAACGGGCTACTCCTGATATCCTCGGCATAGTGTAGTAGCCGAGAGAACCTTTCAGTGACTTGGAGTCCATAAACACGATCAGGGCGATGTTCGCGTCTTGGGAGTTCGGCCCGTAGTTCACTTGAGTAGATTATTGCTTCTTCAGCTCTATCGTCGAACAAAGGGCTAATTCCTTGCTCTGGTCTATGGAGATGAACTTAGTTCAGACTTGGCAAGGATACACAATACACTCACATATCTCGTGACAAGTTATTGGGATTACATGTGCAGGGCTGGCGTCTCCTTTGCCGAGCCCTGAGAGAATTAGCATCGCCCTCCTCAGCGGGTTGAGTGCCTGGTTCGACTTCTTGCTCAGAGCGCCAAAGCCGGCCGCGGCAATTCCGACTTATGCAGTAATTAGCAATCTTGTCAAGAATGAAGAGCTCGAAGGGACTTACCACGCAATCTCTACAGAAAATCGGGCCATGACTTCAGATTCGAGTGCTAACCGCCATCCGCTTTCATTCTTCCTGCTCCCCAAGCAGCGTTTGGCGCTCTCTGCAATACGCTTTGCGCGCCGCTGAACCTGGTGCCTCCATGGGAAGCGTGTGAAATCTGCGGATATGCTCTCGCGGTATTCTGAGTAGTCTGTTCTACCAAGTTGTCGGATATGGTCAAAGATGGTGTTGCAATTGCTCGGCCACTGAGGATTGGGGATTGAGTCAATTGGCCCATCAAAAATGATGTTGTACTTTTTCATCAGCTGTCGCTGAATCTCCCGTTGATTGGGTGGCATTGTGAATTCAGAAGCGCCGTAGATTGTAAAATAAAATTGCAATTATTTGTGTGGTGTTTCTATGGATTTTGGTGTAGCTAAGTACATTGTGTTGGGCCTCAGCCAACGGCCGGCTGAGATGCTCCGCCCATGCTGGTGTTTCACTTGTCGCGCGCGTAGATGTGCATATGCAGTTGGTTGTGCAAGTAAATGTAATAAACTGGGATAATTACTCAGTCAAGGCAGAAACAGCATTTTATTTTGCTGCCAAACAGGGGATGGAAACAGCCAGAAACTCAATTTAGTTGGTGTTGGCCAGGCTGAATGACACAGCCATGGTCGCGGCCATGGGTAATGGTCACATTAACAAGGCGTACTCGGAGCTCCCCAGTAAATGTTTCGTCAATTCATTGCCATAAAAACAAGTCGCTATCTGATGTATCTGTTGCCCGTTTCCACTTCCGTATCCCCACTGCCTCGTACGTCATTCCCCAGCCTCATTTGTTCATTTGTCGTGTTATTGTTGCATGTCGCGTGACTGTCGTCAATTGATGCACAACGCGATTAGGGGACGGGGGTGTAGTCAGAGTTGCGCATGTGAGACTTGCGGTTGGAGAAGAGGTAGTAGACGATCATTCCGACGATGGGGAAGAGGAAGACAACAAGGCACCAGAGGATCTTGTGCGAGACGGGGCGGTTCGACTGGAGGACCTCGACTGTACCTTTGTTAGCACCATTAAAAACATGAGGGAGATATGGGCATACGTACTCCAGACAAGGATATCGAGAACCAAGACGATGAAACCGATAATTCCACCACCAGTTCCGTAGTGCCAGGGCTCAGCGCCAGTGACGGTGACCTCGTCAGCGATGGGGGCAGCAAAGGCAAGCGTAGCAAGCCAGAGCTGGAGGAAGGCGAAGACGGCGTTGTTGAGCATTTTGACTGTCACTTTTTGCAGTATTGATTGGCGATTTGATTGAGAGAAAGCGTTGATACAGAAGAAGAGGGGAAAGGAAGAGGAGAGAAGCCTTTTTGAGAGGAATCAAGCTTACGACGAGACCGGGCACATGATACACTCACATTGACGTCATTGATAGCAGCGGCAGCCTAAAACGTCAGATTCACTCTCGACCAATCAATCGTCGATCATGTCATTAGATCGACGATCGACGATGCTTGTTTTGATTACTAACAGCTCTTATCTTATCTCAACATTCCAGTCATTATTCCTTCTCCTCAACATCGGACTTCTCCAGAGCAACAGCCTGAGACGGCACTGCATCTTCACCATCAAAGATAACCGCCATTTGCTCCAACGTGTGTCCACGTGTTTCGGGATAAGTAAAATAGACAACGAAGATGAAGATGAACAGAATCACAGCAAACACAATGTAGTACCTCCATTGAATCGCGTCGAGAGCAATGGCGTTGACGAAGCTGTTGAAGAAGATTGACGCGACGGTTGTGCACCAAGCAACCGTGAGGCCCCGAGATCGGAGAGAGAATTGCCAGATCTCGCAAGGATAAGCGACAAGGAATGGTGTTCTAAATATGTTAGCTGTGACAGTGTCGAGACATGAGTGAAACTTACAGTCCAACGTCATATCCTGCAAAGAAGAGGAATAGGAACGGCACAACAGCCAATCCCACTGATGAAGCACCAGACTTGGCAAATGAGGCGCTGAGGGCAGTGACGACAACGAACGATAGAAACATGACTGTCGCCGAAGTCAAGAACAGGAATCGTCGACCAAGTCGATCAACGCTGACTGCTGCGGCTGTAGCCCAGAGAAGATTCCAAACGTTGAGGCATGCAGAGATCAGAGTCTGCTCCGTCGTAGTCTTGAGACCAACTGAGGTCAAAACAAGGGGCAGATAATACGAAACAACTCCATTGCCCGCCCACTGCGCAACGAAACCAAGCGTGACCGAGATGAACAAGCGATGTCGGTTTCCCTTGGTCTTGAACATATCGAGATAAGAGGCACTGTTCGCCGCATCCTTCTCAGCAGTGATAGCAGCCTCAATCTCCATCATCTGCGTGCTCACAATAGGATCATCCCTGTTGCCACCGGCATGATATCTCGCAATGACATCCGTAGCTTCTTCAAGTCTTCCAACGCTAACATACCATCTCGGACTCTCGGGCGCCATCAGAAAACCCGGAAGAGCACAGAGCGGCAGGAAGATCTGTAGCAGGACAGGAATACGCCAGGACCAATCATTAGGAATAACACGACACGCAAAAGTAACCCATCCACAGATCGTACCGCCGACATACCACCCACACATAAACAACGCACTCGCAATAGATCTATGCGAAGGATACGCGATCTCATTAATCAACACAGGCGCAGAGTTTCCCAAGAAGCCAGCTGCGAAACCAATAAAGAGTCGAGCGTACGTAAAGGCTTTCTCGTTGGGTGCACCAGCTTGCATGCCGACACCGATTATGAGGAAGAAGTAGCCTGCGTAGAGACCTGGTTTGCGGCCGTAGCGGTTGGAGCACCATGCTGCGAGGGGTGTGCTGAGTCCGTTGCCGAGCCAGTAGATTGCAGTCATCCAGCCGAGATATGCTCCGGTGGGGTGGTGCATGAATGTGTTCCAGGTGTTGAGGGCGAGGATGGAGCCCATGAGTCCGCCGTCGTAGCCGTTTGCTGAGGCTGTGGAGAAGTTGATTAGTGGGAGGGTTTGGGTGTTTGTGTTGGGGACTTACAGAAGAGTACGAGGGATAGGATGATGGCGTTGAGCTTGATCAAGTGGCTTGTCTTCCACCATGGTTGATGGGACGGCCCATGGCCAACTTCAGCGACGGTGCCCATATCGACTGCGTATAGTTATGACCACTTTGACTCTCGTAGGCAGAAAGGAATAGAAAAAGATATTGAAGGTCAGCCCCAAGAGATAATTGAACACTTGATGTCAAAGGCCTGTGCCGATCATTTACCACGTATCCTGGTGAGGATATTCAGGAGTCTATATACTCCTCCCATACGCGTCTCTGACGAACGAAAAAAAACCCACCAAAATACTCCATACCATTTAAAGTGTCACATGGCACACTAAGCTCTGTCAAACCCCAGAGTAAATTCTGCCCATGGGGAATCAGACGTTTTCGCGTCTCCCCATACCGCTAGAAAATTACAAGGGCGGCGTCGCATTGCGGAGATTTGCTGGTGGGGACTTCACGTAACGAATTTGGACAAGTCTGTTGTGAAGCGGAGAATTGAGATTTGGCTGTGAGCTCAGTCTGCCGAGCTTGGTGGTTTGGTGGGGGCGTATTTCTCCGCCCCTTGTCACGGACGCGGCAGATGATTTCGAAGGGAATTCGGGAAGGAGAATCGACGCATCATGCAAGAAATTCTTCGAAATGTGGATAGCTTGCATGATAGAAGTGATCATCGGTGCAGTCTTGGATAAAAGGTGGATTGACTGTAACTCTGGCGGAGAATTAGGTCTCATGATGGAGCACGATGTTGAGAATGCTAGATCACGATCATGCTCATGAACTATATAGCTCACTGACATTTTTGGTTAGTAAATAGCACTTCTATTCGAGCTAAAGTCCTTTCCTTGTCAATTGTCAATCACATCATCGTTTAATCAACAACTGAGATGAGGTATCCCAGAATGGATGTCGAGGCCCTCATACAACAACTGACCCTCGAGGAAAAGATCCAGCTCACAGCCGGTAAGTCATCAAAAAGTTATGTCCCAATGACTAAGATCAATATTAACTCTATCTCAAGGAGTCGGTTGGTGGCACACAGCAGAAATTAAACGCCTCTCGATACCCCCAATCCGCCTATCAGACGGTCCCAACGGCGTGCGAGGTACTCACTTCTTCGACAGCACCCCATCATCATGTCTTCCCTGTGGCACCGCCCTCGGCGCAACATGGAACACTGATCTAATCCACCGCCTTGGGCAATTACTCTCTGACGAAGCTCACGCCAAAGGTGCTCATGTTCTTCTTGGTCCCACCGTTAATATCCAGAGAGGACCGTTAGGCGGGAGAGGCTTTGAGTCTTTCTCTGAAGATCCTATCCTCTCGGGTATTTTAGCAGGGAATTATGTGCGTGGTGTGCAGAAGAATGGCGTTTCTGCTACGATGAAGCATTTTGCCTGTAATGATATGGAAAGCGCGAGAATGGCTGTTGATGTACAAGTCACGGAACGGGCCTTGAGGGAGGTTTATCTTCTCCCGTTTATGATTGCTGTGGAGATGGCCAGTCCGAGGGTATTCATGACGGCGTATAACAAGGTCAATGGTACCCATGCACCAGACAATCATCACTTGCTGCAGGATATCTTGCGCGATGAGTGGAAGTGGGAGGGATTAGTTGTCAGCGACTGGTTCGGCACGTACAGTACAACTGAGGCTATCAACGCGGGACAAGATCTCGAAATGCCGGGTCCTACAAGATGGCGCGGTGAGACTTTGGTGCATGCTGTTACATCAAACAAGGTCAAAAGGTCGACCTTGGATGAGCGTGTAAGAAATGTCTTGAAACTGGTCAAGCATTCTATCGAGAACACCAGCATCCGTCCAAACGCGCCGGAGACTCAGCTTCAGAGTGATGAGAACACTCGTCTTCTTCGAGAAGCTGCTGCAGAGTCTGTGGTACTGCTCAAGAATGAGAAGGGAGTTCTGCCACTTGATCTGACGAAAAGGGTCGCGGTCATTGGACCCAACGCGGATATCAGCACTTATTGTGGCGGTGGAAGTGCAAGTCTTCGAGCGTACCATACTGTTTCGCCATTGGAGGGCATCAAGGGTATTGCGAAGGATGTTTCCTTCACCAAGGGTCTTTATGGTCATCGATCACTACCGCAAATCGGCAAGCTGTTGAAGACGGTTGATGAACAGCGTCAAGGATTCACTCTTCGTATATACAACGATCCGCCTCCCACGTCCGGACCAGATACACGCAAGGTCCTGGAAACGAGGATTTTGGATGACTCGAATATCTGGTTCGTGGACTACGAGCATCCAGCACTAGAACAGATCTGGTACGCTGAGATGGAGGGTGTCTTGACTCCCGAGAACTCAGGCGAATGGGACTTTGGTCTTTGTGTCCATGGTACCGGGGAACTCTTCATCGATGGCGAGTTGGTAGTCTCGAATGTCACCGACCAAAAGCCAGGCAGTTCATTCCTTGGTTGCGGCACTGTCGAGAAAACAGGATGCAAGATGCTGGAAGGCGGTAAGAGTTACAACGTCGTCGTGCGCTGGGGCTGCGACAAGACCTCAGATCTCAAAGTCTCTGGAGTCGTCGACTTTGGCCAAGGCGGTATGCGCCTCGGAGGCTGCCCCAGACTCGAACCGTGGCAGGCACTCCAAGACGCTGTTGAGTTGGCCAAGAGCGTTGACCAAGTCGTTCTTTGCGTCGGAACAAGTGGAGAATGGGAGAGTGAAGGTCAAGATCGCACAAACATGTCTCTGCCTCCTGGTAGCGATGACCTGATCTCCGCAGTTTTGCAAGCAAATCCTAATACAGTGGTACTAATTCAGAGTGGCACGCCTGTTTCGATGCCTTGGGTGGACCAAGCTAGCACTATTGCGCAAGCGTGGTTTGGTGGTAATGAGGCTGGTAATGGAATCGCGGATGTGCTATTCGGTGCTACGAACCCTGTAAGTCAACACCAGTCACATACCGTTGATTTCGCTAACAGCTCTAGTCTGGCAAACTGCCAATCACGATGCCCCGACGCGTGGCAGATAATCCTAGTGCCTTGAGCTTCCGGTCAGAGGGAGGTCGCGTTCTGTACAGTGAAGACGTGCATGTCGGCTATCGCTGGTACGACACGCTTGACATTGAACCCTTGTTCCCATTTGGGCATGGTTTGTCTTATACTACCTTTGAGCTTTCTGATCTTCGTGTCGAAGAGCATCGGGAGCCTGAGAGCAAGATGTTGACAGTGAGTGTGAACGTGAGCAACACTGGCTCGCGCTCCGGCGCTGCTGTCGTGCAAGTCTACGTCAAGCCACCGCATCCAACACCGCTTACTGCGTCTGCTCTTGACACGATCACGAGATCCAGCAAGGAGCTCAAGGGCTTTGCCAAGATCAATCTGGACCTAGGAGCGAGTGGTGTCGCAACGATTGAGCTGGATTTGCTACGTGCGACGAGTTACTGGAGTGAGAGGGAGGATTATTGGTGCAGTGACGCCGGAGATTATACCGTGTTAGTGGGTATGAGCAGTAGGTGTGAATTTCTGGAGAAGACGTTTACGGTTCAGAGCGCGACGACGTGGCGGGGACTTCGGTGATGAGAGTCAACTACCCTATATGTTATGAAACACCATTTTTTTATTCTGTTATTAGACAGTGATTGATCTGATAATCCATTAAATGAAAACTTAGATCTTTTGGTTCCATTGAAGTGTTAATATTGTGAGGTCAATTTACTTCCATCTCATATTTTGGACAAATATATTGCATGAAGGTCATACATGACTTGTTTATGCTGATCAAGCAGATGATGAAAATGTCACAGCCAAGACATTGATGGTTTCACAACACACAACTTGCATCGTAGCGGAATATTGTAATGAGTCGAATTTTGATAATTTCTCAATAGTTCAAACTCACGCCAAGCCGAATTGATGCACGTCGATTAATCTGATCGGTAGACATCGTCGTTTTTGCCGAATCCTCGGAAGTTCTCCACCAACTTAGGCGTAGAATTGCGGCTCCGACAAAAACGAACTAACGAAAAAGTCCAAGCGGCACATGACGCTCACTGACCACTCCAGCGGGCCATGGTTAACTCCGTAGTCTTGTATTTCTCCGCCTCATCAACCCCAGAAACTGACCCGACTGGGCGGCTACCTATCATGGCAGACCCCAGCACGTCACTATTGTCAACCGACAATGAAGCTGATGAGTCTATCACAGCTCGCGGAGAAAAGGCGAGACAATTGAGCACCAGGGCATGTGATGCGTGTCGTGCTCGGCGGAGGAAGTGCGTGTTCCCGAGGGATGGTGCAGGAACAGCGTCACATTGCGTTGGGTGTTCGAGACTGCATATTCAGTGTAGCTTTGACATACCGACAAGGCCTAGAGGTCCAAAGAGAAGAAGGTAGCTATATTGGACTATTGGTATTGTCGCGTCATATGAGAGCCTGGCTAACAACTATCAGGACTCAGCCACCAGCAGTTATTTCTCCAGAGTTACACGTCGAGAGCCCGACTCACTATGAAGAAGAAGACACGCTCCCTGCAGAAGTACCGACACCTCTTGGCAATTCCCATTTGACTCTGACATTTGGATCATCGCCAAATGCGCCATCACCAAGCTGTCCACCCGTTCACAGCCATGTCGCGCACTTCAACCCGTCTCAAAATGTCGAGTTATTTGAGCATCAGTTCCAAACCGATGAGATCTGTCCTCGGAGTTTGTTCATGACCATCATGACTGATTACATCGACCATCTATACCCCCTCGTTCCTGTTGTTCACCTTCCCACGTTCCGCGCCGACTTGGCGACGAACAAAGATGCCACCGACCTCGACACCCTACTGCTCTTCGTATCAATAGTCTCGTTGACTGTAGGCTTGCTGCCATCGAAATTTGACAGTTACCACGCTCTAGCAGCTCGCTTTGGTACACGGACGGCTATGATCAGCCACTGCTCACAGATGTGCATCCGTCTTCGGCCAGCTGATTACTGGGACCATATCAGCCATCGGAAATGGGCTACTGCATATTGCCTCTCGATCGGAGCGTTTCAAGTTGGACAGATCAACCAAAGCCGCATGTTCGAAGCGGAGTCCATGCAGCTTGCGAGACTATTGGGTATGCACCTTGTGTCGGAGTACGAGGGATTGAATCCTATTGAGACTCAATTACGGAAGAAGTCATTCTGGCTACAGCTTTACACTTTTGCGTAAGCCCGCCACTATCGACCACTGATCTTGACTGACAAACAGGCAGGCACTCCAAGATACAGCCAGGGAGATGCAACTACTTGACATATCTCGACAACTATACCATTCGAGATGTTAATTTCGCTGCATTAGAGCCTCTCAACATCGTCGACGAGAACATAACCGAGACAGGAATTGTCGGCCAGCTTCCATCAACACCATCCGTTGGGCTACCGAACAACGCCGACTCAGCAGAGGATGCGCCTTTTCACTCCACAACTGTCTTCATCATGGCATCTCGCGCGTTCCTATTGGGCATGCGGGAGGCCATGGTCAATGACGGTTGCAACTGCGGGTTCGGTAGATCTCCAGAGGAGCGTCTGTCGAAGCTGAAAGATCTCCTTGATCAACTCAGATACATCCTGGACGGGCTGCCAACGCACATGCGCCAATGGGGACCAGGTGACAACTATCAACCTTTTGACAGTAGTGATAGGCGGCAAGGTGCTTTTACTGAGGCTCATGTCGAGCATTTGCAGAATGAGAGTACCAGAGCCAACTTACATGTAAGTCATTTATGGCTACAGAACTTTCTGCTTGATAAAATGGATGTTGCTTTGCAAGAGATGAAGGACCGCGAGGGAGATGATGCGTACATCACAACGCAACTGAAGCAAAACTGGAGGGACCGCGAAGATGTAGCCCGCCAACTTCTGCACATCCTCCACAGCATCCCCCATGCCTACCTAGAGCCCAACGGCCTATATCTCGTAAGTCGCGTCTCACCATCTGGTCAGCAAGTGCTCAAACCTTTTTGTAGATCTACAAAGTCCGCAGCGTTGCGAGTTCCCTGCTGAACTGCCCCTTCGAGATGGACAGGCAGCTTTCCCGTCGGGTTTCGGAGTACATCCAGGAGTTCACAAAAGTGCTGTCGTACCTGGACCGGAGCGAGATTGTCAACACAGACGGCTTGAGGAGCTGGATAGACGAGGGCCAGCATGTGAACCATGCCACTTAGAGACGACCATCTGCCTCTGGTATCTTGTTGAACTTCCTCTCGCAATTTGAGACCGAGGTTGCAAAAGGTCTGGAGATTTGTGTTCAAGTCGTTGTTTTGGGTGAAAATCCGGGAAGTTGTCTTTTTAACTTCAATCAATTCCGTGCAGAAGCTTTATTCGACGGAAAACCTATTCCTGATTACGTCCGAATCTCCAACAAGCGTTTCCGCCCAACGCCACCAATCCGTCTAACTTGTCCTGCCAGTCATCTCGCCTATCGACTTATCTTTACGCCAATCAACTCCAGCCTTTTCGCCAAAAGTAAGATCCTAGGCAACAGTGAGGGCAAGGAGTATATTTATAGGTTTCCTTTACCTACATGGCCTCAGGGCTGAAGCCTCTTTTAAACTCCCAACCTTATCACAGTAGAGTCAAACGAAACGAACCCCGCTGACACAGCTATAGATAGATACCTGTGCATCTGCAGTCATGTGGCCATTGCATTCTGCGCATTCTTAGCTCTCCAGTTCGAACAAAGTCGCCCAATCAAGTCTGGCAGAATGAAGCCCTTCAATCTCCTCATTGCCTTCATCGGTCTATCAATCAACCGCGTCTCAGCAACCTGCTTCTTTAGCGGCGCCAAATGGAATAACCGCACCGCTGCACGTATGCACGCCTTCAGCGCGTGTAAAGGCGATGGCGTCAACCGCGGTGTTTTCCAAGTCGAGTTTGCTGCTAAGCAAAAGATCACCACGTGCGTTCAGTATTCTGCCACGCAGAGGATTGTGTTCACGATTGAGAACCGCGGCGTCGAGAAACCCACGAAACTTGATCAAGATCACTGCGTTGGGGGTCTTCACCACGAGATCCTTGAATGTGCTCGAGGCGGGAGCTCAAAATCTGGCCAGTGGCGTTTCAGGTGAGTCTTGCCTGGTCCTGGATTGTGACTTGACTGATAGGGTGGTAGAGCCGACCCAAATAAGGGCATCTGCTAAGAAGCTCGGCCAAAATAACCCGTGCCTATGTTTGGGTTGTGAAGTTGGCATTTGGAACTCAGTGTATCGTCATAGGTTTGGCTTGGATCATGCCTTGTTCAGGTTGTCCGACATCCCTGGGATCTTGGAAGTTTGGGTGCTTAATTAACAGGCTTTATCTGTGCCTAGGTATCTGATACACACGCTCACTTTAACATCAATGCAGATACACGACTTTTTTGCCGGGTCTTTTTCGCAGACGAATCATCGCATGGTCCAAATGTCTTGGTGAGCTGATGCCAGCATCCATTGTGTATGCTCCTATTACAGATCGGATCCTACAGATAGTTGCAGTGAGCGGTCACAACACCAGAGATCCAGCCGCCAACTGTTTGCGGTACCACCGTCTCCTGCGGCACGATTTTTATCGTCAGAGTCAGAGTCACCATTATCGAGCCATTTATGCTTATATATCTCCCATTCGCTGATCGGAAAGCCACCCATCTCTCGCATCCAAGTGATGTATTCCGCGTGACCTCGGCCTGTGCTTTGTAGACCTCCATCGGCTTGGCCGCACTTAGTGCTGTTAATCCCATTGCAGGGGTCTTGAACCGTGTTGGTCTCCACCCTGACTTGTGACACCTAGAGTGATCGAAACAAGCATAAAGCCAACTTACCCCCCTTTTGCATCCTTAGATAAACACAAAGAATAAAACATGGCCACAAAACAAGAGCTTTTTCGCGTTGAAAGCGCTTCCGAGTGGGCTAAAAAAAACGGAATCACGACATGGACAAAGTTCCATTACGGTTCTCAACCAGAGCAGTCAATCTTCACACCCCTTGACACATGGGGCCATTCTCTCCGCCAACCTTACTACGGTCCTATCATTGAGTCCAGTCAACAGTATTTTCTCGCCGTCAATTGGGAGACGGAGGAGGAATGGGACAAATTCAAATTGTCCCCCGAGCATCAGCAACTAATGGCCAATCTGACAAGCAACAACGTGCAGCCGGAGACCAAGATTGTTATATTTACCGGTAACATGTTCGCTATTGGATTCACCTCTAACGTCGAGATTTTCACTGCATACTGGCCGTCGTCTATCACTCATGAGGCTCAAGCAGCCATTCGCAAAACCGAGCAACTTGTGCATCGGGCAGAAAGCGGAATACCCAACCCACTCTGTTACTACAAGAAACCAATGTTTGGATGGATAGATGGCCAAAGAGAATGGAATGGAGAAAGCGCTATTGCCAGTGTTTGGACCCACAAGTGGAAGAACCAGGAACTGGAACAAAAGTACAAAACGACTGAGAAGAGGCGTGTTTCGGGCAATGATGGAAGATCCTATATGCTGGCTGTAGATGTATTTCAAGATGACTTGGAATCTCTCGGTGCTATTGGATGGGATTCAGTCCATGTAGCTTTCGAGCGTGTTCGAGTTGTGAAAGAGGATGCTCTAGCGCGTGATTCAAGGCTTAGATTAGAAGCCGCGCTTGGGCGGAGGGCCATTTAGCGTCAACCGTGTTCACCAGGCCAGATGGCGAAGTATCTACTGCAGGTACTCCTACAAAGACTGGCTTCCAGCTCTCAAAGACCAAACTAAACCCTAATAAACAGTCATCGGTCGGGTCTCCTGATTCTGAAACCGACTCTACTCGCTTCACAAGTACTACTTTGCCCAGTATCAACAGCCCCGAGCCATCCCAGCTCTCTACTGGGAGTACTGTGATAAAGAGTGACATTCCGGAGCCTCCACTCCCCCAAGCCAGTACAGATGCGTCTATCACTGGTCCAAGTACTTCATCTGATGACACTTCTAGAGCTGAAGCCTCTTCAACTATCTCAGCTGGACTCGGGACAACCAGAGCTGAGAATTCGGAACAGATCAACCCTGCCACTGAGACTTTCTTACCTGAGCCATCTGGTGTGAGTACCACCAGCACCGAGCAATCCAGTGGAAGCGCGAACCTTTCTATAGATAACTTGACAACAACCCCAGTCACGAGCGATATTGGGTCTCCTCGAATGAGCCAAATATTTCCACGATTTCACCTTCCACAGAACGCAATACTTCATCACGAGTTGAGACAAGCGGGCCAAAGTCAGATACAAATGCTGCAACGGGATCCGGGACCAACAACACAGATCCCTTGCTCCTACCTTCATCAGTCCCAGAAACACAGGTCAGTGGTGTGACCAGCGCCATTTCTGTCAAATCGACGCCTCCTTTGGGAGAATACTCAACACGGGGTGATGATGCACCTTCCACTGACCCAGGTCACATTAAAACTAGTGATGGTGACAACAAGCAGCCCTCGTCAACTAGTACTTACTTTGTCGTACCTATAACAACATCCGTCACTAAGCCTGAGCCTCGGGATGATGGCTTCGTGGTACCTTGCAACATGTGGTTCTTCAATGCATGTGTTGGGCCCATTTCTGGATGGGGAATTTCTCTTCCACCTGGTACCTATTCTCCGTATGGTCTACCTAATCTCTTGTTGCCGTCTCCTCACTAATGCGACGATAGTGGTCCTCCACCGGCCATTTCCGACAACCCAAAAGGCGGTATTGAGATCAATACGAACCAACCACTTCCAGACTCGCCCGGCTTCACGTGAGATTTCTGAACCCTACAACAATGTTCAGGATGATAACTTTCAATGTAGTGTCGGTCCTGGAAACGCTCCGACGTTTTCAAGTGAGCCCACAGCCTGTGAGACCGATTCGGCCGAATTGTGTGTTACGAGCACATCATATGGCGTTAGCATTGATGCCACGGTAACAATTTCGGTGGCTAGTGGTGTATTCTCCACTTGTGGCACTGTTTACGGTTGCAAGGTTCGGGGCCACAGCCAGACAATAACGGGCACAGATATACCTACGGCTGCGTCGGGAATACCAACATATAGGTCTCTTCGCGCCATGGAAACCTGGGATGATATGGAACTGAGCGAAGAACAACTTGGAAGTATAGCCAACCGCGTGCAGTCAGACTTGGATTCAATGTTTGGCACTGCCACCAAGAGAGCAACAACGACGACAGGAGATGCATCTGAGCCTACAGAATCAGTGTGGACGGGTACATGTCCAGCCAAGAATGGACCAGACCCAACAGTGGTTGATGGGGAGTTCACTGAGAATATCGGAGAGAAGTGTCTCTGCAAGTGGAATACCTGGATGGAGAACGACAAGACTCTGCAGCCATACACTGTCGACCAACTGAGAGACGCCATAAACGACTTTTGTAACGGTTCCCGCAAACTCAGAAAGCCTACCCCGACAGGACTTCCAGAAATTGCTGTGAATCGGTTCCCAACAAATGGCACGCACGGTATATTTATCTTGGTCGGCTGGGCTACCCCGCCCCTCTGGAACTCCACGGACGAGAGGTGCAAGGCCAATAGTGACCTTTTGTTAGCGGATAGCTGTAAGGCTGCTTTAGAGAGATTTGAATGTCGCGGTGCAAACACAGATGAGCTTTGGGGAGGAACTTACTACGAGGCGCTTGACGAGGGTGGTTGTGTGAAATGGACGCTCACACCTGTCCACTTGCCTGACGGGGGATCCGCTGGGCGGTGAATGAGCTTGGGAATGTAAGGCAATATCTAGGGTAATAATCATCTGACGAACCGTGCGTCTTGGCAAGGATTAATCAATCCACTCATGGTTTGCCAGTTGTTGGTCGTCTTTCGCAGCAAATTTAGTCACGTGTATTGAGGTAATTATAGGCCAAAGTAAAGTCAGATGCGTCTCCTCCTCCGTCTTTACAATACTTAAACGAGATGGCCAACTTAGACTGCGTGCCACTTGGTCAAACAGCAGTGATCACTGCCGCGAAAAGTGGTCATCAAAGCATTGTGAGACTTCTTTTAGACCACAATCGTGCGGCAGTCAGTGCGGCTTTACTTCAGCTGGCCTTATACCATGCCTGGATTCACATAATAAAGCTTGCGATATCAGCAGATAAAAACCTTCTCAACTGGATAGACCCGAGTTCTAGCAACACTGCGTTGCACATTGCGATCGAAAGCGGTCGCGTGGATGTGATAAAGACTCTTCTTGATGCTGGAGCGGATCCAAATTTGAAGAATGGAGATGGCTTACTTCCCTTTGCGAAAGCCATGAGATCAAACAATCTGGACATCGTGAGAACGCTGCTGGACTCTAGCCCAGATATCATAGTCGATGACCTAGACAGAGCAGGCGTCACTCCTTTCTTGCGAGCATGCCTAGATGGCAAAAAGGCAGTTCCTGTCATACGCGAGTTGCTCGATAAGGTGAAGGATAAGGTGAATCTGAATGCCAGATTGCCCAGGGATGACCAGAACAACGAATGTGGGAGAACCGCTCTCCTAATAGCACCCTTTATCAATCCAGAGGAAGAGGGTAGTGACAGCCTCTTTAACCTATTACTCGAACATGGAGCCGACCCCAATGTACCATGCGCTAAACACGGCAATACACCTCTCTCAAAAGCTGCCGCTAAGGGACATGTCCAGGTTATGGAGAAGCTTCTAGAATTCAACGCCGACCCCAACATAGCGTCTGAAAAAGGCCATACACCTCTTTCTAGAGCCGCCATGAACGGCCATGCACTGGCAGTAAGAAAACTTCTGGAATCCAATGCCGACCCCAACCATCAGGATCATGAAGGAGAAACTGCGCTGCATTGCTGTTCAAGCGAAGGCCATGTGAGTTGCATTGAGGAGTTGGTAACACGTGGGGCTTCTCTCAACCCCTTAATGCATCCCGATTTGGGTGAACCCTATGTTATCGGCTTCACCCCCTTGGTCCTCGCAATTGCCTGTTCTCAGCAATCTTCGGTCGAGAAGCTATTGACTTTCGATCCAGGTCCTGGGCAAGCGTTGCATATGGCTCTGGCGTCTGAGGAACTTCTAATTGCCAAGGCAGTTTTTAAACGTTATCCTCAGCCGAATTTGTACGACCAAGACCTCGGAACTCCATTACACATCGCGATCATGTCCAACAGCGAGGAAATATTCGAATTCATTCTTGACCAAAAGGGAATCGACGTCAATATCCCTGGTCCGTCTGGTCGAACGCCGCTGAGCTATGCAGCGATGAGATACCAAGACTTCGTTAAAAAGCTGATTCAAGCACAAGCCGATCCCAACATAAAAGACCATGAAGACAAGACCCCATTGGATCACGTAATTGCTGCGAAAGATTGGGAAATGGCACAAATACTCTGTCCCCACACGAGATTGGATCTTGTGCAAGGCAGCGGTCGCAGATATAGTGTCTTGTATCGGGCTTGTCAAACTGGTCACAAGGACATGTTTAAGGTGATCAATGCTTCATGTCAGAATTTAAACCACTTTCAATACATTGAGCTTTGTGAACTAGCTCTACATGCTGCTATAGCAGCTGGCAACGAGGAGTTCTTCAATCAGCTCATCAACGTACCTGGTGTTACTGGAAGCGTGGAGGATGATGATGGCTGGACTCCTTTGAAATACGCCACAGTCTACAGCCAATCGAGAATAAAGGAGGAGATTCTGAAGAGGTTGCAACAAGGCGGCATGAATAGGGTAGACCAAAGACATAAAAGGGTCACTAAGATGCCCCAACGATGGCATAAAAACGACCGACATCCGACCCTTTACGAGAAGGACGATAACGCGGACCCTAGACAGATCATGATAACGAGTAAGCCTTATGCAGCCTCGATATTTCGTCTACTAATTCGGTTGTATCAGCAACGCTTGACGACGCTTATCCAGATGGTGAAGACAGATATGCAGTAGCCCGGGCAGATCATCCCATTCCAACAGACAAGAACTACTACTTTGAAATCACTATAAAAAAAGGCTGCCCTGACGAGCAACTGTGAGTAATATTCTTTGCCTTTAGGTATTCTTAGGTATACAGACAGTCTTTCTAACATTGTCTTACAGCGACGTGGGTATTGGCCTCATTGATGGCGCAAAAGTTCCCAACGGGCAACGATCGCTCGGGAGGGCATTAACATACTGCTATGAGTCTTTGGGTGGAAGCACGTACGATGACAACATAAATAGTCTTAAAAACGATTGGAGACTTAGTCGAGAGTATCGAGAGGGTAATACCGTGGGCTGTGGATTTGATGCAACCAAGAAATGCGTTTATTTCACCTGGGAGGGAGAAAGATTAGGTAAGGTTTCTGCTGTTCTTTGTTTCTCTTTTGGTATACGGCGTGGGCTATCTTCTCACTGGTTGTATCGTACTTCTATGAGAAAGGGGGATGGCAATTATAGGCTTTTCGACTCTCAAAAGCTAACATTGTCATAGAGGAAAGACACGATGACGTTTCAGGAAAATTATACCCTGCAGTATATCTCAACACAAGGCAGAAGAGTGTTTGCTTAGTAGCCAAGTTTCCATAGAACAACGATAAGGGCTCCGGTGATTAGTTTCGCTATAACTCAAGAACGAAAAAGGGGGGGGGGAGGGATGGGGATGTATTATGTTGTGATTACAAGACAAACTAGACTGACAATTCAAGTCTTGGGTTAAATTAAATACATCTTAAACATCAACGTCCAATATCCTGGAAACAGCTTGAAGTTTATTTTTGATCAAAGGATTTAATTATATTGTCCGGAATTAGAGATCATTAGGAGCTTAGAAATGGAAGAGATGTATCAATACTCCAACTGACCGCTGACTCTTCGTCTAGCGTAAACTCATACTCAGCACATCAGTCATTGTCTAACTCATCCTTTATTGCCCATTTATTTCAGCTCTCCTGAGTACCACGCATTGATCTTCAAATGCACTTTCAACATGCTTTCCAACTAGATCACCGTCCTAGACTGTCTCGGCCTCGTCTCGGCCATTCAGGCCTGAAGCCATCCTGACCTCTTAGCTTCAAATATCAATCTTGAGATGACTGGTGCTTCAAAGCCTCATCCAAAACACGTCCCACTGTAACTTCGAGAGCCTTCTTGGTCTCAAAGTTACCAGCGCCTTCAGCCGTAACTTCGTTCATCTCAAAGGGTACGTCGTAGCTCTGATATAACTCAAGGTACTTCTGAGCATCCGCGTCACTCTTGGTTCGGTCAATAAGATCCTTCTTGAGCTGGTTGAACTACAATCTTGTTAGCCAGGTCTAAAAAAGTGAGACTTGAAATGAATACTGACCTCCTTTGTCCAGTTGGCATCTGGTTCGGATTGCTTCTGGGCGAGAGATTGACTTGTTTGCAGACGTTGCTTGAGCTGTGAGAATTGCCATTAGGATGTGCTTAGTTTACAGTTAAATAAGGTCTTACCTCATCCTCAGTCACTTCGAATCCCTCAACCTTCATCGCCTCGATGAAATGACCTTGGTTCTCAGGCTTCTCCAAGAATGCACTGACTTGTTCAACGATATATAAATCGTCAACAATTGGGCGCATATCTCCGAACCATGTAAGGTTTGTCTCTCTCTCAGCCTTGAACTTCTTGGCATCGCCCTACTTCAAGTTAGATGACAATCAACAACTGGGAATGTGATACATACTACATAGTAGAACTTGAAGAGAGTAGACCACCCCAAGCCAATGGCATCTTTGATACCAGCGTTTCCAGCGCCACCAATATCTCCCCATCGCCACTTCTTCTCCTTTGCCCACTTGCCGAACTGCCTCTTTGCAGCATCATAAGCAGTATAGGCGTACCAAAAGCAGCTGTGACCATAAAACTGGTACTCGCCACCAATAAGAGTAGTAGCCGCCAAGATCTCGGCCAGCTCGAGTACTGTGGGTCTCTTATCAACATCCTCACCAGACTCGCCGCCAAAGACCAAGGAAGTCAAAGGAAGAGGCATGTCATCTTGATCTCTGCTACCCGTTGCCTTTGTCTCAGCTGGGCCAAAGGTAACCCAGTCAAGGTCAACTGGGTTGCCTCGTTCAGCATAGACTCTTGCGCGGTCTTTGGTAGAGGTTTCTTCAACGATGAACTGGAGGTATTCATGCTTCCAGTTTGAGTTGAGATCTTTGACACGTGTGAAAGAGACGACACGGCAGTTTGCGTATTTCTCTTTGTTGTTGCGAAGTAAGTCTGCCCATTCTCGTGTGGGTTTAATAGACTTGTTCTCTGTGAAGAGATAGTCGATAGATGTTTTGACCATATTGATAATGTTGCAATTGAAGAGGAAAAATAATGTGTATTTTTGAAAATAAGCAATAGAAAACACTCTTCTTTTAATCCTTTATAACATTCAATCTGAGAATTTGAGCACGCGTCATTTATTTCAACTGGGAAAAGTCTGTTTCGTATTAGATCAGCTGAACTATCCTCGTAAGTATGTAGATAGGCCGTGCTATTGACTTAGAACTATTGACTTCTAGACTCATCACGTCTAGGCAATCATACGAGATCTCTGTAAACACCAGCAATTGGTTCCGATGACTGCTGCATGTTCTTCTCAATTCGTCACTAGCTTTCCCCTCAGCGGCGATAGGCGGAGGTTCTAGACACTATCACCCCGCAACTAACACGTTTCAGGCCAGCAGCCCCTGTAAATATTGGCTGGGCATGAACGAACTTGGTTAGAGATCCCATTCAGCTGGTGAAACGTTTGCCTATTATAGAATGATATACGTAGTATGCATATAGACTATCAATTTCGGGAGGTGGGAGGCTGTGTTAACGCAAGCAGAACAAGCTCCGATTTGCCACTGTTAACAAACTATTGACACCCGTCTTCGGGCTAAAACCGTTCTGGACTAATCACTACGCGGAATAACGCACTAGGAGGTTGCCGAGGCTAGGTAAAGAGTTGAAACATGCGCAGCTACCAAGTCTTGATTTGCTCCCGGTAAGAGACATAGAACACACAGCCAGCCACAATATTGCCGCTTGTCTTTTGAAGCTACCTACCGTGTTTAGGCTACGGAGCCCCTGCAAACTATTTCCGTCGTGAGATACTACGTACGCACTTGTTGGACCAATCACACGCAAAGATCTATCACTTAGGGTATGGAGCGCACGGACATCATTTCTCTTGGATTCTTTCGACCAGCAGCCATAGTTATACCGTCTTTCCTGAATTGGAGTTACCTTGTGACTAGACTATTGAAATGGAGGTGGCCATGTATGCAACTCGATAGGTCTGGAACCAGCTTCTATGTTTCATAGCTCAGCTTTGATCTTGAGCATGTGAGGCCTCTGAGTTCGTTTAGCAAATCATACTTCCTTACCTTCCTATATAAATCATTGTCTTTCCTCTTCCATACCGTCTATCATCATCAGTCTTCCGAGTTTCTCTCTGCATTCAACGCCCCAACATTCCAACTTTTATTATTTTTCACAGCCAACCCTGGCCCAACCACACAAAAACTGGTGCGGTACGCCCTTCACTCTCAAAGATATGAGTGCCTTCAAGCCCACCGAGAAGGAGCTTCTCCTTGATGCCATTGCCCAGTCCCTTGGACAGGAAGCCATTGAGACAGTCGAGCCTCAAGAAGTAGAGGAGCCCGAGGAGGAAGAGGAAGAGACCGAGCTTCCCCAAAATGGCCCTGTGTGCATGACGCAGAAGGCCCTCCCTCGAGACTGGAAGCCCAACGGTGTGTCTGATATCGTGGTTGGTTTCAACAACGAGTGTCCACGATGGGTTCCCGGCTCTGTTATCAGATGGGCTGCATGGCGTCAGGGCTTTGAGACCCAAGAAGATGCCGACTATGCTGCTATGCAACTCGCTATTGCAGCTGACGCCTGGAATAAGGCTGATATCGGCGTTACTTTTGAGTGGGTTCATCTCGCTAAGGATGCCACCTTCGTCCTCTATCACGCTGGTAACGGCGACGGCACTCTCGCACAGGCTTTCTTCCCCAACGGTGATGATCTAAGCTCCATGCTTGTCTTCTCCGACGCCTTCACTCCCGAGTGGAAGCCCAACATGTGGAAGATCTTCACCCACGAACTGGGCCACGTTCTCGGTCTTCGGCATGAGTTTGCCATTGCCGGTCTCCCTATCTATGGTATTCGGGCTGAGAAGCAGGGTGCTGTGCGACTGGGCAAGAGGGATCCTAAGTCGGTCATGACTTATGCTCCCGAGCCTCCCGAGATTCAGGAGTCAGATATTGAGTCTACCAAGATGTTTTATTCTTTGAAGCCCGATGAGCAGGGAAACCCTCCAAAGGTTGGGTTCACCAAGGTCAAGGACTACATTCCTTCTTAAGAGGCTCATAATATATCGACTGGACAGCAGGTGAGGATATTATCATGTTAGGTGGAGTTATATAGTTATTAATTATCAGAAATCAGTTCAGCCTCATAAACTCCTTGTAGAATCTCAGAAGTCTCCCCATCGCAGATAGAGCTGACTTGCTCACTTAGAAACAATAGACGTCACCCCGTCCGGGTTGCATCACAAGGTGAGGAGTCTGTCCAAGTGCCGGATATCTCGGCTATAGATTTGTTGCTCTGTCGAATCTTCGTTTGGCATGATTCTCGGGGATGGAGGGCACATATACGGCACCGAAGCTTAGACGCTCATTCTATCATAGTTGGCCAATGGGAGCATGAGGGTTATCGCAAAAGCAATACGGCTCTAATTATGAGCAGCACGGAGGGTAAACTGAACTACCGTCTCAAGACTCTCACAGAGTTAGAGGCTTGTCGTTTCACTCTTTATGGTGCTGAATAATCGAACAGTTGGAAGTCAATCAAAAGCTGGGGGCCAAGGAGACATGAATCTATAGAGTTTACAAACCATAGAAGCCTTTCAGACTTGAACCGGCGAAATTGAAGCTGCCCGGCACCGTTCAGCGTCATCGCTGTCGTTTCCAATATCTACCACTGTTTCTGTGTTGTCAGAAGAACATGTCGCCAACCCCAGCCTCCTCCACTCCCTAGCAACTTTACTCTAGCCACACACATAATGCTTAATAACATCATGAGTGTTCTGGCATGTAAGTTTCTTGTTGTAGTCTTTTGACGAGCATTTCCCGTACAAAGACCCATCAAGTCTATAGATAGCGAGGTCGTCGGTACCACAATAAGCAAAGTGGTCAGCAAGGATAGTTAGTTCACATTTCATCAAAAGCTTTCAGGTAATGATTCTCACAGATTGGACCCTGGTTCTGCAGTTGGAAGTTGAAAGAGCATAGACTTTGGTCAACACTGCCCAGAAGGTGACCTAATCCATCGCAGGGTGTTTCGCCCTCCCACCAGACGATATGGTAGTTCTTGCCTCCGGATTGCTGTTGTTGGCCGACGCTGATCTTTGCCGCGCAAGCTTGCGAAAGCAGGGTTGAGAGTAGGAAGAGGTTGGCTCGCATGATGTTTATTCTAAAGAGGATGCTAGAGAAATGATCGTTGATGATTTTCTAGATACCTTCTCTGTTCTCTTATCACTTTGTCCATGTCTGATATTATATATAGATCTTTATTATTTAGTTTATGTGTCTGGAGGTTGTTTTACTTGACGTGACTCAATCTACCGCAGTCGACTTAGTCAAATAACTAAGCCAGCCCGACTCTCAGTCCTGCTACCTCCTATTGGCGGAAAGATATGCACAGCTTACGAGCTATGTATCCTCGGTAAATGGAGCCCGCTCATCGCGCGTTTTACTCAGTAAGCCGTACACGCTGCTGTGATACGAGATTCTCGGCAAGGATTACTGATGGTAGCCAATATCGTTCCTACTGGCCGTAAAACACAAATCAAAATTGATTCTAAAGTAATCAGATTATTAAATGACCGTTTTAGGCAAGTGATAACCGGTAGGGAATGCTAGATAGGAGAAAGCCTCTTATGTTAGAAATACCCTGAGAGGTACTGGAGATATAAAACGAGTCGATGTATAGATAGGTAATCATTATACCACGAGAGTGAAACAAGGCATAATAAACACCTAAAGTCAATTCATCCACACTTCACTTCGTTCTCTACCAGTTCTTCAGAATGCATTTACAACAAGTTTTACTAGCAGCACTATACTCCCAAGCTCACGCAGCTATCAGCTTTGGCCAGCAGGAAAAGCTCTACGACCGCGAGAACCACCATATTGCCTGGTGGGAAGGCCAGTCGGCCTGCAGTGTTAAGAGCGCGGTCGAGATGGGATATACAACTGTCAGCCTATGCTCTATGAAGTTTAAACTGCCTGGCGATAATACTGAATGTTAGTTTTGTATTTGCCCGCTCTTGCACAATTGTTGATATGGACTTAGATCACGCTGCCTACTGCGGCACAAATGACTTTGCGATCTATCGAGGGGACGGATCTCTGTATGGAAAGTGTTCAGGTAAAGATTATGGAAAAAAGATTGGCTGTGGAGCTGTGGATCATGATGTTGTCAAGCATTATGTCTGTGGGTAATAGTTATTATTAGTACTTACCTATTAGTAATAAAAAGAGGTTTATATAGACAGTTTATACATAAAGCCAGGGCTTAGGCGCTAACCTGCATTTGTATCAGGGTTTGAATGCTTAGTGATAAACTCCGACTTATCATGCAATTATGTCAAGCTTCCCCGGCGTAGGCTAAGTAGAGAGCAGAGCTGCGTAATAACTTAACTAGTAGGCGGCCAAGTATCCAGTTACTAAACGCTCTCATTAATTGACTTGACTGTCTCGCCTGTCGTCACATTTGGTGGACCCCAATGGGATCTGAATCTAACCAGCCGATAGAGACTCTTTGACTTGAGGTCCCAAAGTTGAGTAGATGCCCAACTCCGTCGAAACCATATGTGTACCACTTCTTCTGCTACTTGCAGAACACAACGGATAAATTATTGGGATCCAGGGGGGCTTCTCTCTGTGGTTTGCTTATGAACCTTTTGTATGTCAGCCATCTCTAACTCCTGCGATGCCTCATCAATCAACCTCTGCCACTCTCTAGGTAGACCCTAAATACAGTTAGCTCGCTTCATATAACTATTGAGAGCAGAAGCATTATAGAGCACAAGGTTATAACATACACTAAACTGCCCCGTCGAGTCGTTATATCCAACATGAGTAACATGGTAAGGATTTTCTGGTGCGCTCACCACTGGCGTCTTACGCCTTCTCGCAAAGCGTCCGAGTAGCCGTGAAGGTGTCTGAGTCTGGTACAGTGGTGGCAAGATGTTATTCGTTATATCTTGCCTCTCTTGCTGCGAGGGAGACGACTTGGGAGCCTGAGAACTATCAGACCTCACCAGAGCGCCTTCTTCGCCAAACACATAGCAGTCGCTGTTACTCAAATCATTGTAGTAAATTGGCAAAGCGTAGAAAGAGATGTTGGACACTTGAGAGAGGCTTAGGTTAGAGAAAAGAGACAACGCAGTCGTGTATAAGGCCGTGCTTGTTAGAGATGTCATAGATTGTCTACCGATAGCGCGGTTGTACACTCGAGATGCCTGAAGATCCTGATCGAACGTGAATTTGATGGCGGAAGCCTGGGTATCGATGAACGAAATAGACTTTGAGCCCCGTGTCTGTCGAAAGGTAGAGACATCGTCCCTTCTAGACTCTGCAATAATCGAGCCCTCTCGCTCAAGCCCTCTGATACGACTAGCAAGATCGTGGTTGCTTTGCAGTAATTCTTCAACAAGGGTGCAGAGATGGCGAGTTGAACTTTGAGCTTCTTTCATTGTTTCGCTTCTCAGTTAGTACAATCAAAAAGGCCAAAACACAGTATACGAAGACTCACCACTGCAAAACGGTCAACATCAACGTCAAAGACGATTTGTGATTTTGTAGACGCTGGACGATAGCAGCGATATTGGACTCTTGTCGAGCCCATTTCATCTTATCAATAGTCCCCATGTCAGGGCTCAGATTCAGCTGGTCCATAAGGCTCTGGAGATCCGAGAACGTAGTAATGCATCCTGTCAGTGTAGTAAGAACATGTTCCAGCAGAATCAATGCCCCTCTTTCACCAGGGGCTTGAGTCTGTCCACAAACATATGCCTGGAGCGATCCAAGTGCTGCTGTGATGTCGGCTACTTCAAAGACAAGATGACGTGCAAGTTGAGGGGCGTCTCTAGCGTTGGTCGCGAATGTCCAAAGACATGATGTGATCTTAGCGCCGGCGCCTAAAAGTCCTACAACGGACGCTGAGACGCATAAAGGATCCATGGTAGTAAACTCGGTAATTAAAAAAAAATTGGAGGGAGAAGGTTGAAGTGGGGTGAAGTGTTGTATTTCTGTTCGTGAATCTGCACTGCCTCCACCAAAATCACAAGGCAGATTCAGCCGCACTAAAACAAGACGCCTGCATGAAAGCGACATAATTGGATAGTTTAATTGGCTAGAGACAACAACAGTTAACATCAAAGCGATTGACCAATTCCTACAGCGTAAAGCTGATATCAGCCGTTCGCAGGCATAGCCACCTGACCCTTCTTATAGGGAAATATGCAATGAACTAGAACATCCTCAAGCTCCCCCCTAAGCTATAGGCAGACCACTGTCTGATATGGTCTGTATCAGCCACCTAAGTGCAGTTGTACAATCAATTAAGCTTCCGTATCTAATACGTAAAACGGAAGCTTGGATGGTCATCACCCAAGTTATTCCTCTCATCCTCTGGTAAGTTGTATCTGTGGTCCCGTTTACCCTCATCCCTTAGCCCGTTCTCTCGTCTGATATAAAACAAAAACACAAGCGAGCTGAGTCCACAGAGCCAGACAAGACCAAGACCTAATCCAAACCCAAGAGGATATGTGGGCGCTTGAGTTGTGACAAAGATATTGCTATAGAATGGTTAGCGGCCTCGCCTCGGATTAAAGATCAAGAACCTACCTAGCAATAATTCCGCCGATATTACCGAAACCAACCTGCATTGCGGAAGCTACACCCAACTTGTAATGGCCTGCCATGTTGTTGCTCACCCAGACCAAGACAATTGGCTGGGCGATATACCCACCAGCGACGATAAAGAAGAGGGCCATGTACCGTATCCCGACGCTGACAGACATCATATTGAGCAGAATGACATATCCAACGGTCGTGAAAAGGCAACCTCCAAGGATAAAGCCCGAGCGATGCTTCGTCTTGTCGCTCGCGATAGCAGCAACAAGCGCGCACACGGTTGCGAACAGAAAGATAGGGATCGACATGATCTGAGCCCGGATAGACGTCCAGCCAAGCTGTTTGAGGATAGTTGGGGTGAAGAAGGAGCCGGAGTAGCTGGTAGTGACGATACCCATGTACATCAAGATACTATCATGGTTAGCAAGAAGCTCCACTCGTGAGGTTAACAAGTGACTTACCCGAGATAAATCTTGACGTCTGAGAAGATCCTCTTGGCTGTCTTCTTGTCCCACATGTTCATGTGAGTATCCTTTTTATCCGCAGCAAGACGGTCAACAAGCAGAGATCGTTCATCGTCATTGAGAAATTTGGCAGTCTCAAGCCAGTCAGGAATCATCCAATAGCTCCAGATTGCAATAACAACGGTAGCGGCACCTTCAATGATGAAGATCCATCTCCAACCACCATAACCAGCAATCCCGTCCATGTGAGCGATAGCATAAGCCAACAGACCGCTGAATGCACCAGCGACGATACTGGCTGAGAAGAAGAGGTTGAAACGCCACTGTAACTCGTGTCGGCAGTAGTACATGCTGAGGAGATACACACACGCCGGAAAGAAGCCAGCCTCGAGACCACCGATAATAACGCGGCATGCAATCAGCCCAGCGAAGGATTGAGTGAGCCCTTGACAGATCGTGACGATGCCCCAGCCTGTCATGATAGCCGAGAGAAACAGCGACGGTCGCATGTTCTTGAGTAGGATATTGCATGGTACTTCGAGGAGGATGTAAAGAATGAAGAAGGTGAATAGGGCGATGTTGTAGTCTTCGCCTGACATGTTGAGATCGGCTTCCAAGCCTTGGATTCGAGCATTTCCGATGTTGATTCTGCAAAGCAGATCATGTTAGAGACGATGTCTGAGGATAGCCGAAAGAGGTCTTACCGATCTATGAACGCGCAGAGAAAGAGTAGGAAGAGGATCGGGACAAGATTTCGGTCAACCTTTCGAATGACCTTCTTCTCGAGTATCGGATCGAACGCTTGTTGTTCGCTCTTGGGGTTTTCATCTTGGCTGATCCTCGGACCGCCAACCTCGTTGATCTTGTCCGACATGGCGGTGATGGTAAAAAGGTAAGGAGGAATTCGCTGTCAATGATGGAGAGACGGGCTCGAGATATTGGCTTCAACTGTCGAGATGGAGATGCAAGAATGGGGCTACGATCTGCCATGGCCCATTCTCTTTATAGCAGGGCCAACTTCTTCTTTTCTACTAAGGAGCCAGGGAGTCTCGCAAAATCTCCCAGGATTAATTACCCCGCGCCTCGGATTCAACTCACTGTTCAACCTGCAATACCCGATTCCGGGGTAATCTGGGGTAGCAAGCGATTGAGTGGAACAAGTGTGCGGGGATTAAAACCAGGACTAGAATAAGCGTAAATGTGACGGGGATTGCACACCATCAGAAGACAGAATAGGTATGGTTTCCTCGGATGATGTCCATCGCTAGCTTCAAAGTGAAGCCAAGACATAAGAAGCCTATCGCGTTGAGGCAACGGATTGAGAGCAACTCGGGTTGATTCCGATTGTCGGAAACTCGGAAATAAACCGACACTGTTTTAACAGAGGCCGATGATCTTGAGATAACTTCGACTGTCGATAATATTTAACATGAATCTGAACGGAGAGCCTTTAAGTAAAAGTTCATCCTGAAGCTATATGCTACCGCGCAAGTTGGTTAAGGTCATGTATTTTAGCTGTACGTGTGCTACCAAAGATCGCCTTCTGGAGCAACTTGCAATTGATCCCCGCATCTAATAGAGTGTATTTTTTTCAGGTTTTGTCTCCATCTTGGAGGTCATTACCATATTAAAATGCAAACCGTGGCTTTCGATAATCAGTAAACACCAGTAGTATCCAGTTTTCGCAACCGGTTATGTCGTAGTCGCTGACAGTGCAATGGCTTCTTCTAAGCTCTACCAATTGGTGTTTAGTCGAGCGAACTTTGTGAGGGCTGAAAGCTGTTAGAGCGTCAAGTCTCGTGTTATCAAGGTCAATAGCCCAGATGCATGCATCTAGTCTCCCAAAAGTACCTCCTTTACTTCAGCACCGGCAACCAAGAAGTCCAGCATTCTAACGTATGCTATACCAAGCCTTCTGGTGACAATATCAGCGGGAGTGATCCCCGCAACAAGGAGACCAGAGTCCGCTTCCATCTCGCCTGGGCCATCGCTGCGGCTGATCCAGTCTATAGCAGACGAGAATTCCGTCTCTGCTCTTGGCTCGCTTTCATTTCTAGTGGAAGCAAGCTGGCTGCTACCATGTAGAGTTGCATTTGGCTTAAGAACCTGATGTTGCCTATTCTGGACTAAAACCCAGGGCATCTTTGGTCGGTCCCTCGGGTTGAGGCGCAGAAGGCGAATGTAACGAGTCCCTTCTGGGAGGTTAGGCTTACCGTCTCGCTGATCATCAAACATCATTCCTATATGGAAGGTGATTGAGCCCCGAGCGGTGGAGAAATCAGGGTTGCGCCATACCTCCGATGATAGATCGTTTCCTAGACGCCGAGACCACCTCGTAATATCAATGTCCAAGGCCAGTCCGGATAATTTAAGCACTCGTACGTTCGCCATATCGGCAATAGAGTTTAAAGGGGAACTTTGATTGCCGCTGTCCAACGCCGGCGTACTCGTCAATGAGTAGAACTGCCCATTTGGTCCTTGATACCATGCCTTGGGGTCAGGAAGCTTGAGGTCCTTCCTATAGCTTTGGCGGTGACTCCAGAAGATGAATGGATCATAGTCAATTCCTCCAGGGTGGCTGAGCCAGGTCCAGTGAGGCCATTTACGGAGAGTGGATGAAGGGGAGTTGAAGTCGCGTAGTAGAGTAGGATTTATGGAGGAGTGCCTCCAGAGCAAAGCTCTGAGGAAGTCCGCATCGCCAATAGGCATAGCATGGATAAACTTGACTTGGTATAGTTTGGACAATCGAGCTTGCAAGCCCTCAAATGCTCGGAAGCGGTCGCTAGGGAAAGTGAGGTTGCGATGGGAGTAAAGGGTGGCACAACTCTGGTATGTGTGCCTCAAACTGTGTCTTCGGGTCACAGTTGGTAGCGGGAGATCATATTCTGCCCATTCATCATAAGGATCCCAATCAGGTTCAACAGCGTATGCCTCAGTATGGGGCTGGGTCCAACTTTCTTTCGTCGTCATCTCGCCGCAAACGAAAAAGACCTGCTGCTTACCAAAGAACAATGTTCTTCTGGAAAGCAGATGCTCCTGCATCGTCCAAGCTCGAGTTTGCCAGGGAGATTCTCGCATGATGTCCCTGAGTTGCATTAATGAGGTACTTATTTTCAAGCCTCCAGGCAACAGTTCGAAATATTGGTTGACATTTCTTGGGGATTTGTAGCTGGACCCCGGTAATCCTCCCTCGACGCCTGACTCGAGCGAAACTATGGTACAGACACTGCTGGAGTAGATCTGATCCATCTGTGAGATTTGCTGTGCCTTAATGTCGGGTTCGTCTTGAGGAATGCACAAAGCGTCAATCCAGACGTATCGCTCCCCTAGACGCTTCGTGAAGCCGATAGCGTCTTCAAATGTTTGAGGGAGGTTCCCTTCGAGAAGAGCAATCGGTTGTGTATCCATTGGACATACATAGTCGCTCAGATGATACGACTCGGATACCAGGGCTTTTTCCTCAAAGGTGCGCGAGGCCGCGTCTCCCCAGACGTAGGAGAGAGTGACGAAGGGTACGCAATGCAGCGTTTGAACAAGTAGGCGGGACTCAACATCGATCAATCTTAGGCATGACGGTGAAAGCCCATGCAAGCCAGGACTCGAGATCGATTGCTGCTCGTTACAAGATTGGTGTGATTCCCGACACGTTTCCAACCACGCTTTGATTCTCTGGGGATCTGCATATTTGGGGTGGACGAATTGAATTCCGCCAAAGGAGATGTGACGATTGACATTCTGTCCATTGATTCGTGTTGTTATCCAGTCCAATTGCAACTGCTGCTGCAGTGAGAGCCAAACCCGAAGTTTTTCTTTGGTTGGTTTCAAATCGCTGGTCGTCGATTGTCCATGCTGGAGTACGTGGAAGATCGAACAGCAACTGGCGCAGCAATTGTTATTTCCGTCACGAATGACCCTCCACAAAAATCGGCAGAAGGGACAAGTGCGCCTAAGAGCGAGGTCCGCTATCGAGTCGAACCAGAGAACTTTGTTGGGATTAGGGGGTTCGACAGAAGATTCAAATGGCTTCAATTGGTCGAGTATCTTAGCAGCTTGGCAGTCGTTGCAGAGACGGGTACCAACAGCCCGCCCTGCCAGTGCATCCTCGAGTGCATCGTAGTCACGTCGGTAATCAACATCTGGACTCATGCTAAGTGTCATTGCGGACAAATCCGGCTCGTAAGTTTTACCGGAAAGTTTGGATTACGATGAAAAGGGAATGAAGATTTCTGTAGATGGGATAAGGTAGCGAAACAACAAGCGTACAGTGCTTCCTCCACTAATATGGTGCTAGATCCTTACGGCGCTTCAACGGGGCTGATAACTGGCCAGCCAAGCGCCCAGAAGTCCCCTCCCCTCCTCCATTACAGTAAAGTTTAGAACACTGGAAGAGCTGTGTGTGGTTGTCATAGGTAGATGGCAATAAGAGAAACAGACCCAGCTTCATCAGATACTTGATACGTAGTCCTCAAGAATAGAATAATTGCGAAATTGGGTACCATGAGGACAGTGCCTTAGAGCAAAAATGCAGAATATAGTAAAACAAGCCTCTAGAGTTTAATTAAGAAGGCTTCCATTAGATTGCACACCTCGAGATCAGCATTAAGCAATTGGCATTTTGATAAGGCCCTAGTAGCCGAGAGCTCCTGGTCTCTACGGAGTGGATGGTGAGAAATACATCTCGAGATTTGAAGGTTGCACGTGATTGGCCTTTTGTCTTGAGGCAGAATTGGCGAACCACTAATGAGGCTTGCCGCCGAGCGGGACAAGCTCCATAAGTGGCTACAAGTAGTTCGGCTACCATCGAATGGAAATTGGCAGCATACGTGCGGCTGAATGCAAGAGCTGAAACAACCTTGCTGCCTGATGGACGAGGAGGCGACCGAGTCCCAGTCAGCTTGAAATAAACCCCTCTTTTCACGCAGAGAGCTAGCATTGTAGAGTCTTCTGCAAGCTTTACAAAATACTTGAACTATTTGTCCTGCGTTTCAATAAATTGTTCTGCATCATGGACTTTCCCCATCGGCCAGGCGTTGATCCAGATGGTAAGTGGCTCGTTGACATACCGGTCCAGGCGTCTTCTCGTGCTTAATCGGGTCAATTTAGGTAAAAGTCTACCCAATCCAGATGTCGCACGTGCAGCTGGGTCGGGCTCGGGGACTGAGAGGCCAAAAATGTTTGGAAACCCCCCGAACCGATCGCGCATACCCGCGTGGCAAATGAGATTTCATAACGAACAAGAACAGAGGGATAAGAAAGAGCATCAGCAGAAGGGTCACGACGACAAGGCTGACCGAGGTGGTACCGATAGCCAAGACGTCGAGGCTGTCAAGGCCGCCGCCCCTAGATACCCCCTGCACAGATACCCACCTCCACAGTTCTTCGCATGCCCCTTTGCGAAGTACGATCCAGCTCGGTATATGAGTTGCCTAGGCCTTACACTTCGCCGCCCATCAGATATCACACAACACATTAGCAGATTGCATGTGCTGAGAGACGATGTTCCCGAGTCACGTCAAAATATCAGACCAGACAAGATATGTGTTTACTGTACATGGTGCCGCCAAGAGTTCCATGGACAGGGTGCTGAGAGGAGGCTCCGCGACCACACGACGGCTTGTAAAGCCAGCAAAAAACCAGCGTCTATTGCGGAAGCAGGGGTTTTGTTGCCTCATGAATATGAGTTAGTTCTGTCAGTGAGGAACATGGCGCATGATAGCACTGCGAAGTGGAACGCAATATGGCATGGATGTTTTCCTCAAACACCAGCGCCGTCGCCATACGTCGAGATCGCTGTTTCAAGAGCAGAGGCTCAGCGAATACTAGAACAACTTCTAGCATCGCCTGCCGCCAACCCTTGGTCTTCCGTGGAAATCAAGCAGTCTTTCATCGAAAGAGCTTTGGTTGCAATCTACGCTGGCCTACCGTTCCCTGAACCCGAACCCCTTATCACCGACGCAAGCACTATACTTTCCGCCAACCAAAGCACATTTGATGTCTCGAATGAAGGACCCTTCACTCCACCCGGGTCCCTCGATGAGGTAGGCGACATGGAACAATGGACACGTCCCCTCAAGATCGCAATTCTTGATATTGACTATGACAAAGTCTATGATATCTTGAGGAACTCGTTTGATAAAGTTACTGTTGGAGAGTATTCGTGGTTGTTGGAGCTGAAAGCATTAGGTCTTTCGATGGATGAAATCGCTGATGAACTACTGGAAAAAGCCCAGCATGGGCCTTGGATATACTCCAAGATCGACGTGCACGATGTTGGATCGTACGTGCACGGCTTTCATCTTCAAAGATGTCTCCATACAAGCAGGGAGGATGAAACAATGCGGGCAATCTCGTTGCATTCAAGCCAGAGTCTGATCCGCATCGAGACTGACCGCGATGTCTCAATTCGTGATACTATTGGCTACTTGTGCGGTGTTGGAGGGGTAAGTCCGATGCCTGACGGGTCGCACAACCTCCAATTTGGGTCTGTCAACTTTCAAAATGCCAACTCGACTGCCATCGTCTCTCTGATGACTAGCCAATCAGCCCAAGCTGTTCCAAATGTTTTGCAGCATCTACACATGGCTATCGGTGCCCTTCAGGAGGTCGGCGGTTGTTGCGACTCATTCAGCTTTCTCGCAAGACGGGAGTCCTTTGTTGAGCTGGAACGTATATACCCTGACATTACATCAGAACCTGGGCCCCTAGTATCACTTACAAAGTCAGAAGCCAAAATCGAGGGTTTTAATCAACTACTGCGGGACTCATTGACGGCCCAGTTCCTTTCCCTCGCCTTTGCTCTTTACGCACAAGGTCATTGCGAGCCTTTTGGGCCTTTTTTTCTAGATACCCCACTGAAACGTATACTGCTTTTAGGAAATCAGATTTGGGGTCCAACTTTCACTGGGCCATGTATACTTGCGACTCCAGTGGATTTGAGCTGCTTTGGAGAAATGATTCAGCGCCAGGTCTTTGCCTTTCAGTACTTTGATAATTTTGAAAGGTCGAGGGTTTTTTCAGATTGTGATAAGAAGATGGACTTGAAGGGATGTCCTGAAGATTTGCTTGATACATGGGGTCCTGGAGATTTCATTATGCCGAAGGATGACACGGAGAACCTCCACGCAATATCCATTGGCGGTGGCTTGATCACCTCCATCTCGACAGAAGCAGAAAGCCATCAATTACCTGTTCTCCACTGGAGCACAGTATCAGAAGAAAACAAGAAATTCACTTCAACCTTCCCTCGCCATGAAAAAATGCTCATCGGCTCAAGAGTCTCGATAAACCTAGCCTGCAGAATGACACCTCAAAAACAGGTTCGGGCGGCTGTTCCATATTTAAAGGAGCTAGGGACATTCCCAAGCTACTGGGAAGTATCTGAAAGGCAGCTAGGACTTGGCTTACAGGCTGGACAAAACGCTGTGGGGATAGTAAACTTCGCCCAGACCTGGGTAAAGAGACTAGGCCAGACCAGAAAGTCCAGCATTCTCTCCAAGAGATACCTAGCCATCGCAGATCTAGAAGCACCTTTTGCTGTGCAGGTCAGCTTTTGTACCGGTATCGCAAGACGGGTGCCCCTGCGAGAACTCTTAGCTGATGTCTTACCCGTTTACGTTGCGGATCTCGCTACACAGCCTTGCTATTGGAATAAACTTCAAGAAAGCGATATCTGCAAGATGTTGAGAGACACTGATTTCAGAACACGCTATCAAAAGCTAGATCGTGAACTGCAAGCAGAGTTCGAGACCCTCGCTATTGCCACCCTGTTTGTACTGCAAGACACGGGTGTAGATAGAAAGGGCGAGAACTTTGTTGTAGGTTGTATTCCTCGAGGACTAGGAGCCCAATGTTTCAAGATCCCCATCGAAAAGGAGAGCTTCTGGGCCCGAATCCTTGCCGATTCTGAAGACGTAGCGACTTTCGCTTATATGGCAACAAGTTGCTTCGAAACAGATCTGGTGAAGTGCCGGGGTCCGAACGAGCAGTGGATGAACACAACAGCTCTCTTCTCGACCGCTGTATCACTCTGCCAAGACCGCATAGCCGCGCAGGGAACAATAGCACAACAGGCAAATTGGACTTTGAAAGATTCAGAAGCGTATCTCATTGGGCGAGTCGATGCACCTTTACTCGTAAGAGTGATTCGACCGAACATGCAGGACGAGCCAGAATTGTTGGTATCATTAAGCACAATCATTGCCCCGTTTTTGAGAAGGTGGAGCAGGAAGCAAGGGTTTAAGAGGCCGTGGAGATTGCGAGAGAGCAGAGCTATAGACCACCAGCATCAAATGGCCGAGAGTGTTGTTGTCATTGCTGATTTTGCGACTTCATAATGACAAGATGCATTTGGTTTCATATTTTCGGTTTATCTTCTTACAGCATATCGTGAGTGAAGCCACGGCATGACGGACATAGAGCGGCAATAACGAGCAGTCCGATAGAGCTGTGATAAGATGAGCCAGGAATGGCTGCGTATTTCTCACGTTCTGAATATCCTGAACCGATGCAAGGATTCGTCGAAAGGGTAACTATTCAGCCGAAATCAGGAGGCTTCATTTGCTAATTGGAATCCTCGCGGAATAATTATATACTGATACTGACAATACACGTACCGTAACCTTGTCCTATCTGCCGAGCCGATCTGCCTCATGGTCACGTGTGGGTCTGGTGATGCCCCTCCCTTGCCTCAAGCATCCGATCAATTATATCATCATCGTCAGAAAAGTAACCTCATCTCATGCCTTATAACCTGGTACTTCTCACATTGATGTCACGCGTAGTTGTAGGCGACATTTGGTAGCATTATTGAGCCTACTTTATTTTCACCTTATACCTAAATCTCCAATTTTCACTTCCCCCGCCTCAGATTGAACTCAAAAAAGCAAGAAGCAAAAAAGCACACCGCAACGCGTCATGCCATTGCCAGAACCACGCGAGCTTACTCCTCGGGTTTGCGAGTTGGAAACCTGTAGCGAGGCAGATAAAGATCTTCTGAAGCGCTGCTCAAGCTGCAAGGCGGTGTACTACTGTGGAGCATCCCATCAAACGACTGATAGAAGCCATCACAAGAGTGCCTGCACCATCATCAAAAAAGCACGCAAGGCGGTAGAGAAGGAGGAGCAAGAGCTGCGCGATCACCCGGGAGATATGTTTACACCGCCGAATATCTTTGAGAACGGCGTTGGACATTTCTGGGGTATTCACGAGACGCGCGCGTATATGCGTGCGCGATATCATATGGTCGACGTGTTGCTTCAAGTCTTTGGCACGCCAGGTGGTAAGATTGACGCGGTTCAAGAGGCCTTGGACCATCTGGTTGATATGCTTCGTCTTTGTCGGGGCGACAACATGGGTGTGAGGGATCTTGTGCCGCATTTGTACATCCGGCTCAACAGGGATCAGGAAGCCTACGATTTCGTCAAGTGGTACGCAACCACCGGCTCAGAGTCCAAGTATGACTGGGGCGACATGGACCAGCCATACCTCGATATCAGGGATGCGGATGTTTTGGAGGAGCCATTGGAGACTTGGGCGAACGGGAAGTATCTCAGCTTAGGCCACGTGGCGGCTGTCACGCTGATCAAAGTGAGGATTCTACTTGACTTGCAGTCTGCACAGAACGCCGCACGAGCTCTCAACGGTACTATCCCACCAGAGATTGTTGGACTTATCCGCGGTGAGCTTGTCGGCAGCGCTGTGGCGGGACGCCCAGATATCCTCATGGGTAGCACAGAACATTTGTCTAAGCTTATCAAGAAGGTTAAGGGCCAGATTGTCAAGCTTTACAGATCTGTGAATGAGTATAATCCTCACTTCTGGCGTTTGATGTTGAGCTGTCCGGTATCGGCCGCTTCACAAAGACCTGGGATGTACTCGCATGAAACGAAGGAGGAAGCTTGTCTCATGATTGGGTACTGCCTTGCTTCTTGGGTTGAGACACCCGGTGCCTTCCAGTTAATGAAGGACTTGAGTCAGACTGTTTAGAATATCGGATGTTTGGTTCATTGGACCATGTTAAGGCTATCAGGCTGTATAATAGGCGCTGCATCATACAACGAAACTAGAATACAAATTGTATCAGTATTTATTCAATAGTTGCGAAATAAGCCTGTGCTACCAGAGCTAGAAGTAATGAGCGAGTACGTCGTGAAATATCCAGGCCACCTCACGCATTCCAAATACTATTCGCCCAAGGACACAACTCCACCTGGGAGGAGCCCGACCTGGATCGCAGGCGAAATGGGAGCCTGAAATGAAACAATATGTGGCGACAATAGATTGTATCATATTCGAAGACGAATCATCCCTCGAGAATATTGATCAAGTTATCCACTGTACTGGTTAGGAGCACTGAGTTCTGTTCCCAGCATCACTAAGTTCTCTGATGATTTATGTTCTCACTCTCAAGTCTCAACTGCAAATAACACATCGAGCTAGCAACTTGGATATTACAAGATAATGCCTGACCACTGGCTACACCATAGAGCTGCCAAATCTGCACTAAACGGGGAGAAGATCTGGACGGGCTTAGAATCGGTTGGGGAAAAGATTAGGGTGAGATATTACTCTAGGATTCTCGGTACTAACAAGAATCGAGACAACTCATGACAAAGTATTCGTCACCACCTCACACCTAACACCCAACTGTAGCGTAATTGAGTTCTTGATCTGTTACCACATTGGCGGCTGTCTTGTCAGATGATGCCTTGATTCAAAGCTGGTCACATACCCTAGAAACAGCAGTTATGCCAATAAAGCATGAACCTGTTCTGTCGAGCCCCCATTTATCCATGGAGTTGACAAGAGTCGTCCAATTATATGCCTGTTCTTTCAGCTTCATTTTGCGGGCGGCTAATTGTGGCTAAAAATATCTGAGCTGAAAGGTGGTGTAGTCTTGGCACCGAGGATAGTCTCATGACATAAATGGTCTCCCCATCTGTGAAATAATGAGATATTTTGACTACTTGTGACATGAAAAAAGTCACGTTCGATCAGTTACCTACTTGAATGCTTCGGACAAATTCTTGCAGCTAGAGATCTGATATGATCATCATGTCGGCGGACGCAGAGACTTCTGATGGAGGCAGCCTGACAGACCATCTAGACCGTCTCAGCATTGAAGTTGGGGGTCGTTCAAACTCCCAGCTGACACGCAAAAACACCGAAGAGTCCATAAAAGACGATGATGGGGATGACGACACGGAAAAAACCTTGTACTATACGGGACGTCACATCTACCTTGCGAGACGCGAGTTCATCCTCGAAACAGATGAACCTGATATAGACAAGGCTGCAAAGGTTTTCTTCGCACATGGGGAGAATGAGATACTGCAGCTTGAGAAGCTACCCTCCATGATCAATGAATTTGATCTTGTACGAAAACACGCGATTGAGATCATCAAGACAACAGAACCTATGACAACCGAGCGATCTATCCGGTTTGGATATCTGAGCGATCTCGCAATCGACCTTTCCGAGCTACGGGAGAGGTGCTACGAGGCCGTTCAGGCAGCTTTCATGGCTGCAGACTCTGCCTGTGAGGATTCTGCAGCTCTGGAAAATGACACCGGCTTAGATGAGCCTGGACTAAATCCAGAGGAAACTTTAGCACCTGACGGCAAGCAAAATGCCAAGAGTGAGCCAGTTGAAGCCTCTTATTGCTGCTTCATAGCCCTTACCATGGCTGCCCGTGTATTGGAAGCTTCGACGGCAAGGGATATGGCCCAGGAAGTCTGCAGTGGTGTCAACTTGGACGACCTTATCCTTAACATCGAGTTACTTAAGCCGCTGACGCAGAGTGAGCCTTGGGAAGCAGATATGGCAGATAAGCCGGGATACCATCATGTTTATGCACTATTGGGGTGTCTCATGGCTACTGCATATGTCCGCCAGTGTTTCGCCATCGAGACCTTGTATCTCGACCGAGCGATCAGCAATCTCGACGTCGCAGTCCTGAAGATGCCAAACACCCCTTTCAAACAATTTCGGGGCTATCTTGAAAAGATAAGGAAGGAAGTACAGCGATTACAGGTCTTCTTCCAACGCATTGAGATAGAGGATGATCCATCGATAGACTCCGTTCTCTGTGCTATTTGCCAAGAGCTAGAACCTATCTTCGGCCTCCATGATACTGAGTATCCATATCGAAACATGGACTTTGAGTGGGTTTGCAAGAAAGCCACGTTGAGATGTAGAGTTTGCACTCTACTCAGGGATTCCACCGCCTCGATGTACCCGCTGTTCAATATGGCGTGGCCAGATATCCATGAAATGAACTACATTAATCGCTCTATTGGCCGGCGTTGGTTCGGAGACACCGACGACCTCCTGGCTGATGTCTTGTGGGGTCGAGATGGGGCTCTAAGGATTGAGCTTATTGCCTGCTATTCTGGTACGGAGGAGGAGTTTTATGTCACCTATGAATTATACTGCTTACCAGGTAAGGTTGCAATCACCAGGAGCATCAACAGTCAGCTAATGTATCTGAAGGAATTCCGCCTCCTTGGAAAGTCATCGGCACAGGAACTCATGTTCAGTACGATGTTACCTCGCCGGAAAGCTGGGATATGATACGAGGCTGGATTAAAGATTGTGTCAATAATCACCAGAAATGTAAAGTTGTCAGCGAGGATCGGCCATTTCCGACTCGTGTCTTGTCTGTTGGAAACGAAGACAGAGATCCTCACTTGTTTATACCCAGTTCTGATAATCGCGGTCGATACATAGCTCTCAGCCACTGCTGGGGTGATTTCATGCCTCTCAAGACCACCAAAGCCAGCTTCACCGAGTTCTGCCACTGCATTCACTTCAATCGGTTTCCCAAGACATTCCAAGAGGCGATAATTATTTGCCGTCAACTGGATGTCGAGTACTTGTGGATAGACTCACTCTGTATCATACAAGATGATGAGCTTGACTGGGCTGTTGAGTCACCCAAAATGTGCGATGTCTATCAAAATGCGTACCTCACGATCGCTGCCGCCGCAGCTCACAATAGTAGCGAGGGGCTCTTCCAGCCGCGGCCCTTCAGTCTTGTAAAGTCGTTCCCGACTGTCTCGAAGAATAGCCAACAAGTTGAAGAGGTCGAGATCTTCGCCCGACCTTGGGATTCTCAAGGGCATTGGGCCGATAGTATTGGCGATGGGCCATGGTGTCGCGAGCAAAGCCCACTGGAGAAGAGAGCTTGGACGCTGCAAGAGCACGTACTATCACACCGAATCCTCCGACTTACTGCTCACGAGCTAGTCTGGCATTGTCGGGAGGTACATCTCTGCGAGTGTCGTCCAGGGTCGCACACACGCAAGGAGTCGCTGAGGCTCATAAACCTAGAAGCCATGAAATCCGGCAAAGATACTGAACATGGCCCACGGATCTCAGTGCCGCTCAGAGTCTGGCTAGACATAATCGGTCCATTGACCAGCCGTGCTATCACCCGCGAGACAGATCGACTACCTGCTATCTCGGGTGTAGCTGCTGCACTTGCTCCTTTTATAAATACAGCGTTTATAGCTGGTATGTGGAAGGATGGACTTGAAACGAAAGTTTGCTGGCACGTAGAAAAGGGGCCGACCTCGAGGCACGAAGCATACTATGCGCCGACGTGGTCTTGGGCCTCTGTCGTAGGGCCTGTACTTACGTCGGACCTCTGCCACATATGCCCACTGCCACAAGCGACAGTAGTTGACGTACATCATACGCTAGCGACTCCAAACCCTTATGGGAGTGTGTCTTCTGCAACGTTAACAATTACTGGCATCTTGTTAGATGTTTCGGTCTCGAAACTGCATCCCCGTCCTGACAAAGGAACACCTTTTCAGATACATCCCCACAACAGCTCACTTCTGGAGATGGCGATGAATCTATCAATGGAATGCGTAGCATTTCCAGATATCTTGACGGAATCGGAAGAGGCTCCTGAGTTGGTGACTGGGGACACCATCAGCCTTTTACTTCTTGGCTGCAAGATGTACTGCCAAGGGTATGATATCATGATTGGAATTCTACTGAGTGAGGCAGGTGAAAATAGTTCTGGAGGGGCTGTTCACCGGAAGGTTGGCACTGGGGAAATCAAACTACGAAACTGTGACGAAGACGAAGACGAATTGAGAGGGAAAGCAGTTGACGGATTAGCCTGGCATATGGCACATCATCTAAAGCGTCGGGGCTGTGTAGCATCAGTCGTAGTAGTGTAATGGGACAACTGGTACCATTGCGTGTCTTTGTGATGCTTACACCTCACGGACGCGTAGCTGAGATTTCAGGCCTCCGATGAACAGCAAGTGATATGCCAATAAGGTGACAGCTATAGCCGCCCAAGCAACATTGTTTAGAAAACCTGGTCTAATGTTAGCCTGAATTCTGATGACCGTGGCGTCCTCCCCCAGGTCCCCCCCATAACTCAATTATAACCCTAGAATGCGGACCGGGTTCGAGCTTCCTATAATCAGTCAGCATGGGCATTTCATTTCCGCTATAACCACCATAGAAAAGGTCAAAGGAAACATACCGAGATTTTCCGTTCAATTTCCGCCACTGTGCGATCCAGCTCGCCCGCGATCCGCTCCTTTTTCTCTATAGAGAGTAATCTGAACCGCTCGCAGAGATCTCCGTCTATGACGCCCTTGGTCGGCACGTAATAGCTGCGATACATCAGGTGATCGCGACCAACAAGTGACGGGTCTTCAGCACGCATCTGTCCTTCGAGTTTGTGGAAGAACTCAGCGTCCTCGCGTGTGACGAAGGGGATGAGTACGCCGATGGTGCCTTGCAAGCCGCTCCAGACAATGACGTCCTGCCCGCCCACGACGAGGCTGGCCTTGGTGATGCTGGTCGGTATGTCTTGGGTAAAGAAATGGGCGATTGAGTCGAAGCGATTTGGTGCGTCTTGAAGATGGTCCTGTGCATTGTTGAGGCGATTTCCACGCTGGCCTGCCTCTTGACTCGCCTTGTTAGGACATCGCACAATCCAGATGTTACCGAATTTGTCTCCGCCTATCACCGATTCATAGTCGATCATCCCAGTACAGGTTGTCCAGCGTGCAACTGTGTCGTCAACGAACGGGATCAGCTTCTGATGTTCATTATCTAACTCAACCATCGTCACGCCCTGCTGGAGATCTCCAACAACGATACGGTTCCCTTGGGCATCAAGGGAGACAATCAACTGCGGTGCCACCTCAGCATGGGCTTTTAGAAGTAACTGCTTCAAGCCCAGATCATAAATTCGCAAGGCTTTGCCGATTCCTGCGACTAGCCGACCTTGGAAAGCCACAAGCGCCATCGGAGACTCCTCTACCTTGGTCTTGTGGATAAACACCAGCTGTCTGCCGTTCTTCTGAAATCGGTAGACATGGATATAACCCTCTGAGAATTGCCTGGGATTAAGGATCATGTCCTTCCCTGTGCCAACAATTAGAAAGCTGTCGCCATCTTGGCCAGTGAATGAAACCACTGCAACACTCATCGCAGCCTCGTTGTCTTCGAGTTCGATCTTCTGAAGTACATGTTCACCGAGTGGATCGACAACGCTTATGCATGACGCCCATCGGCCACGACCACGCGGATAGCCAAAGTCCGCTGGTCGGAGTAATTTGGCATCCTCTTCATTTTGGCTTTCGGTGGCCCCCAGTAGCTGCTTTCGTAACTTAGGACATAGTGTATTGTTGTCTGCTTCGATTGTATAGAAGTAGGGCTCATGAGGATGCTTAACAAAATGTCGTGGTGCGTAGGTCAGAGATATCGATTTTCGGACCATCTTATCGGATAGGTTCTCGATGGAGAATATGCTTGAGCTTAGGTTAGCAAAGTAATAAGCAAGGCTGGCCGTCGGATACGGCACACGACTATTCGCACTGACATCCAGGCTCAGAATGTGTAGGAATGGAACACTCACTGGAGGAAGTTGGCGCGAATTGCGATGATACCCTCTTCGCACTGCTCACTACTAAAGTTACATCCCCACTCCAGCTCATCACAATCAAGAGGCGTCATCATGAATCCTCGTCTCGGGTCGGTATAAGCCAACCAAGGTTTAGTCCCAAGTGCTAAAACACAGGCTTTCCCCCTGACGGTTACCTGGAAAAGCTTAATAGCCTTGAGACCAAGGAACCTTGTCTGCGTATCTGATAACTCTCCTGTGGTTTCATCCAGCCTAGTTCGTAGATACACACCAGAGCTCAGACCAATGTGCAGGTACAGTCCTGAGCTACTGGATACGGGGTCTTCCATCGTCATAATGCTTAGCGCCGAGGGTTCCGCAGTCAGCGCTTGTATAGATTTCCTCTCAAGCGTGAAATCTGGGTCCAAGCTTAGGATTCGAACAGTGCAATCTTCGCATCCCACCGCCAACATAGGGCTTCGGACTCGACCCTCAGGGACTGATTCCAAACTGAGACACGTTACGGTGCTAGATATCTCCTTTCTCTCATTATACTCATCAAGTGATCCATCACTATCTACTTCAAAATAGACAATCTCTCCTGAGCTTAAAGCAACAGCAATCTGTCGCTCATTTGTAGCAACGGCTACGATATGCCGATGTTCGGGAACATGCCATTCGTTGATTTCCCCGCCACGTAGATGCCGGATGCCTCGGGGGTGGACTTGTACCAGACCGTCGTCCGCGACTTGCTGTATGGCGAGGGTGGTCACAGAGGTGAGAAATCCTGAATCGTCTACTTGCTCGACTTCATCTCCGACACTCATGACCAATGTGTTATCAGGCGAGGTCAAGATGATATACGCGTCGTACTTGTCGTGTCTCTTTAACCTCGTGGCCCAGACACCATAGACTGTCCCGGGTAGCTCCGATGTTGCGACCTCGTTAATCTCTAGCCCGTGCTTGAGAATCCGAAAATGACTCCTTGCGCCGTTGCCGGATACTGAATAGATCTGCGGTGCACCGTCCCCAGTCAAATCAGCAACCTTGCAGTCCATGAGAGGGCTTAAAGATTCAAGGCTTTCTACCAAGGTGAGATTCTCTAGAGGACGTGGGTAGAAGTAGACAGGCTGATACCCAGAAGGATGGTCGGGAGGAAAATCGTCGCTGATAAATGGGGGCTCTGAATCGTCGTCGTCGAGCTTCTCGAATTGATAAAAATGATGATTGCCAGACTCAGTAGCGACAAAAAGAAACCCACTCTTGAGAATACACAGATTGCTCGCAACAGGAAGAGTATCGAAATACTTGATCTTGATGCGCCGCACCTGTCCTGTCAGAGCACCTTCGTCTTCATGCAAGTCAAACGTCAGCTTGAAAATGTCGCCATCTTCTGACTGCAGCAGAAAAAAGAACGCCTCAAGACTATTCTTGAGCTTGTGCATCACACCACCAACGATAGTACGCTTCCGTTGGGGGTCTTCTGTAAGTCCTCTACGCCGTGGAATGGGGACACGGAGAGGGTCCTGTCTCGAGTGTTGGTATGTAAGACTGTCCTCTCCACAGACAAGGACGCCGCTTGGGCCATCATTTCCACCGGGGACTTGGAAGAGTAACGATGCCGTAGAGTCAACAGATTCGGACCATTTACGGACCACGTGATTGAGGCCTAGATCCAATTCGTAGTACACAAGCTCAACATTGGGCGTCACTTGGCCAGAGGGATCCTGGTCTGACCATGAATAGTCGATCTCAAGAGATGCAAAGACGGGATTCGAATAGCCCACGTCGAGAGCCACCAGAGATAGAACAAGCACTCCATGTTTATGCGCTTCAAGAGGGGAAGAAATGGTGAGTTCGGCTTGGGCGTTGCGATTGAGGACGTAGACGAGCTTGTTCTTTTCAATAGACGCAATCATACAGGCTCTGCCTTTTGGATCGACAGCTAGATATTCACCTGGAACGGTTCTGCGCACGCCTGACTTGCCAAATGTCTCCAAGGCAATGCGAGAGAAACGGTTTTCAGCTGGTAGATACTCGAGAACAGCGATGCGACCAGAGTCACTTGACACGATAATGTAATCTGAATAAGTTAGTTTGGTCTCTGCGACTTAGAACTGCTCAGTATTAACAGCTCGGGAAGATATTGCTTACCCTTAGAGCTTCCCGCGAGGCGGAAAGAAACAATCGAACGGATTATACTGAAGAGGTCATGCGAAAGTAATGGCTGGACTCTGCCGTGAGGCGAATTAGGGCGATGTAGGGTCAGAATAGAGCCAGATACGGTCAGAATTTGCTGTTCCTTGGTGCCAGAGAAATAGCCGACGATGGCTTGTGAAATGGCTGTCGGAGGCTGGAGCGAAAGCGAGTACAGAAACATATTCGATGTAGTCGCCATGGTCACTATCGTGTAAAAGACAGGATAGAATGAGGAACTGATCGCTCTCCTCGAGGAGCCAACGTTGAGCGGAGAAACTTTTAAGTACTGCCAGCGGTAGGCAATGCTCGGTGGTGCCGTTGCTGCCTTGACATTTGTTGGTAAAGAGCGCAATTGGAGTAGGATAAATTCAGTCACGTGGTGGTCAACGATAAAAGATCACTCATTCCTGGGATTACTGCGGCGGCAACAATAAGACTGCTTTTGTTACATCGGAAATGTCTCTTCTACTTATAAAATATGAATAAAAATCATAAGATCATTTCCGTCTTTTTATGTGAGTTGGGAGGCAGATATTCTTCCGAAAAGTCGCAATAAACAACTTTGGCGATGATTGGCGCAGCTATTAGGCACCAGTTGGGCCAAAGAGCCCCATTCAAAAACTTCTCTTCAACATCGAAAGAAATCATGGATACAGAACTTGGGATGAAGAAAGGCTGGCACTATGATATCGCTCTTTGGCAAGTCCATCATACGGAGAATGACTGTGATTTGATCATCCGATCTAATTCTGGCCACGTATTCTACTGTCATATTTGCCCCAGCCAGTTCATTCGATCTCCGTCTGTCGCAGCACAATACTTCAAATGTCTACAACTATTGAGATCTGGTGAGGTCGAACTCGACGACTTCTATGAGGAAGACGCATTCGAATGGTTGTTAGGTTGTTTTATGCCTTTCATAACCAATCTCGCATCATCCCCGGACCTCGAGGTCGTTGCAGAACCAACATTGGCGGATTACTTCTTCCCCAAACAAACCTTTGTCTGTAAATTGACAGCCGTGGATGACAATTTAATGCCCCAAGACCTTGGCACAAAGAACCACGATTGGGGTAGCCCTATCGTCAAGTTCGATGCCGATTTCCTAGAAGATCTCATCACTTGGACAGAATGCTACACACCATCTCAAGTCAAGATATGCTACGCCGGACCAGACGAGACTTTGATCAAACCGCCGAAGCGTATCGCCGTAATTGGTGAAGATGGGCATTCCATCACTTGCTTCTTCAAGAAGTTTGGACTTACCTATGGCCCACAACATGCAAGAGAGGAACTCACGACATTGAAGAAGATCATCGAGGCCCAGATACCCCCAGCTCCCGAAGCATATATCTGCCGTATAATAGGCGTGGTTCGGGATGCCGATGGATTGCTTGGAATGTTATTCACTTGGATACCTAGCAAGGGCGTGTTGTCAAGGGCTCGAGCTTCACTGAGTCCTCCAGAGTTGAGAAAGCGATGGGCTTCTCAGATCCATGGATCAGTAGATCTTCTACACCAGAAGGGCATCATGTGGGGTGACGCCAAAGCAGCGAATGTTCTCATAGATCAGAATGATGATGCTTGGGTTGTTGATTTTGGGGGAGGTTACACAATGGGCTGGGTAGATGAAGATAAGGCTGGGACATTCGAAGGTGATAGGCAGGGCCTAGCGAAGATTCTTGATATGTTGGTGCAACTTGAGTAGTGAAATGGAGACCTTCTTGTGTAATTGATAAAACTGGGATTTTCGACAATGTCTTCAAAAGGTCAGCTGGTAGACTGCTGTGAGCAGCTCTATGACTCATAGTTCTTGGTCGAGAGCTCAAAAGCTCCAACCTATTCCTTCAACAATCTTTATCCCATTCTGTATGTACATCGCCCGACCCAAATTCTCCATTTATACATGCCTACATATCCAGCAATCTGAAAGAAGAGGGTCTGCCAAACGACTAACCATCAGAGCTAGGATGGAGCTATTCAAATAGCAACATTAGACCACCGAATCTTCGTTCTTCTTTTTCCTCCACAAAGGATTTGACTTTTCGAAATCCATATAATCACCTTGTAGATAGCGACGCCCATGATCAGCATGCCAGTAAGGAATCCCTGAAGAGTAGTAATTTCGACACGAAGGATCAGAGCAGGTCTCTGGTACACCGCAACGTCCAGCGTACGAATACGACTCTGGACTGATTGCATGGTACCAACTGTGTCCCGGGAGATCGACTGATTGCGCTCTCGGTGATATTGATCGTCTGTGGTAGATCCTGCGGCATTCATAGCCTACAGGACAATCTTCACAGGATATATCTGCTGTCTGGCCCACCATTTTCTCACAGTATATCCTCGGGCTCTTTCCGTCGAACTCCCGAGCCATCTGCATCATACCGAGTGGTAACATGTGGTTGCGATATTCAACATAGTCATTCATTCGGTCGTCCTGGTGATATGCTTCATCATAGCTCTTTGTGTGGATTCCAGCCGATAAAGTCAGATAGTAATAGTCTCTGGTTCTTTCGGCCAACGCGGTTGGTAGAATTAGATCGTCCTTGGGATAGACTTGATGGATCTTGTGGCTTGGATGCTTGCATGTCTTTGTAATTTTCGTCCAAAAGTCGTTTGTATCACCTAGACCGGCCTTCATTTCGTCCCAGGTCAGTACTTCATGGGCACATATACGAACATAGCCCGTCCTGGCGATGCAAACCCGATCCGATTGCTTTAGGATCTCTTCACTTGAGAAACAGAGGGTTGGATGCTCAACTTCACAAGCAGAACAGTACATCCAGTCTTGATCAGTCCGCGCTGCAAACTTGCAATCCAGAGAGATGCCTGTTCGTTTCCGAGACTCAAACTCGGGCCGGCACGTCTTGCAAATTCTTTCCGACTCGATAAGAGCCAACCGAAACCAGAGGGTTGTTGTCCTAGTTGCCGCAGGGCTTTCGCCAAACTCATCTCCGGGGTTGACTTCATCATGACGCCATTTCAAGTTACTACAGATGATGAGAGACTCTCTGAAGACAGGCAGATTCAGATCGACCAGTTGCGCGCTACCGTTCCCCAGAAGTAGCTCGAAATCAACGCCTTCCATTTATACCATACTTCATAAATTATCCTAAGTTTGCCTAAACCTTAGGACAAAAAGCCCTAAACCTTGTCTAAGTCCTCTGAGGTAATGCTAGGTTCTGTCTTCCGGAATAAGCTCTTAGCCACACGTTTCACTGCAAACAACAAATCAGGAGGTCAATCAACTACGGCTTGACCGACCGTGAGAATCATGTTGATATGCCTAGATTTCTATTCACGGGCCACAAAACCCCTGTCAACAACCGTTGGCGCGATGCTCCCCACACTCTCCCTCTTCGCGCTTGCTAACACCACTCATTACCGGCATTGCCTCCGCCCACTCATCCTCGCTCTTCTACATTGACTTTCATTTACGTCTCGCGCGATAACGACCCTACGCCTTTACTATATCTACATAGCCTTTCAAAACGCACCAGTGTCACCGCAAAGATGAGAGCCCCAGCCACCACCGTTTTCCTCGCTGTTATTCTGGCTTTCTTCTCGTTTATGGAGTGATTGATGTCCGCTCCAGCGCACAAAGCACTAGCATGTCCTCTACAAGCACCACTCCTGGTCTCCAGGTCCCTAGTGGACATGAAGTTCTCACGATCGATGGCACCCTTCCGAGTCAAGCCCCCTTTTCCTTCATCAGCTCAACCTTTGGCGATTTCAGCAGCTGGACAGTTGATATGGGACCTGGCAATGAAGATAACGAAACCCTGACCACTTTCTCCCCTCGGTTCTCTTTACCCGCGTGCATGTCCAAATGAAAGGCTAATCAAAGATGGGCCAAATCTATACTAAACTTCCCTAAGTTACCCTAAGTTACCCTAAATCTAATCTAAATATTCTAATCTTAATTTTTACAGTAAAGATACCTCGCATCCTTGTTACCAGGATCCCAGATTTTGGGTAGGTAATAATAATATGGCATTTCGATGGTTTCACTGGAGGTCCATTTCTGCAAGGTTGATAAGCCACTGAAGATCAAATCATGTCTCTTTTGTGTCATTGTATAAGATATTATCTCCAGGCTAATGTTTTTCTGTTCAAAGCTTTGTAAACACTTTTTCGTCTTCTCTTAGTACTTCATAAAGCGCATAAATCCTCCTCTTTATCGCTTAAACACAAGTGAGATCGGCAGTTTCCTGGTCAAAAGTGCATCGGTCGGTATGGGTAAAGGAGAGCTGTATTTATCATCAGTCAAAGTGCTCATGAGTTTTATAGATCAACGAATCGCGACTTACGTTGATGAGGCCACCATCGCCCTCAGTAAAGAACTGGTTAGGTGCAGCAATGTACATGCACTCGTAATCAGTGTTGAGGATTCCGAGTCTGAATTCAACAGAGGACTGTCCATCAATGTTGGCAGGATCGGCGACCGAGAACGCTTTGTTATAGCAGGCAGCGGCCTGGAAACGCTCTGGGTCAGGGTTGTTCGCCATCATGGCTTCGGTGGTCTGGACGGTGAAGGCTTCACGACCAGCGTCGAAGTTGGAAATGTCACCGATGAAAGCGGCGGCAGCACTGACAGCCTCGTTGACGATGGCAGTAGCTGCTGCGGTACCAGCCGCAGTCAGAATAGCAATCGTGACGGGCTCGCGCTTGCTGAGAATATTTCCAGTGGTCTTGACTGTATCTCGGGTCTGGAGAGTAGTGGTGTGAAGACCGCTCTCAGCCGGGATCACTGCGCCATTGACCATGGCAGAGCATCCAGCAACGGCGGCGACGAATTTGGTGAAAGAAGGCATTTTCAAAGTTGTAAGTGGTGGGTAAGTGACGGACTTGGTGGGGATTGGGAACTTGGAGCGAAGAGCTTGGAAGAAAGGGAATAGGTTGTAAGTGATAAAACTGCGCAGCAGATTGTGAGGAAGAGAACTGAGTTGATGAGTTGAGTTGATTGCAGAATGATAACTCGGGAAACCTCGATGTTTTATAGTCTTTTCCTCTCCTCTTGCCTATGTATTATTAGATGGTATCCCCGTCTCCTGTAATGCTGTCATGCTGTACGGCATGACCGAGCTGTGAGACAACTGACTAACAACTCCACCATCTTGAACCGTGTGTTTGATAAGCTTAAACTTTATTTCAGCAATCCTTGCAAACTAGATGTCAGCTTTCAATTAAGCGATTTGCTATAAGGTACGTCTCATCCCTTTGACTCAACCCCGCAAGTATCACGGGGTCAATAAGGCTGTCAAGTCTCAAACGTGCTATAACAGGGAATCTGAGTCATGAACCTCCCGGGTAAGTAACGGACCCTGGGAATTGTCGGCAAAATCTCGTGCTAGACAAGTTGAACCAATCATGAACTCTCAAACATAGCTATGCCCCGTTATTCCATCGGCATTGAGAACTCCCATGTTAGCGCTTGGCGTACTTTCCAGGGTCTTCAGGACCAGGGTATGCCGAAACCAAGATCAAACAGCCTGGAATATGTCAGTCAGTTCATCCGAAGTAGGCAGTATAGCATCGTTTTAACAGATCTAGACTGGTCTTCGTCTAGCGTCGCTCTCAAAAGAGCCAACACTTCGTATATCGAACGCACTGACCACATCCGGGTCCCATTCCACTAGACTACCGAGTTCGGGAAGGGCAGATTCCGAACATGAGCAAGTCCAGGGTAATAATGCAGTCCCATTCTGGTAGTTCCTTTGCTTTCTCGGACAGCTAAAGAATGTAACAGCCTGGTGGAAGCGGTTAACTTCAGAGGAGCTGCTTGGCGGGTTGGCTCCTTATTTTATGTTCGGAATCATTAGGTAATGTCATAGAACACATTTAGTAGTTGGTTCCTTTCCAATGTAGGGGTGTCCTGAAAACTAGTAAGCCTAATCACTTGCATAGTTGACCAAATCTGTTTCTGCGACTCGAATCAATGTTAGTATCAATGGCATCAGCGCAGCTTTCTCTTTATCAACGTATAGAGTGGTCGACTTCGGATATAGAGGTTTGCAAGAGTCAGGGGTGAGAGGCATAATTTATACGTGATCGACAGAGGTCATGAATCACTGCCATTTGATATCACTTGACCATTGAGATGGCTAACGTTCAACAACAATTGCAACTTGCATAGTCCTTAATTCTACTAAGGGTTGACATTCTCTTAATTTGGTCAATACGAGTACATGAAATCCTGGCATGCCAACTCAAGCCGAGATAAAGAAGCGTCTAAAGGCGCTCGGCTTCGACTCTCCAGCTGCCTAAATCGATCAAGCTGAGGCTATCCTCAAAACTAAACGAGCAGCATACGAAGAGGCCAAGAAATACGACTCCCCTGACGAGAAATAGGATGATACCAAGCGGCGAAGTGTAAGCATATAGTATTTTTAACATTTTAAAAAGATTTTGCAGTTTTCTGTTAATTTTCTTGAGCCTGAACCTTTTACATCGCGATACCTAAAACCAGACTTCGGACCCTATCTCACGAAAAGCCAACAAAACATCAAGAGGGGTGTTTTTTGCCCTGCCTTCCCAGAAGTTTGCTTCTTAAGGAGAGGGAAAAGTGAATGGAGCAGCTTGAAGGAAGATGTGACGGGGACTTGGATACTAGCCTCTCCAAACCCAAACCTAAATATCGCGTCTCTCTGGCAGAATGCTTGCAACACGGCGGATACTCAGAGGGACCGGCACGTGGATGAGGGTGTTTCCCCAGGATCAGCTGTTGACTTCTACCGCGCCACTCTTGCCGACCTTCAGGCTGATTTAAATGAGAGTTTTGCCAATTTGATTAGAGAGTGAACTACGCGCAAGAATACGAACTGGCGTCAGAGATTGGCCACTTATAGTATAGGCGAGAATGGCTACTGGGTTTTGCGGTCAGGCTTCTCATCATTTGTTATCGATTAGTCAGTCCTCTCATCCTACAAATGTGATACAATTTAAAAGCCATTGCCGACGTAAAAACGCCAGTCTACGATGTATTCGTGAAACCTCTCAATAATTAATTACAGACGAGTCTTGGATGCCCAGATACAGATGGGCATTTGCATCCGAAATTGACGTGCAACGTCTTGTCCTGATTGCACACCTGATACCGCGGGGATACCGCTTTTGGAGCTGGATAGAATCCAACTTCACCAGATGGCCTGATACAGGCAACCTAGACCAGGCTGTGCCCCCGAAGGCCCTTTGCCAGACCAATGAACGGCGTTGTCTCAAGGGTGAAAGTGACGGACCAACTGCATGAGCTGACGTAACGGAGTGCCCGCTTTGGTGTTTGTAAAATCGCTGCCTACGAGTCCACCCACATCCTCCATAAATTGTTTTCGCTTATCATCAGTCATCTGCTCCGTGCCATATTCTTATAAACAAGACAACAAATCATAATCGAGACGACGATGGGTCTGATTGATACTATTATTGCCATCCTACCAAATGTCCCATTCCTTCCTCCAGGGCCTCCAGTGGATGCGGACAAGGATGCAAAGAAACAGAAGAGTCCACTGAACCGTTTCTTGGGAGCATTACCGAAACAACAGAAGGGAGCCAACCCACCAGCGTCTGAGGACCGTTAGCGGTCATGATAACCTACTATGACGTTGCTACGCGGTTAGCACCACTCGTCATTCCGAGACTATTGGTTGACAGGTGCGAGGCCTTCCGAGTTCATGACGCATGACCAATGCTAAAACCATCCAGTAGTGCTAAAAGCGTGCACTTAGTGCTGTATAAAGAGTGTTTCGAAACAATGGGATGGCAGCGGGTCAGCAAAGGCCGGCGCTTAGAGGCCAGTTTGCAGACATGCACAAGAAGCGCAGTTGGAAACTTGTCCTGATAGGCAAGCAGATAGAGAGACGAGTAACAATTGAAAAACTACCAATTCATGTTTCAGTTGAGCTGAGTACTAATCTGTCATTCACTGTGGCGGCAAGTTTAGAGAGTGAGGTATTTGTTGGTCCCGTTTGAAACGGGCCATGGCCAACTGGCCAAAACATTGCCTGATACAGCTGGAGGGTAATGCAGCTTCGAACTCTATTTTTCAGCTCCTGGATTGTCAAACAAAACTTCCAATGGCGGTCTGACCAGCAGCCAGCCCAGGCTGCATAGGTCCTCTTCCGATAAGGGTAGTCTCTCCATCAATGGGCAATTGTTGATAGCATGGCATGCACTTCATTCAGCAAGACATCACCGGGCTATTGCTGCTCAGTACTCAATTAGAAATATGCTTTGCTATTAATTTCTTTAGCATAAGTTCGGTTGTCTTGCGATATGTTCAACAGTTACATCGCAGGGTAATTGTACCATGAAATGAATGAGCAATTGGCTAACAATTTATAGTAAAGCACAAAGATAAAATTAGCATCCTTCAATTCGTATCAGAATATCTCTATATCCACGAACTAATCTACTTTGCTGAGCTGGAAAATCGAGTTGAGACCATGGCTCTCTCCAGCAAGATTGGCTTGGTCGGATAATCGTTCGAAATCTTCTTCAAACCACCAAACAAGCACCTGTCGATGACTTTCAATCCGAGAGAATTCCTTTTCCCGTTGCACCTCAACTCTTCAACCGAATCTTGCCAATCAGCGAAAGCGAGACCTTCTTCGACCGTGAAAACTTGAACGGTGTCTTTAGCTCGTCGCATGAGATTTCCAAGTTCACGGGCTTTGTCGCAGAGCCTCCTAAGTCTTTTTCTCCCCCTTTCTTGCTCCTGTAAGTCATCTGTCTCAGCTGGCCTGAAGAATTCTTCAAGCCATGCCGCAAATGAGGCTGGACCATCAGATTCATCTCTCAAAAGATCGATACACTTAAATGTCGCGCGGCTCCAGTCAGATAATGCCGTTTGGCCAGATCCTGAAGATAAGATTGTTAACTGAGGAATGTTTTGTACAATCAGGGGAGATGACATACCGTCAGGGTGACTGGCTGTAACAGCTTGAATCAAAGACTGCTCTGCTGCTGCGAGCTGCTTGTGAACGCTCGGATCAATATGTCCAATAGTGCATCCTCCCACATCATTAGGGAAGAAATGACTTTGGATGCAAATGAACAATTCAGTATGAACGGCATCTCGCTGACTCTCTGGAGTTAGATCATTCAACTCTCCAAAGAAAGCCTTACTATTCTCTGTTGTAGCGTTCTGAAATGTGCCGGATTTCGAGTAGAGTCGAGAGGCCATCATTTGGACTCCTTTGCGAACTTCGGAGAACAACTTCTGTATCTCGCCGTCCAAGATAGGCTTCCCGTCGCTGGAAACGATAATACTACGGAGTCGATCCGCTCGTGATTCCGTTTCCTTAGCCTTTCGTTTCAAAGTCGCTAATTCTGAATCGGCGAGCTCTAGCTTCCGGGTTAACTGCTCGACGTGAGCGCAATGCTCAATGTCATCGAGCTCCAATCTCACATCAGTTTTTGAATGCTGAAGTGAGTCAGTCTGGGGCTCTTCTTGCCGCAATGGAAGCTTCTTCTGGTTATCAGCAAACCATTTGTCCATTGCTTTCCAAACAGTTTCCTTGATGTTGTTCGAGGTGGCTTGCTGACATTGCTGATGTTGTGCGTTCATTCTATGAATAGAAGAAGCAAGGCTTCGATCCAAGTCCGCCTTCAAGTCACGGTGTAACTGGCTTATGACCTGAATAATGCTTATTGGAGTTTGTTGGTTCCACTGGTCCATTGCCTCACTCGTGTGAGTGCTGTACTCTGCTATCTTAGTTCGCGGTGGTTGTTGGTGAGCGCCCACTAAATTCGAACAAGAACGTTGTCTTTTGAGAGTGCTTGTGAAAGGAGCAAACATTGACGACATCATGAACCCAAAAACAAATAGTTCTTATAAGACTTTTCTGTTGAGAAAAAGCGTTGCCTTGAATAAACTGAGTAGTCAGACGTGATATGGATGAAAAAGTATAATGTGACGTCACCTAAAGTTATCTGCGAATTGGGGTAACAAAGGATGTCTTGGTCATGTTGGATGGACATTCAGAGTTCAATGAGCAAGAGATGAGATGGTGTGGTGACAGAGTGTCAGGTCTGGCCGACTCATGGCCGCTTCTCCTCGTCGAGCGCTTATGCAGGAGACGTGACAGTGAGAATGCGCTAGAATGCCGCAAGGCACAATCGCAGCCTAAATATTGGTGGCGACCTGAAAGAGGAGTTGGGCCATCTGATGTTGGGCGATGCTGAAACTGTGCGCCGTGTAGTCATTGGCTCAAGCAAATGGCCAGACCTGGACAGCTCAGCCAGTGTCAGTCTACACAGCCTCGCACGTCGTTTTTTGTTATTCAGTGGTGAAACATTAGGCTGCACCGTGTATACCGCTCTATATTTGTACGAACACCTATTATCATCATATCACAGCTGAGACTCTATATCATAACCGCGATCCCGTTTCTCAGTAGTCGTACAAGGAACAACAGAATAAACAACCACGGAATTACAACTACCACTCTTCTTTTTAATCGACAGTGCTACTAAAACGAGATGGCATTTCGGTTCGCTCCATTATCAAATTCGTCCAACAAGAGGACCTACGCTGTTGGAGATCCTTCAGTCGACTTGGGCGCTGCAGGTCTCGATAGCCAGGACAGGGTCATCATCGCGCTCGACTTTGGAACTACATACTCAGGTGCCGCTTATTGCTTTTGTAACAGTAGTAGCAAGCCTGACGTTTGGCCAGTCGTTGATTGGCTTGGTAAGTTTATCTGTCACGATGACAACCTCAGTTGTTAAGTTCTTATTACTGACGTGCTACGTAGGACTTGAGGGCCGCACCCAACCCAAAGTTCCCACTGCGATCTTATATGATCCTCAGGATAGTACAAAGTTCAAGTGGGGAGGACAACTTACCTGGCGTGATGATCATGTCCAAGGCGTCAAACTACTCCTAGACCCAAAGCAAACCAGACCCTCTTATCTTCCATCGAGCAGTGCGAAGCGAGAGATGAGGAGGCTCCCAAAAGATGTCGTTGATGTTGTCGCAGATTTCATGGCAGCCATGTATAAACATGCATTGGAGAAGATTGGGGCCAGGGTGCCTCGGGATTACCTGGATTTGTGCGAGAAGTCGTTCGTTCTGAGTGTCCCAGCAGTCTGGTCAGACAAGGCCAAAGAAAGGACCATACAGGTATTGATCACCGCATATCAGTCGCTTCCTGTGCTTGGTGATAGCTGACATGATCCAGGCTGCCAAAAAAGCAGGTCTCTATCCTGTTACGCTAATCAAGGAGCCCGAGGCTGCTGCTCTATACACATTCATGACTCAAGGGCGAGCGCTAAGTGTAAGTCACACATAACTAGGATATTCAAGTGGAAGCTGAAATTTGATTAGTCCGGTGATTGCTTTGTCGTCTGCGATGCTGGGGGTGGAACTGTTGACCTCATCTCATATGAAGTCATCTCAACTGAGCCAACTCTTGACCTCGCTGAACTAGTCCCTGGGAAAGGTGAGCTTGGGCCCCTCTTTGCAACCCGTTGTGGACTCTAAATCTTCACAGGTAACATGTCCGGATCACTAGGCCTGAACAAGCGTTTCGCAGAAGCTGTTCGAGGCCTGATTGGGGACGAGGAATGGTTTCGTCTCAAGAGCCTCGATGCATGGGCTCTAGCGGAACGCCAGTTTGACCAAGATATTAAAACATCATTCACGGGAGATTTGGACGATGATTTCATTATCAATTTCCCAGGTGCTCGGCTCGAAGATAATGTCGGTGAGGGTCTGGAGAGGGATTCTTGGTTCATGTCTGGGTAAGTTACCTCTACCAAGAAGCGTGAAGATGCTGACGTGGGTAACTTGAAGGGAAACGGTACATGACATATTTGAGCCCTTGATTTCAGATATCCTCCAGCTGGTCAACGATCAACTAGCGGCCGCTACAGAGGAAAAGGGGGGCAACCCTATTCATGTTAGTTCAGTGTTCGTTTAATGCTCCATGCTAATAATTTTGAACAGTGCATCTTTCTTGTGGGAGGTTTCGGTTCTAGCCATTACCTCAAGAGCCGAATTGAGGATGAGAACCCCGACATTCAGGTATAAGACTAAACCAGAGCGGGAAGTTGCAACAGCTAACAACGTTAGGTTATTCAACCTGAGGACGCATGGGCGGCTATCGTGAAGTAGGTTATGTTAATGTAGCTCACTATGAAATCTAACTGGTATTCAGGGGATCAGCTCTCAGTCGCCTTTCGTATACAAACGTTGTATCAACCAAGGCGACTCGTCACTACGGAGTAAGTGCATTTTCCGTGTACGAGCCTGCAGTCGATAAAGGTCAGCCAATATCCATCCACCCTGTGACCGGCCGGCTCAGAACAGAAAAAGTAAGTCTGCATTGATTCTCAAAGACCCTGAACCTAATAATAATACCAGATGACTTGGTATATCATCATGGGTGAGACTTTGAGACGTGACCGTAACGAACGATATCCATTTCATCGGCACATCCCTAAGTCTTACTCTGAGAATGACCTCCATTTCCGAGATGAACTGTTGATGTCGAACACTCAGGTGCAGCCTCAATATCCTACCAAAGACGTCAAATTGAACTGCATTTTGAAGAGTGATTTGACTACAGTGGACAGATCGCGGTTCAAGAAGGTCGTGGGTTTCGATGGGCGAGAATGGTTGAAGGTTCAGTACGATCTTGTTATCTCTACTAAGGAAGCTGCCATGAAGTTCTGGTTGGAGTTTGATGGCAAGGAAGCAGGCTCTGTTCTCGCGCAGTATGCATAGTTGGTTCGCATTTCTGTTTGACAACTTGCTCTCAAGAGTTCATTCTATTCTTTACAGTTTTGTGCTTTACCAACATTCTTCTTTATCAGCAGTATAACAAAGCTTCTTTCCATGTCATCAAAGTTGCCTTCATTTGATATGCAAACTTAGTCGAAAAAGCCTCCTGCCCAGTTCTGATTATGCTCCATATGAACATTCACATGACCCCAGCCCTCTTCACCCTGAAGCATTTTCTTGATATCAGCGATGACCTCATGCCATCCCGTCTCGTCTGAGTCATAGTCTACCGAAACATAAACTGTATTTGGGTTGGCTTCGAGAGCTGGAAGCACCCCATGCCGAAAGAGACCAATGGTGCTCATGTGACCTTTGGTCGCTTGAAAGGACTCGAGGCACTCATAAACCTTGGGACGGACAGAGCCCCAGGTTGCACTAAGATGCGGATCGTCGATGCCAGTGTAGTAAATCGTCTGAGTAAGTTCAGGAGCGATGATTTCGACGGCGATATCACCGTCACGGATAGACGATGCCTTTATCAGCTCCGTCAAGCTCTTGACCATTTCCTTCAAGGCTGCTTCCCAGATTGGTGTCTTTTCGGAGGACCAGGGCGCAACTATCAGGAGGGTTGGCCTCCAACTTCGCCTCTCAAAGTGAATTCCATCCTTCATGTCTTCGAAGGATGAGAAGAGGTGATGCTTTTGGGCGGTTTCATGCCCGATCTTGAGAACATCTTCGGAGATCTGTTGCATAGGGGCAGGTAGTCTGGCGGCTGACTTCTCTAGAGGCAGTGTACGAAGTATTGGCCAAGCGACTCGCTTCCAACCGGTAATGACACGCGACTCAGTGCTGTCTAATGCGGAATCCGCGGACGCCATGGTGGAAACTTCTGAAAGGGTTGGTTCGCTCATCTTGTGAGAGGCAATCGATAAAAAGTGATAATATTTAAAAAGAAAATGATGCAGGAAAATATAGCAATAGTTATGTCGCGGGCATTTTATACTCATAGTGCAACAACAAGGTTTAGCACACTTGTGATACTTCAGGAGTCTGAAGTTTAAGTACAGTTGCTTTCACGTCGTCGAGTCACACCTGAAGATAGTGAGTAACACGGTGATACAGGATTTGGTGGAATGAAGGGTTGGAAGAAGTCTAAAGCCGTGAAAATGGCCAACGAGCACATTTCGCCATCAAGAGAGAATTTACTCAGGCCACTGGGAGCAAGGGACGCTTTAATTTTAAACTGAAGTACCAATACTAGTTCGACTACAGCTTAGAAAGTTTCATCAAATTCATTTCAGCCAATTTTTCATTTGTTCAAGATCTCACGTCATCATGCGTGCATCACAGCCAAAAGCACCTGCCACTCGTCTCAGCGCCGCCACCATACAAACTTCCGGTTCTCCAGCCGGATGCTCTGAAAATCACTGGGTGCTAGGGCTGAGCTTGAGCCATTTCTCTAACGCCCTCATGGTGATTTTTGCATAGAATCTATGGAATCTCTGATTTCAATCAACAATGGGCATAACAGAGAACGGCAATACACAAAGCGGCCTTGTTTATTCCCGATCTAACTTTGGCGATCAACCTAGATCGTGGGGTAGATGATCTCCCCCACACAATCTATAACAAGGAACGGAGAATCGTGGGGTATCTTCCGTTCGGGGCTTTTTACTCGCATTCCTGCCTTAGCCTGTTTCAAGTTGACGTACCCGCGTATAACAAACTATAAACCTTCCATAACAAGGCCTAATTAAGCATTCGGATATCTGATGTTACCTCCGCACAGCCAATTTAGGACGTTGACATGGATGGCATCTATGCCGGGTTGCCGATCTCGGCATATGAAATGGTTGTTCCGGACTCTAATTTTCCCACCTCTCTCCAGCTTCGTGTAGAGCAGTAAAGCTGTGATCCTTGCCTCGTTGAAAGAAGTTTAAAAGGACGATATTGTTCGCGATAAACAAACGGTTGGTTCTCATATAAACCTTTTTTAGTCGTCCAAGGATACAACATGCGCTTCTCAACCATCCTCGCCTCAGTATTGCTTGCAGCGCCTATCCAGGCAGCAAAGCTACTGATCTGTTCTGATAGCACTACGGCAAACTATGCCACGGGAAATGCCCTACAGGGGTAAGTAACCTCATCCAAGTATAGGAACATCCGTCCTTACTCATTTATCATGATAGCTGGGGCTTTTATATCCAAGACTACACCGCCCTGACTGTCTCGAACCTTGCCAAAAACGGCCGCTCGACTAGATCCTTCATCAACGAAGGTCTATGGAGCGATCTGTTGTCAAAGACAGCTACAGGAGATTTCGTGGTTATTGAGATGGGCCACAACGACGACGGTGATCCCACTACATCTGACCGCGCTACTCTCCCAGGCACTGGCGAAGAGACCGTCACTGTCACCACCACCACAGGCAGCAAAGAAGTCGTCCACACGTTCGGTTGGTATCTCCGCAAGATGATCGCCGACGTCAAGGCCAAAGGAGCAACACCTGTCATCTCCGGTATGGTTAATCGCAACTACTGGACTGGCAACACACTGCAATCGAAGTGGCCTTTTGCAGACTACGCTGAAGCTGTGGCTAAAGCGGCCGGAGTCGAATACATCAACCATACGAAGTACTCTGTGGCTTTGTTCCAGGTCATGGGTCCTACGAAGGCCAAGACTTATTATCCTAATGATAATACGCATACTAACTGGGATGGTGCGAAGTTGAACACGCAGACTTTTGTTCAGGCTGTTAAGTACAAGTGTGGCGGGACTAGTGTGCTTAAGAAGTATCTGAATGCAGCTGGCAATGCTATCAATAACCCGGCTCAACAGTCATGCTAGTGTATTTGACAGGGAAATGTCGAGCAGGGGATGTCACATGTGAGCTTGATATTGCTCTATTTACATCGCTCGCACGGAGTCGGCCAGCACTCATGCTGGAGAAATCTGCTAGGCGTTGTGTTATAACATCCAACTTGTGGGGGGTTTTACCTGCAATCCGAGGTTATTATTGAGATCTTATGTACACCAGATTGAGCTTACTTGGGGTAGAAAGATGTATATAAAGATATCTTCTACAGCTGGTTCTTCACTCTTCTCTTCTTGATTCCACCAGAGCCTTCTGTTCCCGCGGCCTCCTCTAGTTCTCCGGACTTTTCCATCCTCCTATTATCATTCCAGTAGTAGAATATCATACCAGCAACAAGTATAATACTAGCTGCGTAGAGGCACAAGATCTTCAGAAAGCCGTTCCGATAGTATGGCGCGTCGCTTTTCACAAAAATATTCTGTCCAGCAAGTCCTCCCACGTTAGACCCCGCAACAGCCAGCGCGAGACCGATGCACCGGACCTGCGGATCTTCGGTGTTGATGCTGAACCACGCATCGTTGAGACTCTGAGATACTGCCACTCCTGAACCCAGAAGCGTGAGTATAGCGTACTTCATCCAGACGTCGGAGCTCCCAACAACAGCGAATTGAACACCCGAGAAAACGAGTGAGTACACGCCGCAAAGTAAGCAGAGAGGTCCTCGATACAATGTCTTATCGCTCACCCAAGATACAAGTATGGCCAAGATGCAAACGCCAAAGTTACTAACAGCTGCCAGGAAACTCGCAGTAGATGCCCCAAAACCGAGGTTCTTGATAATCGTGGGTGTGTAGAAAACCAAACCGCCTTTGGGCGTGATGGAAATGACGTTGATGCCGAAATGGCCCCACATTGGGAAGCTTGTCAAAAGAATGCGCAGCGCAGTCTTGGGGCTGATGCCAGAGAGCTTTACGTGCTTTCGTGGATCATCGATAATGACCCGCTTGGCCAAGATATCCCTCTCTTCTGCCGTGAACAGGTCGAAGCACTCGACGCCTGCCAGCGGAAGCGTATTGGTAGTTGAGCGGGGCATGATCAAGATGAAGACGAAACCAACGACCAGCGTGAAGAGACCATCGATGATGAAAAGCCACTGCCATTTCTTCAAACCACTCGTCTCGGGTATTCTGAAGATCAGACCCGCGAGAAGCCCACTCACACCCGCAGAGCAGTAATTCCCTACATACACCAACGTAGCCCGCATCGCCATCTCCTTCCTCGTATAAAAAGACGCAAGAATCGTCAGCGCAGCGGCTAGGTATCCAGCCTCCCACATCCCAAGCAAGAAGCGCGTGGCGTAGAATCCCGGTTTGTTGTGAACAGCTGCTTGCGCCGTTGCGATTGTGCCCCACGCCAAAATCTGGATGATGAGCCAAAGCGCAGGTCCGATTTTGGATAGCACCATGTTGAAGGGTATTTCGAAGATCACGACGGCTGCGAGCATGAGCTGGTTTCCGGTGTTGACGTTGTCGTTGTTTATGCCGAGATCTTCGGTGAAGCTTGTTGTCATGGCGTAGCCGACGTTTCCTCTGTCGAGTTGGAGGGCGAAGAGGCCGAGCATGAGCATTGGTAAAATGGTAAAGTCAATTCTGGTTGAAAGTGTTAGTATCGTCTCATGATGTTGGGGGAAGATCGACGTACTTTCTTCGTAGCTTGGTCTCGGCCTTTTCAGTCCAGTCACAGATAGGTAGTTCACTCTGTGACTCTTCCACTCCTGTTTTCGCAGTGGGGGTGTCCACTTGGGACTCATGTTGCGATGCTCCGGTAGCCATGGTCGGAGACTTGACGACAATTGATTGTAGTGTGAGATACAAGTTTTCTGGGGGACCTTGGTGATTTATAACTCACTGCATTAGGGTCAAGTTGAGTACGGGTGGCTAGCTGAATGCCCCGCTCCACTGACGTGGTGAAGATCCATTTACCTGCCTTGAAATTGAGATGGCTGTTGAGTATCTGCACCATTGCAGTAATAAACACACTAAATTGGGTTCAGTACGTTATCTGATCGCCGGCTTGCGGCCCGGGCTAACTACTGTAAGCCAGTTGATCCATCTTAGTGTTTCACATCAGCTAATCACGACCCTGAACAAGAGCGGAACGTGATGAGCTGCGGGGCTCGGCGATCAATGATCATCGCTTTAGAGATCAATTTTCGGGTACTCTACACGTGAGCATCCTCGAGCCTGTGAGGTCTTTCTCTCCTCTCCGCCGCTTGTCAACAAGTGAAATCAAAGAATATTTTCTTACGGGGCCAATTGATCAAGCGAAAAAAAAATTTAATTGCAGGTCGATTGACGTGATTCTAGCATCTTGAGGAAAGATTTTCCGAAGCTCACCATTTCTCAAGAAGATCCAATTTTTTTCCATTCATGAAAAAATGTAACACTATGAAATTATGTTCTGATAATCTCTCTTAGGCGACTTCTAAGCGACCGCGGGTTTCCTAAGCTACCAGTGTTGTGAGCGTCGCCTAATAGAACAAAAGGCTACGGATCGCCTGAAGCATCAGGTACTCTGATACATAGACCTTCATGATATCCTGCGCCATATCTAGCCATTCCGGTCGAAAACGACCAGCGATCGTAGCGTTACAAAATTCCCAGTACTCTGGATACCATCCTGAGATCTCCCAGTCTATGATTACGACCTCATATCTCGGCGACTCATCAGATCCAGTCTTCTTGACAAGAATATTTTTGGGCTGCAGATCCCCGTGGGTGAATTTGACTTGATGATTGAACAGTGTCGCACTCATGAGTGTCCTTAAGAGTTTGAGGTGTGCCTGAGGCTCAGTTTCCGCTAGCCGCTTGAGTATACCTTCATTGAGTTCCTCCTCTGTGTCGAAAGGGCCCGACATGGCTGGGTTCTGTTCCGGGGTCCAGAAGACTCCATCCGTGAGGGGCCGCCGGTTGAGAGAGCCCATATAGGACGGTGGCTCAAGGCTGCGCAAGCCCTGTAAAGCTGCACGAAGTTGGTTGGTAATTTCCAGCTTATCGGGCGCTTCGAGGGACGGCCAGAGATCTGCGAGGCTCTTGGCGTTGATGTACTCCATAACGATGAAGTTGATCCCGGTCGCTGGCTCCACCAATGTCGCATAGACTTCTGGTACAGGAACATTGCTGTTCGATGACAGGAACTGGAGTGCTTCAGCTTCGTCGAGGGAGACCGTATGGCCGAACTTGACTGCGAATTTTTCCCCAACTTTGACAACAGTAGCTGAGGCGTCAGGAGGGCTAAGGACTTCGGTGGATGTGCGTATTTCCGCGATCGTAGGAGTAAGAGGTGTCATTTAGTCTTATGGCGAGATCGGTAGATGAGAGATGAGGGCTTGAAAGAGAAGAGGCGGAGCAGGAAATCAGTGGAGAGGCGTTCCTCTTTATTGACCAATCAGATGGCTTTTACTCTAACCATAAGACTCAACTGCAAATAACAAATCTAGCTAATAACCTAGACATTATGCCATAGTGTTTGACCAATTTGCTACAGCACATAGCTGAGGGCCCATGAAATCGTGACAAGTGACCTACGGTGTTGATACCCACTAACAGAGGGCGTAGACCCAGGAACCAGTCAGGGAGCCGTAACACTTGAGAAGGAGGCAAGAAACTGCCAACAGCAGAAGCACGAGGACTCTGAATCATTGATGCGAAATACACCAAGGCACCTAGCCTAGTCAAAGACTTTACTAAATTTGTCCTAAAGTATCCTAAGTTATCCTGCGACGTCCTCACTTCATTTAAATATTTTCTGACTTTAGGGTTCTGGTTCTTTTATTATACTCGCCTCAAACCGTGGCCTGCATCAAAGAATCACTTCGCCATGGAACCGTCAACTCTACTTCAATGTCCTGTTCTCGCATCCGTTGCTTATCGCATTGAATCCTCTACCAATGAAGATGGCAACATGGATAAGATAATGGAGATGATGACTGAGTTGCTGGAGGTTTTCCACCGCCTTGAGCCACTGGTTATCGAAATCCTTGCTATTTGGGACAAGACAGCTGGGATTGTCACTAAGATTGCCAAGTTTGTCAAACCACCATTCCCTGGCTCAGGGATCCTAACTGCCTGCTATCTTCGCCATCATTACGATCTCAAAGTCACGCCTCAAGAACTGCTTCAACTTTATGGTCAAACGCCGAACGGTCTGAGATTGCCCTGAACGAAGCCGAACACCGACAACCCCAGGACTAAGTTCTGTCTGCTGGAATCAGCTCTCAGCCACAAGTCTCAACTGCAAATAACACATCTAGCTCACAACTTAGACATTATAGACAACCCCGGGACTAGCGGCTCTGGTGGTGGATCTTCTCAAAGGGTATCTCTCACATTGAGTTCATCACGACGCCCTTCCAATCTGATTCCGATGCTGAAACACTTTTCAAGACAAGCAAATAAATATCAATGGACTGCATGCCAAGCTTGTCCCACTAAGATGCGAGTTAGAACGATCCAAGGTAGCCTTTTCAGTGTTATGTATCGATCTCATTATTTACATGTAGTCCCCCTCATAAACCTGTCGATCTTGCTGGACTGGAAGATCTCGATGGTCTGTATTATGAGGCTCATACCGGAATGCCTGCCAAGGCGTGGCACTTCCCATCTGCGCCCACTCGATTGGCCATTTCTTCCTTAAAAAGCAGTGGCGGAGGCAGTTCTCGTGCTCATCTCAGCCATTCACCCATTTCTACCCCGCGCAGCAATAACCAAACATTATGCAGGCAACCGTATTTCAAGGCTTTAATTGGACCACGTATACCGCAATCCGAGTTATTACATTTACAATACAGCCTCATTATGCAGTCATACTGCACTGCCACTGCTGCTGTGTCATCAACTGGTCGGAGCCCAACTTGGAACTTGGGCAGCATACCGTCTTTAAACGAGGCTCTGTGCCATTTCACCAAGATTCGACAGCTTTCCCGTTATTTCCCGCAAAAACCATATCGAAACTTATCCTGAATCTCAGTCCCAACATGGCCGAAGCTTTCGGGATTGCCGGCAGCGCCTTCGGAACGGTATCTCTAGGACTTCAGCTATTCACCGAGATATCTAAATATCTCAACAGCGTTGAAGGCCGGGATGAAGATCTTGAGCGCGCAAAGAACTATGCCCGAGACTTTCAATCATCCTTAATCGCGCTGGAAACCTGGGCTTCCAACACGAGAATCAGTGATGCCGACCTTGAAAGAGCGATCAGCCAAGGACAGGCGAATTGTGAGATGGCCATCAACGATTTGTCGAAAACAATTTCGGACTTGAAAGGCCAGGATCCTATCCCCGATAGTCGCACTTCAAAGGCCCGGTTTCTTTATGTCAAACTAAAATATCCATTCAAAAAGCAAAACTTGGAGAACTTGGAGAAACAACTATTCAATACAATAAGCATCCTGCAGTTCGCCCTAGTTATTTTGCAAGCGTAAGAAAACTGCTACCAGCCTTACTTTGAATAAATGCTAAGTCCAGCGATCAGAAGAAGCATCCATGTTACCCAAATGTCCATCCAAGATATACATCAGATGCTTGGCAATATACTCGCTCGACCTTCCGAGACCTATCGAGCAAATTGCAACAATTCGCCGGTGCATATGGTTGAGAATATCGTCGAAACAGCTGTCGACAGCGCCGTTTGCTTACGAGATCCAACGCCCAACACGCTGGAGTCCGGGATTCAATCAACAAGATATCAGAATGGTAGTTTCTGGACGATGAATTCCTTCTGTTTCTGCCGCAAGAGTTATAAACGGTGCGAACAGCGACAATGGGGCCCTTTTATCGTCGAAAAAGAAATTAGCTTCACAGACTATCATTCACCTGGGTGCTCATTTTCAACGCAGGAACCCATAAAAGAACAAACAAAACGGACATTGAAGTTTCCTATCCCTTTTTCTCAACGTCATTGGAGAAACATCAGCCAATTTTCGCTATTCTTTACAGCAGGTACCGGCGGAATGAGTCTTGGTCAACATCTTACCTGGGTTACAACGGTTGACAGCCTCCAGTCCCCTTCCTTCAGGATTGTAGAACTAGCGATGAATGTTGGACGTCTCTCTACAGATAGTGACCGCGAGGTATTCTTATGGTCATGTTCCAGGCGACTCAAGTCGTGTTTTGCCGACAAAAGCGCGTCAATTACCGATGTGGACAAATTTGGTCGATCGATCGTCGATTACGTCACATACAGACATTGTGTATGTTGTTTATATGCTCCTAACAGGACTAATACTGACCTTATCTCCACTAGCTTTTCTCGTCGGGAGAACAGTGTTTTGTGGATGAAGCTCTACAGGTCTTTTATATGATGGCCCCTTTTATCAATCCCGCCACACATCCAAAGTCAACAACAAGGTATGTCATGTCTATCAAATCAATTAACACGTGCATTTGGTGGAATTAATTCTATAGACGTAAGATCGTTAATCGCAAAAGCCATATAGTTCACCAGTTCTAGCCCAGCTTTGCCAAAATATCATAACTCCTAACTCCAAAATATCTGGCGAAATGATCAGTTCTCTTTTGTCCAGGTGTGGTGACTCTGCCGGTCAAGATTGCAAGTCTCCATTCCTTGAAAACAGTCTTCAGGAGCAGTTTCACTTAGTTAAAGACTTCCCGGAAATATCAAATTGTGAGTAGTTGACGCTGAGATTCTCGTGGCCAACCATGATTCTTAGGTACTTTCTAACCTTGATAGACCTCGAATTTGGTCAACTCAGTAGGCTCGTCCTCGTGGAGGATCAAGACAGGGTCATAGGCTTTCTGGAGCAGTATCCGTCATCTATCAATGAGATCAATCATCTTGGTCAGACCCCTGTACACATCGCGGTTCAGACTCAGAATTCGACGATCTTGAGAGTGCTTATCAATCATGCAGACCGCAAGGTTCTGAACACCAAAGATAACAACGGCCATTACGCAATTGACCATGCGATCGACGCATTATGTCATGCTCTCAAGTCTAAAAAAGAGTCGGGACCTAACGTATGCCACGGCTGCGAAGTCCTTAACTTACTACTCCACTCTGAATCGGCGATTTTTACATGTACTGTCCGACGAGCTCTGCGATTGCCGTGGCATCACAACACCCATATGTGCATAGAAGGCCAAAAGAATATTATCCAGAGTCTAGCTTCACGCAGACAGGAGCTGAAAACACTCGCACAACGCAAGCTCACTCCACCAGAAAGACAGACTTTGAAATTGTGTCAACCTGGTATTCTAGATCAGAACGCGGCTCAGACTCAGGAGTTCCTGGAGGCAAATAAATGCCATATACCGATGCATCTAAAAGTGTACGACGATGATGAGAATCCGGAGGATTCCGAATCAATCTACCTGCTTATCTCCCATGGCGACGTTGCTGAATCTGCCCTGCAAAATGGCTTCCTCATGCCAAAAACTTTATTTGATGACGTTTTTCGCTTGGTACCTAAATGGCTGGACTCTATGAATTCTGGCTATCGGAGTCAGGACTTCTTGTTCTCATCATTTATCTGTTGGCTGGTTGATCATGGGGGGGAACTTCACTCCACTGTCCCGACTCCGTGGGGCCGTACAACAGCAGCGCACTACTTCATGGCCTACCTCGGCAACAGTCAATGGTCTTTTCAGCTTGGACATCGGGTGCCTCTGTCCCCAAAAGTCTCAAGCATCATTTTTGAGGAAGATAACGTTGATGATTGCCGATGCCGATGTTCCCCGAAAGGATGCACGCCTTTGACCAAATTCCTAGCTGCCATAAATTGCTACCAATACTGGGTCTTTACTTTGGGAATTTCCGAAACCATAAGTATTGCGCTTAAGCACTTGGAATATATGTGTGGTCTTCTACGCCATATTGGCTACGACCTAGCCACGGAACGTTGGTTTGACAGCGCGGCTGTACGCCACGCTACGTTTTTTATTCTCGATCTTCGCCATACTTGTTGCTGCTTAGGTAATGGCGGTGGCTCTTATGCCACTTCTCCATTGTCGAGAGCAGATCGCCTCGAGATTGAAGAGGAAGACAACTCGCGACTGGAGCTATTTGAAAAGCTCATCATGGATTTTGAAAGGGAGCGTGGTAACTATGCTGACCTGTTATCCTTTGCACGAGAGTATTGGGCTCCTAAGATGGAGGCTGCTTACCGAGAAATCGATTCATACCTCCTGACAGAGACTCAAATACAGTCAGCTGAGGCTGCTGGAGTTGTGTGGGAATGTTATGGTCCACACATTCCAGTTGATACGGAGGAAGAAGAGGAGATAAGTGAACTGGAGAAAATGCTTAGGATGCTAGATGAAATTGCTACAGATCCTGAAAGGCCAAGTCTTTTATGAAAAAGACTAGTGCTGCGTAGTGATGTTAACTATTGTGGAATTGGCTTTTTGGCTTTTTTGTATAGCGATTGAAACTCATATTTGTTCATTTAATTAAATTATGGTACATCCAGAGGAGCTCCATGTAGTGTTGAAGAATTTTACAAAGATCCATGATAGAGATAAGCTTAACGCAGCTTTAGATGATTATCAAGGAGCACTCTTCGGATCATTTAGGATCATTCAATACTAGCAGCTGACATTTCCCTGCCAAAATTGCATCTTTCTCGTCAACTTCGAGTATTTGGCCAGGCTCAATAAGTAAGCTGGGGGAGGAGAATCTCTGGGCCTTGATTCCAAATGGTAAAAAGACTTGATTAAATCAGTATAATCTTAGCCTAAATTTGGGATACATGTTGCCCAGTTGAGATAAATGAGAGAGTGAAAAGATCTCCCATATTCGCCCAGGCACCCCTTACCTGTGCTTGGCACTGCCAGCTAGAAATCCATCACCGCGCGACGGCATCGTCTCATCCTAAGTCTTAGGGTCACGTGAGCCCTCCTTTCAACAGACTTCCTTTACTCTCGATATTTCAGGCAAAGCGCCTCCAGTCTTCACTTCTCTGCGGCAACGAGTACACCTTCGCCCTCGGCGCTTACGCCTCACAACACCCCGGCCATCTCGGAATTGTTAGCGACACTTATACTTCAATAGCCCGAAACTGAAGGATATTCTTGCAATTTACGCTCTTGTTGCCTTCCAACGAGCGCCTGCTCAACGGTGAGTTGGGTTCACTCCTCTCACATCTCCGCGGTAACTAACGTCGCTCATCACTAGCATCGCTATCATGCCTCGAGAGCCGCCTCCATGGAGAGGTGCGCGCATCATCATCCAAGGGAGAAAAGCCTCTCTCGTGAGTGAAGGAGGTGTTGCCATCGCGAATACAGTCGGAAATCTTCACGGCGGCGGTTACTTCAATGGCGAACGGCAACCCTTAGGCGACTGGGTGATCACCAGCGTCCTGGCCCGCGGCACACTCCTTTGGGATAGAGACTGCTTTCAGCCACTCGAGCACCGATTTCAATCCATGCATGAGCACCACTCTGAAGAATCCGGTGATTGTTCGACTCCACAACGTTTACTGGTCGGCTACTCTGCGTATACATTGGAACCGGTTCTTGCGAGCGCAGATGGGCCGTGTCTGAACATGTACTCGGATGTTGATGATCTTTCTGGTCTGGAACTCGAAGTCCCCTCTGAAGGTATGATCTCTCCCTCTGAGGTCATTCTCCATCATTCTCTTACTGTACCCGGAAATCTTCGAGCGGTGAAACGACTTTTGATTGAGAAGAGCTGGGAGATCGCGTTTGCTGATGGGGATATCACTGTTGAAGATGCGAAGAACCTGGCCCTCGAGTCAGCTCGGTCGCTCTTTGATGGGAAAGCTCCTGTCGTGGTGGCTCGCATCCAGCCTGCAACCATTACACAAGTTCCTTACCAAAAGACGCCCAACCTCGAAGAATGCGTCAAACCTAGTCTGCCCCATGGACCCGGAAATCGCTGCTTTCGAGAAGTCCTCCCCATCATCTTACCGCACCTTCACATCAACTATGAGCATGCGACATTTCTTTACCATGCTCCTTACATCTCCAACTTGAGATACCCACCCAGGCTTTACTCAGATCTCGCCTCTTTCGCCGATGCTCATCCCAACGACAAGTTCAATGCCACTGCAATGCTCCTCGCTACTCAACTCTGGGTCAGCATTGTGGACAGCCCTACCAAGCTGCAGGAGCCTCACGTCAAGGAGCCAGTTCCCGACGTTTCGCTGGCCGTGTTCTTAGTATACTTCGAACACTGGCTGAAGATTCACGAGCATCTTCAGTGCATCGCCTTCGCTCACCCTTTTCGAGTGATACAACTCATGTACACCAATGATCTTCTGACCGGGGATGGTTGTGCTTTCATCATCGATGAGTCTGCTGTTGCTTCAGGCCGAGTGCGTGATCTTCTTTACCAGGCTACAGTGATTGATCCCAAGATTCTTGTGGATGAACGCATGGACCTCTTTCCCTTCATGATAAATGGGACCAAGATGGTGCTCCCACAGAACGCATCTAACTATTTTCGCCTACCTCCGACTGAATTGGCGTTGCTTGGGATGCCAGATCTTCGAATCCTGAGCTATCCATCCCTATCGACCACGAACAGAGTCAAGATTGAAATCGCGATGCCCAGCGCTATTGATCAGATAGCCTTCAGCGAAATCAATCGTCATTACGTCTATGTGGGTTTCAATATGAATGATGTGACATCTCTGTTCGGAAGCAGCCTGAAGTCTGGCACTATCTGGACACATGAGTTTCAAGCGTACACATGCGGGCCAGGTCTCCCGATCGAAGCGTACATCAGGCCAGAAAAGATTGATGTATGGCCTCAAGTTCTTGATCGACGCATGGCCTGGCTTCAGACCCTGGGTGTTTTGGGGAAAGTTCGAGTTCGGACAGGCAAGGACGGTCTGCCTAGCTATCATGGCATGCCATTGGAGAAAGAAAGCCGCAATATCGACGATGCGGCTATGAAGAACATGGTAAACCGCGCACTGGAGGATCCTAGGAACAGGCTTGGGGATGGAGCTGAAAGGCATATGGAATGCTGATTCGTTCTTCAGAAGATCGATGAAACTACGAGTACACGGAAGGTGATGCTGCGATTCAGCAGTTTTGTTTGCAATTTGACTGTATGCGTAGGGATTATTTGTGGCTTAGGGAAATTACAGGGACATGTCGCGATCGAAGAGGGTGAAAGGAAATGAACGACAAAAATTGTGGTTGTGCGACTTGTGGATGTAACAGGGAATGAATACCGTCATGTTGATTGAGGCTGGCGATCTGGTAATGATCTCGATATGTACTACAATCTAGCTATCAAAATGAATGAGATACAATGCGTCAAGGTTATACCATGTTCACACCGTAACTATAAGTGTGTGGATGGCCAACGGAGTGTCACGGTCAAATAGTAAACGGATTGATTTCGCGCAGGTTGACAAGTGTTTTGGAGATAAGATGAACGATTAAAGGTCAATTTACTCTCTATGCAGCTTTAATCAGAAGATGGAGTTATCTCCACATGAGAAAACTCCTCCAATGCCATCCTTATTGTTGGCAAAGAGATCTAGCAGCTCAGTGATAGCCGCCCATAATCCACCCGCATTCATGAATAGAGTCAGTGCAATCATGACAATATTTCCCACAGTAAGCAGTCCCTTCTGCCATGTTGAGAAATAAAGACCCTTATTAAGATGCAGCCAGAAAATCGCCGCAAAGCCGTATGTAAACCACGGAATCGTCGTGGCAGCCGTAATCGACAGAATCGAGTCAAAAATAGGAATGACATTCGAGATGACAAAGATCAGGACCCAAAATCCAGTTACGGACAAGATCCATGTGACCCAAGACTTGACGCTATTATCGGTGACTTGGTGGGTTGCGCGCATCTGTCGCATCGCTGTTACGTAGACGTATTTGCAGCCTGTGTGGCCGATTGACAGGGCTGTTGCTACGACGGCTGGGAGAATGATTCCATAAGCGACTTTGGCGGGTATGGAGGATGCGGCGGAGAGGACGGGGGAGGTTGTGAGATCGCCAGCGAGACAGTAGAGAGCCACGGCCATGGCGATGTAGAAGAGGGTACTGACGATCTCAAGAACTGCGAGAGCGAAACGAAAGTCTTTTGCAGGATCTCGCATTTCGGCCATATATGAGCTATCTACAGTCAGTGTTGCTCATTTTTTCTTGGAGGATTGAACTTACGGGAATGTGAATGTACCAGCATATGAGAATACAACGCGCAAACAAGCATTGAGACCATCGCGAAACGTAGGATTTCCAACAACTTTGATCTCCTTATGCCAACCCTCCGGTGCAGTCGCAGGTCCCGAAACCGCCAAGCTGATCAAAACGATCAAACAAGCCGCCACGACACTAACAGCATTGGGAATTCCCGCCTTTGAAACAAACTTCATCGTTCTTGGTATCGACAAGATATAACACGCGATACACGCCACAAGAATCCAGATCACAGTACATGTCGCATGGCTGCTAAGCGTATTCAGCGCAACGGATAGCGTGACTGTAGCTGAAGCGACGATGAAGACAACCTGGATCATCATGACGAAGCCGGCGAAGGACTCAAACCATGCGCCACCGACGATGCGGGTCATTTCGACGATGCTGACGACATTGGGGTGTTTGCGGTAGAATTGGAGGAGTTCGTACGCTGCGTACCACGATAACGCGCCGATGCCGAGAATTGCGATTATGCCGGGGACAATTCCGAGAGTTTTTATCGTTGAGGGGAGGGATAAGATTCCAAGACCGAGTTGGTTTGTGAAGAGAATCAGGACGGTATCCCATCGTCCAAGAGTTCTGTAATTCTTGCCGCCTTGATCAAAGATATTGCCCTTTTCCTCAGTACCAGCAGGAACGGCTTGGAAATCGGCCTCATCTTTTGGTGGCTCTGTATCTGAGGCGCTGGACTCCGGAGGATGAGATGTCAGCGGTGAAGGCTCGACGGGCTTTTTTGAAAACTTCATGATGCCCATTGTGAGGTGCTACGGTCCTGCGTAGCGGACGACGTTGAATGGGGAGAGTGAATTGGGAAAGGAGGTAGAAGGTGAAAAGGAAAAGTCAATGGAAGGGTCGTGGGCAGACTTGACGTTATTAGCGGCCCGTTATTCTCCATATTATCACCCTTTTATGTTATACCCCAGGCCGAAGAGACCTCCGATCGGAGGTTGTGGCGGGAGCTATGATGTACATTTTTTGGTGGCCCGATGGGGAAGAGTGAGCTCCAGGGTCCAATTACAGGTGTAGCATTACAAGAGATGGAATTACTCAAGAGGATAGCTTGTCGTAGAGACCCCGTGGGGGAAGTGAAGCTGTTCAGTTCATTACGTGATAACCTCGTCTGTAACACAAGATAGGAAGGTCCCTTGACGAGAACTCAAAGGTAGGTAATCTCAGAAGATGCTGATGTTTTGTAGATACATCCCCGCCGATTGGTCCTCGGCCACCCCGGCAGCTCCGCCGGATGGAGCACCGGAACAGTGGGGCATTTGCCTCCGTCAAACCTTTCAATTTTGCAGCCAGTGGAGCATTACGTATGTCCGAGGATCCGGCCCTGACTCCGTACGGCACTTGTCTCCTACCATCTCGCCACTATACCCTTTTTTCCCGCTTCTGTAAGCATACTCAATTCGCTGGAATAGAGTTTTTTTAAGGTTATGTCAGCTCTTGATGCTCACAACATCTGACAGTGGAACCCCCTCGTGTTTTGTGGTTATTTCTTTTACGTAGAAAATGGAGTCGAAAAGCTGGGCATTTACATACGCGAAATCCACATTCGCGTTCCGATCGGAGGTTGACGGTGGAGTTGGGTGACATGATGAAAACTAGGATGGAAGAAAAAAAATTGCTTCTGGGAATGTTCTATGTTACGGGCCACGTGAAGATCCTTGCGTGACGCGACATGACTGCTTTGAGTTAGAGGGCGGATTGAGGTGAGGCGGGTTTATGGTTATTCCTGTAATTTAAATGTCCGAGACCGTTGGAGTTTATGCTGGAGGAGGAAGGTAAGCCGCAAAGAGCGAGATCCGTGGTCAGCGCCCTTTTGCTGCCAAGCTTGTCATGTTGATGTGAGGCGAGCGGTGGTCCGATGTTGCCTTGGCGATTTCAGCGACAGTTCCTTTCGCGCAATTTGGAGGTGACTAATCATCTTGTAATTTCCCATGCTTCATTGACGGAGATCACACGTTGGCAATACTGGAGTGGGAGCGGAATTGAATTGAGTCTCTGCAGGGTAGTCTGTGACACTGGCGATCGAGTCTGTTGATCTGATAACCTTATTTCTCATCCTTGTGGCGTTTCATACACTGCAGCAGGGAGATGTCACCATGTTACAGCGTTTTTGACGATGCAACGTTCTTGCATACGCGAGTGACCTATGTTTCGGGTTGTTGTCGTTGGTCAGTGGAATTGAACCTTGTTTGAGTTGGTACAGCTCACTACCGGACAATCGAGACATTTCTTCTCCCTCGCATGACTCTAGAATGTACCTAAAATCCGTCATCAGCCGCGAGTAGTTACCCATGTCATAGCCACGTTCTTGATGAGCATCCAAACATCAACTCAATTGGTCAACGCCACCAGACGAATATCCTCTAACTCATACGATATCATCTTGGACAGCGATCATTTTCTCTTCATTCGTATTGACCCTTAATCTGAACTTGAACAATCCTGACAATCAGGCCCTTCGATCTCGGATCAAGCCACATATCAATTTAGAGCTTCCAACATCCGAGAACGACTACTCGACAGTCCCACGGCCAATAGCAATGAGCCTCGAAAGCTAAAGGTTGCTTACGTGTCGCATCAAATATGGTGCTTAATATGACGAGTCTATAATGAGAAGAGCTTCCCCGCAGTCGATTCTAAGAAGTCAGCACAAGGATATAGAAGAATAGGTTACATCAAGAAGAGTTGCTTGTCCTACCATCTACTAAGCTTATACCATAAGTGTTCCTTTAGACATTCCCGTTAGCCATAATTGGGTATCTTGAAAGGTGGCTGCCACACGATCCAATCCGAGTGCGAATATCTTCCCGACTCCGTCAATTTCTCACGTCAGTGAATCGCACACTACGAAAAAGTTCTGAGCGGCAAGAAAACTTAGGATTTCTATCCCAAATGACAAAAATATTTAGGCAAGTTTAGTATAGTTGTAGCTGCCTATTATCTAATTATTTTTAGCACCCAAGCTCGGTCAGATGCACCGCAGACTTGCTATAAGTCACCATATCCCACCAGATAAACTAACGACATACCATCACCATCAGAACTCACATCAAAATGTCTGAACTTCCAACATACGCCAAACAAAAAGAATGGAAAGATATCCAATCTTTCCTCCCTGAACGTCTACACTTCACACCCGATCACTCTCCCACCGAGGAAGTATGGCATCACCGCGGCCACGCTCTCCATCTCGACAGATGGCGTAACCCCTCCGCCAGCGCCAGACTCATAATGCATCACGGCATGGGAACCAACGGACGCATGATGTCAATGCTTCTCGGCGTACCCCTCCACAAAGCAGGTTTTGAACTCGTCGCTATCGACATGCTGGGCTATGGCTGCACAGTTCCGAAAAAGGGCCATGTTTGGGATTTTGCGGAGTGGGTTAATATCGCGAGTGAGTTTGTGGACCATGAGTATGAGAATGATAAAAGACCTATTGCGCTTTATGGATTGAGTGCTGGGGGTGGTTTGACGTTTCATGTTGCCGGGATGAATGAGCGTGTTAGGGGGATTGTGGGCATGTGTTTCATGGATATGAGGATTCAGAGTGTTGCTGACGCTGCGTGTCGGAATCTCTTCATGAGTCGTATCGGTGCGCCGATGGGGAGAGTGATGCACACTCTCGGTCTAGGATGGATGTCGATGCCAATGTACATCACCGGCCGAATGTCAACACTAGTCAACAATCCCCAAGCTCTCGCAGCTTGTATGCGCGATAACAGCTCAGCAAACGCATGGGTATCGATGAGCTTTTTATCTTCGTTTACGACGTATAAACCAGCTAAGGAACCGAAGGACTTTGATACGTGTCCGATTTTGTTGACGCAGCCTGCGGAGGACAGGTGGACGCCACTCTGGGTGTCGGAAGCTTTTTTGAAGGATGTTGATAAGGTCAAGGTCAAGACTGTTATGTTGGAGGGGGCGGGACATTATCCGCTTGAGGATCCTGGGTTGGGGCAGATGGTTGAGGCGATTGTTGCGTTTTTGAAGGATATTGAGCAAGAAGCGTGAGGTGCCTGGATGAGGTTGAGGGGCCAAAAGAAGATTCAGACTCAGCACAAGAGTTAACGCATATGGGATATATTCATTGCCTTCACTTGTGCCTAAAAGCTAGCTCTCGGCTGGAAGCACGAGAAGAGGAACGGTTCAAAAATTATACTTTGCCTTGCCTTTCTTTGTCTTTCGTTACAATATTGTACACCCCGGTCCAATCTCGATGTCTATGTCGCTATCACCGGAACCACTATCAAGTTCTTCTTCACCTGATAATAGCAACCTTACTTTTCTCTGATTGTTCTTATCAATATCATCGAACCCCCTCCTGACCATTTTGACATCAGAAAAGTAATTCAGGCCTGGGAAATCAGTCTGATACTCCACGAGCAGCTCCTCAACTTCTTCGCGTCTGTAATCTTCCAAGGCAGCTAACGACAGTGCAAGAGGCGAAGCCACCGCAGAAGCTGCAATCGGGCGATTATAACTAGCAGCTCGGCCTAGTACAATACTCCCATCAACATAGCGCTTAGCGTCCGCTATGAGAACAGGGTCGCCATCATAGGACCGTAAAATGCGGTTCAGTATAGTAGCCATCGACAATATCACTGCGATCGCTGTATGGAAACGCATCCCCATTCTTCTCTGAAGAAACGTTGACCCAGATGCTTTTGCTTTAGCGACTGCTTCTTCAGCAGCTCTGATAAGCCTCGGATGTTCTGTTTGGATAAGAGCATACGTGCACTGGATTTGGTAAAGGTATCGATCAGGATCGCGGATGAAGCAGGACATTTCGCCCATCGTTCCGATATTGAGGCTTGCGAAGGATGTGCCGTCTCCTGATTTGAGAGGGCGTGCTGCATCGCCGAGAACTGAGAGAGCTTGCCAGAACCATGGGCCAAGTTGGATGTTGGGGTTGGTAAAACTCTCGAGGACCTGACGCCAGTGAGTACGCGAGAGGAAATAAGGCGAGGGACTTACCACGATGGAGAATATGGTTTGCATGAGCGGCTTATCGGAGGGGTCAAACTGGGACTTGAGGATGGCATTCTGAAGCAAGTATGCGAGCACTTCGTGGTGCTTCGAATTGACACTGCCCGGACCAGTGACACCACCCCCACCACTACCAAGCCATTCCTATGAGTATCCCAATTAGACTTTTGTGCCGCCGCAGAGCAGAAGACATACCTGGCAGATCGATATCAAGTAGATCGAGCACATATTATCAGCCGAAAACGCCTGCTTAGGATCCTGCATCGACTCCCTCAACACCCTCAACGCAAAAACATACTTATCCAACGCATCAACTTTTGAAGCACTCCTATCCTTCAACGGCCCAAAACCCGTTACAAACGCCGCGATAGCTGCATCGAGCGGTTTACTCGACCCCACGTGACGCGGCAAGTCTTTGACGAACCAGCCATACGTTGAAACGTCATAGCCTGGGTTATCGTACTCAAGAATATGCACCAAGTTACCCGCCACCAATGTCTTGTCATTACTCAGCGCAGAAGAAGGTCCAGCTACTGCTTTGGTGTGTTTCTTGGCAGCTTGGGTGTTTTCAGACTTGAAGAGGAAGCGCTTTACACCGATTCCTGTGCATTGGAGCTTGAGACGTGTGCATCGCGCACAAGCGGGTTTAGCCTGATCGCACTGGTTTCATCAGCGCCGTCAGATGTATCCATGTGTTGTCATGGCGTACCTTTTTCTTCTGCTTGCGGCACGCGTCGCAACCTTGAGCTTTGGGAACGCCGGCCATCGCAGGGTTCTACCTCAAATTGACAGGTTTGATGCTTTGTGTAGGTACATTATCCCCCGCTTACTCTCGCCAAGCAGCTAAACTGTTTGAGACGCGCGGCTTAATAATGATTTGCACGACATGACAATGATATCCTGCAGCTTCCACGTAGTTCCATCGCTGAGAATCAATACTATTGTATCACTGAGAAATACACCTGGATAACAATGGCTGCGATATCGACTCTCTCCAAAGAAACAATGAATAAGGTTCTCAACCCAATCTCTCGTTTCAGAAGGCCAAGACTCATCCTAACAAATCATGACGACGAATAAGATGAATCGCAGCGTACACTGCCCCATACTAACCGCTTCTGGCCTCATAGCGCGCTGATCCCAGCGAATATCTTATTAAGCTTGAATTAGCCTCCTGATCAAATTCCTTGGCTTCAACACAAACTTTGAATTACGCGTTCCTCCCTGCATAAGAATGAAAAATAAACACCGCGGAGAAATGGGAACCACGAGATTCTTCGGCACCTCGGCAGTTTCCTATTCTGAACCTCGTGTTCGTCGTTTCAGAGAATGATCAAACCAACAGCTTAACTGCGGATGATCGGCACAGCCATCCTCCCGTCCAATAGAATTGTCGGAAATCGTCATGATACGAGATGAACACCCCGGCATTTGCACTAGAATGACGACGTAGAATGGACACAGCCACAAAGGATTCTCCTACTGTCACATTTGACAGCAGGGCCAACAGAATGGTTATGCAGGTGCCTGGTCATTCAATTCGTCCGGGCAGTTTTCACCGTGGGCGCCAAGATGTTTCTAGCAGCATGCCAAGCTCGCTTGGCTTTTTGAGGGGGACGGGGGGAGTCTTTAAGGAGGGTATTTGCTGTTCTTTCTAGGAACGCTCTGCGTCGTTTCCCCTTTGGATGCTGGTGGACGTTCATCTTCAGGCTTACTTGGTTCCTGATCTCAGCTGAGCCTGTTAATCCCTCAGCTTTGCCTTGCCAGTTGGGTCTCCTTATGTTTCGCAGGTGACGCTATTCATAATGGGCATGGCGCCCCTTAACACTGTTGACCACGTGGTGGGTTCTGCTACAGCCGCTGTTGTATTCACGACGGTGTCGCAGTATGTCCCTTCAAGACGGCTGGAGCTGTGCTCCGAGATTGTCTGTTGGGCTCTTCTTCCTTTTCTTATCAAGTATACTGCTTTACCGAACATCCGGCCGTCTTCGCCGTTGTTGAATGACCCGCAAAAACAGCATCATTCATCTTTGTCCCAATGGCTCGTTGCATTGGGTATCGCAGTTGCGGCTTTTTACAGGGCTGAGAGTATGACCATTGGTTTCTACGTAAGTTAGACGGGATACTAACCCGGTGAAACTGTGCTGACTCACTGGAGCCTCTCTTGACGCCTCTTCTCCTTACAGTACAGACGTACTTTCAATCAAGCATGTCATCTGATTCAGTCCCTACCTCACCCCTCATCAGCACCATCAAGGGGACAACACTAGTCGTTGTCCTTTCAGCGTTCTCACTTTCAAATGGGGATCTTTTCGGTTCCCTAATATCGATCATATTAGTGGCTTCTCTCTTTGTTGTCTACAGTATCTTCAATCCTGACTTGAAAGTGAGAACATTATCGCTGTCATCAGTTGACATCGAGACGAATATCAAGGCCGTCGCAGGCCGAACGGTAGTCCTCCTTTTCATTGCTGTGGCTTTCCAGTCATTTGTCCTCGGACCTCCAAACAGCAATGTCATTCTCGTGCTCTTTACAGGATCAGTCAAGGCCTTGTCTTGGTTCTTTACCATTCGAGCCGTACGTAGACCTGTCAAGCATTTTGCATACGGACACTGACAAACCCAGGCACGACAAACGTCGTGGTGCATAGCTACCACGATAGGAACCTTTGCTCTCGCATGCACCAGAAATCCCTTCTCACAAACCTCCCAACTTCAAGCCTTGTCCCACGTAGCAGTCTCGACGCTCACCCTCTATCAAACAAGCCAACTCATCCCCAAACAATCCAAGGGCAGACTACTCCTTTGGTCATGCTTATCAGCATCTATTATTCCCTATCTCTACAGCGAATACATGATCCACGACACAACATCCTCAACATCCACCTCATTCACCTCTCCATCTCACCCCATCAAACAATTAACTCAAGAAGCAGCACCAATCTTCGGAAGGAAACTTAGCAACCAATCTCGAACATATGCAGCAGCAGTGAAGCAGTACAAAAAGCGATACGGCCTTGATCCACCACCAGGCTTTGAAGCATGGTTCCAATATGCCCTGAAGCACAATTCACCCATCATTGACGAGTTTGACACGATTCACAGCGCCATATCGCCGTTTCTGAAGCTCAGTGGAAAAGAGGTTTCTGAAATCATTGGAAAGGTATATAATACGCCGCGTAGTGAAGTTTGGCTCTGTGAGTTTTCGGGTAAGACAGCGAAGACAAAGTGTCAGCATCCGAGCCGTTCTTATGATCGGCATTACAGCTATATTTTTGATAAGTTGTTGTGGAACCTTCCAGGAGTTTTGCCGGATGTCAAGTTTCTGATCAACCATTTTGATGAGCCGAGGGTTGTTATACCTCCTCAGGGAGACGGTGTCGACAAAGCTATCCGACTGAATGATGTGTCGATGAAGCCCACTTGGGATGCCTTGACACGGTCTTGCCCATCACATAAGACCTATAGGGACGACCAATCTATAGTCGAGACATTCGGACTCCCTTTTGTAAAAGATCGCCTCTCCGAGTCAGATTTGTGCAAGCATCCTGAGTACAAAGATATGCACGGGACTTTCATCAGCCCAAAGACCTTTCGTCTCATCGAAGGTTTAGCACCAGTATTATCAACAGGCGCATTCTCAACAATGGGCGATATACTCTTTCCGAGTCCAGCATACGTCGAAGAAGAGTTTCAGTACAATAAGACCCATGATGTTCCCTGGTCGGAGAAGAAGAACAACCTTTATTGGACTGGTTCGACTACAGGAGGTTACGCTCTCGACGATCAGTGGCGGAACCACCAACGGCAGAGATTCGTGACTTTGACGCAGAACCTTGGGCAGCAAGAGCACACATACCTTAGGGAGAAAAACGGCGTGATCAGTACAGTCAAGTCATGGTTTCTAAACGGAAGATTATACGACGTCGGCTTCACGAGAATCTTCCAATGCGACCGCAAATTCTGCCGCGATCAAAAAACGTTCTTCAACGTCAAACCATGGGCCGACAAAGACGCAGCACTCC